ATTTAGAAATCTTTTACAAAAACACTAAAGGAGCTAGAGACTTTTATGTAGTACTCTCTAAAAATAAGGTTATTCCAACAGGTAGGAAGAAATGGGGGAAAACATTTGACATTAGCGACGAAAAATGGGGGAAAATATATAAAATTCCATTTCGAATAACTACAAATACAAAACTTCAATGGCTCCAAGTAAGAATTTTCCATCACATACTGACAACAAATGTATATCTATGCAAATCTGGCCTTTCAAATAACCCTTTATGTGTTTTTTGTAATCAAGATAGGGAAACAATAGTGCATACACTGTGGAAGTGTTCGATAGTTCAACATTTCCTCTACAGCTTTGAAACATTATTGGATGCTTTAATTATCCCTTTTTCTTTTAACAAGGAATCTTTCCTCTTTGGCATAGTATCACAGTCAGGAACAAGTAATAGACTAGATAATGAAATTTTAATTATGATCAAGCATTATATTTACAAGACCAGATGCCTTCAAAATACTCTATCAGTAAATGCCTTAATTAATACCATAAAAGATCATTATTATGTTCAAAAATATATAGCATGTTGCAAAGGGGATCATTTTATTGAAAAACTAGAAAAGGAATGGAAAAAATTGAACACCCTCCTAGAATTATAGATTAAAAATTATTAGAAGTTATTATCTTTGATTTCTGGTAGACACAATACAACCCCTCTGTCAGTTTCTTGATTTTTTTTCAAATTACTATATATATATATTAATATATGCAAATAGATGAGCTACAGCGCAAAATCAGGATTTATTTATCAATATTTCTTTTTTCATCCTTTCCTATTTTTCTTTCTCTGCCAGTCTCCTCTGTTTTTCTTCTTTTCCTGTTTCTCTTAAAAAGGTAATATATGTGTATTTTTTTATCAATGTTGCAAGCTAGTGTACATGTGAGCTGTGTGATGTCTGAGCGAATATGATATGCTATGAATGTAATCAATACCATATATTGCTGAAAATTCTGTATAAAAAGAAAATTTTTAAAAAAAGGTTTTTTTTATTGACAGTACTGAATATTCATGAAGATGTCGATGAAATCGACCGTTTTATTGATTATTGGCGTCAACCCGAAGAAACGTTGGAAGGTAGAAAGTTATCTAATTATCTTCAAACTGAGAAAATTTTGTCTTAGAGTTTTATACCAGTATTGTACACAATTATCGTTAAAGAAGACATATAAGCAAATTCCGTATTTCAGCAAAAACAAAAGGTTCGTTACCAAAATGTTCCCTAACCTCAACTATTCTGCATCAAATATAACGATCCCCCAGACAAATATCATGAAATGGTTAACAAATTATGAAAACAACAATGTTATAAACCTGCTGACTTTTATTCACAAAATCCTACGTGATTAGTATTGTACTCTGCAAACATACAGAGAGTGTGCGAAAGGATAAATTAGGGGGAAAACACTATGACCTAGTAAAGAACACAACAAATACAATATTCAAGGTAGAAAGAGTTACTAATACTTTTGGTTAAATGATTACTCTCGCCAAATAAAATACATAAGTAATAATAGCGAGTGCATTTTGGTATTGTGTGTGGTAATTAAAAACCAACAAGCTTAGCTGTCCATACGGTCAACTATAAACTGAAGTGTGGCTGGAACTTCTCTACCCACATTACACATATCTGCAGCATGCAATGAGAACTGTCGACCCGTTGAATGGATTAAAAACTATTTTGACCGACAAAACATCTTCAGTAAGGTCAAGCTTTCACGTGGAAATGAAATCATGATTAAAAAGTCTTAAATAATTCAAATACATTTCGCAAACATATACCTTATTGGTTTGAAATGCATGTAGAAAAAAAAAGTTGGAAATTTGTAATTTGAACTATTTAAGATAGAGCATATTCATTCTCCGGTGTACCTGTTTTCCGGTATAAAGTTTGGGAACATTTGTCATTTTCCGTGAACGAGTAATACATCGTCTCCAATACTAAAACTGCATTTTTTACATATACTAACGATATTTGATTGTTCTTGATTATGATTAAGAATTTGAATGTTAAGAAACGTTTCAACAAACATGAAAAGGCCACAGTTATAAGATAGTTATAAGTGGTAAATTTTTATTGTTATCATTATCTTTTTGTTGGGGGAGGGTGGTTTTTTTTTTTGGGAGGGGGGAGGGAGTGGTTTTGGGTGCAGAAAAAGGGCGGTTTACGCTATATTGGTTAATTAAGTCAGAATTTCTCATTACATACTTATTTTTTAAATACAGCATTTATACTGATTTTCTTAATCACGTTGTCTAATTGAATAAACTTAGCAGTGTTTACACCATTATGATGTCGAGGAGCACGAACTTTACCCGCTCTGCTCTATCATGGCCTGGCAACATTTATTAAAAACTAAATGTTCAAATGCAGCTTATATTAATTCCTTTCCCAAGTACATGTAACAGTAAATGGAGCTTGAGGTCTTAGAACACCTTGTGCACATCATATCTTGAATAACAATTAAATTTTAACAATTAGACATAACTTATACATGTATTGAATAAGACAGATTGTAGAATAAATTTTGTATACAAAGGATATGACGCCGTAATTGATACTTGTTGTAAAGTTCAAATTACTGTATGCAATGGTATCGAGTAACGTGTATCGATAATTGACTGTTGTTACGATAATTTCCACATAAACAAATTTAAATACCAACATGACAACATAATCATTCAAACTCAAATTCCATAAAACTGGGGAATGTCAATGGAATCAAAGACCAAAGCAGTGTTTTTTTTCAGGATGAGATTCGGGGATCCCTGAAATTCTAAACAATGGTCTATAACCGGCTATATTACTCTAAATCGTCCAGTTTTAGCCAGAGGTCTTGGTTTTCCAGCCGTTTCAAGTTCGGCCCTTCGGGGTGTGATCTCCTTCTGAAACAGGTTAGACCATTCTCCTTCAAGTAAAGGTTAGAAAGTTACTACTATAGGTTATGTCAAATTATCTTGTAAATATCTATCTAATAAAAAATGCTTAAATCTAACGAATGTAAACGTGTGTTAACCGATAACAAATGTTTGTCATTATTTCTAATTTCTCTAGGTTTTATTAAATATGTCTACATAAACCAATATGAATGACATAATTCTGATATTTATATTAAGGGGCCCTAGATCATACAGTTGTTGATAAGTCAAATAAAAGTATTAATAGACGGGTCCTGTTGGAATAGCTCATCTCATATAGTTTAACTTCATGCATAGAAACAATGGAAATTCATAAATTAATACCAAAAAAAGCAAGGACACACTCATCCTGCATTCATAAGGATACCCAATTGTATATGCAAAAAAATTGCATATCGTAACGTACATATTACTGCCACATACATAAAAGTGATTACGAAAAGGGGACACTATTTCAGGGAGCTTTGTTCATTTGACAACCCATGCATTTCAGAAAATCACTCTTCTTTACGAAGACGCGTTTTAATCTCATTGGTTGATTGGTTTTCTGTCTCCGTGACTCCTCTCGTGTCCGGATGTCATGAAACCATTTAATTAATTGTATTTAAGTATTTTTACATTATATCATTGGGAGTTTGGATGAGCTGACTTAAAAGAACATGTCATTTATAAAAATGTTAAAAAGAAGAGGCCTCATAATTGGGCCCTGGGGAACCCCCTTGAACACTTCCAGCCAGCCACTGCATTTGGAGCCTAACTCGACCTGCTGTAACCTGTTACCAGATAGCTAGATACAATGTCCAGTGATCCAACACCAAGACCATGCCAGCTTCCTGAGCAACAGATCATGAGGAAGGCAGTCAAATGCCTTAGACAGATCCATGGATGGCAGCAACATACACACGGTTGTCCAAGGCCCTGCGCCGTCAGTCAGATCTTAATAAATGGAATTTCTAGGAATGGATGATGGATTATACACTCCTACTAGTGCCCACTTATCACCTCAACCGCTAGACACAACCAGGTTAAATTCAAGGCCTGGTCTCTGCCTACATAGCAAATTTGAGTAGACAAGATATATAAGGCATCCATCGTGTCCAGATCTATTTTTACGGAATGTTCTATCCCCGTCCATATGAAACAGCGACTTATTAAACGTTTGCTACTGACTTCCTAACTACGGGGATATAGGTCAAGTCAGACGGTTCAATCTTAATGGTTTTGCCATATTAGCTTTGTTACATTATCGCATTGTAGTATACATGTAAGACGACGATAAATGCCATATCACGAGGGACCAATGCTTATGGTTAAAAAAAAAAGAGAAAAAAATCGTTTAACATGATCTTTGAATTTGCCGCGAAAACAATATTACCTCCCCTTGATTTGATCCGGGCACTTCGAGGTTCCTTAGGCAAAACCAAAATGGCTGCCGCTTGTGCCGTTCCTACAGGTAACATTTATTAGTTGTTGTAGTGTTTGCATTTGAAAAAAATACTACTAATACCTGCGAATACAGTCAAAATGTTTCCATATAATACATTTTTGGTATACAATTAGAAAAAACACAAAGGAGAAAGAAAGAAATCATATTTATCAAGCGTATGAGAGGCCCCATGTTCTGAAGTTTCTGCTGATCTTGTGAAGGATGTAAGGGGGCTGAACAATATCTACTTTCGTTTTATCTTCTCTTTTCTGTTTCATGGTATGGTACCGTGAAAAATTTATCAAACATGTCTTTTTGAATGGATAAAAGGACGGGCACGGAACATATCGATACCAGAAATAACTTGCTTCACCAGTGGCAGTGACCAGGCCTGTCTCTGTTATTCTCCAGTCATAATATCCAATACAGATTATGTACGACTCGGGAATAATGCTTAGAGTATGCATAATAATGAAATGTTATAGACAGAAAATATGCTGGAAAAACATAACAAGAATTAAGTAGCACTGGCGAGATAATTAACAGACACAGAAAGAAGTCAATTGGCGTGAGATAATTGATCATTTAAACTGAGATAGATTACCAATCAGCTGGATTAATCACACCCTAACGATGGCGAAGGAAAACACATTTTCTGTCCGTTTAAAAATTGTTCCGTCAGAACTTTTTTTTCCTAGGACCATTGATATCAAAGACTGAAACAGTCTCTCCCTGAACACTGTATAGATAGTGTCTCTTCCCTAAATTGATAACTCAACATACTACTGTCATACAAACTCACACATTCACTATATCACACTATTCTTTCACTTACAATCACACTTTCCCTCACGAAGTTTGCCATAATTCTCATCATGTTGAAGATGGGCACTGACAAAGTATGCAGGGTCAGTTTATAAAACTTGATGTAATGCTCCATTTTTTGATCAACAGGTCCTGATATTAAGATGCTGATTACATATGTACAGTTTTCCTTAGCCATGTCCTTAAATCAATTAAAGTCTTGAGCATAAAATGAGATGGTTTCCATAACATAGTAAGCTAAAGCATGAATGGCATGCAGTAATCAACCCATCCATTCAGACATAATAAAACAGTTCACCACAATGCTTACTTTCCGTTTATATTATATATTTGAAATTGAGAGTATATTGAGCCAAATTTTCACACAAACTATGTATTTTTTTAATGAAATGTAGCTGCAACAGCGACAAAAAATTAGGGCCCTGCATGATTTTCTTTTTATACCATATTTGGTACTGCGATCACTCCAAGTGTAGATGCTATAGAGTAACATGCTTCCTTCAGCTAAAGAACCAGAGTTGTTTTCTTCAGGTAAAACAATTGAGCAGCAATCGATCATGGGATCGCAATGACGTTTTACTGCTATAACTGGTCATTTGCAGTTTAATTAATCAAGATTTCTAATTTATTTTGTTAGAAATCAAGAATTCAAATCTAACTTTTCTGATGTAAAAAAAATGATTCTAGTAAATTTTGACAAAATCTCCCTTTTAATCAAACAGGCACCTCTGCATCTGAGATTCAAAATGCTGTGGACAACATGGTTGAGTCAACTGTCGTTGTCTTGACGACAGAAACTGAAGGAGAAACAAATGACACAGTACAAATCCAGACCATGGCTTTGTTGGAGTCTGCTGTTGCTATGGAAAATGGGTCATCTGACCAGGTCATACAGGTGATTCCCATACAGGATGCCAACACCCAGGAAATACAGATTATAGAAATGCAACAGTCAGATCTGAGTGATCTAAGTCAAACTACTGGGTCACAGGTCTTAGAGGTATTTCCAAAAACTGGAACATCACTTCTTCAACCTAATCAGGGCAACCAAATACTCATCCAGCCTCTGGTTGATGATAAGAAAGATATTGTGGAGAAGAAGATCATAAAAAAGGAAGTAGATGAGGGAAAGGCTGTGATTGAAGATAGTCATCCCGTAAGAAGATCTGGGAGGTTACCAGCTAGGCGAAGGATTGTTCCATCAAAATACAGGTCTGCCTAAAGTACACTATGAAACATTATCAAGAAGTCATTTATGTGTAGCCAAAGCTTTCTGATGCCAAATAACTAAAACTTCATTTTGTTTACATTACAAGTCATTTTTTAAATTCAATCAATATTACAATTTTTCAGTGTTAAATCTTTTGACTGTTCATTGTAGTGCAGAAAAAAAATCTCAAATCATTCTTTGACAATAAGATAACCCTAAGATGACATGTAATGCTGTATGTGATTTTTCTCTGAAAACTTACTGGTGGTAACTTTTTAACAAACTACATGAAGCTTTGTTACATATATGTTATGTTGTTTTATTAGAGACTACAGAAACCCTGATACTGTTGGTGAGGATAATATAGATGGTGATGATGATGAAGATTTCTCTCCAGAAATGTCAGCTCTGTCAGATAGCAAGAGGATCCACACGTACTCACAGAAAGGCAAACGTGGTAAGTCATCAGATACATAAAAATGACAATAATTGAGATAAGTTTGCAATTCATAAACATCATGTATTGTATATTCTGTAGAGTAAAAATGCTTGTTTAGGTCTGAAATGGAAACTTACAGTTTTGAACTGTTTTGAAAATTGCCATATAGCATCAAAATTATTTTCACATTCTCTCACTATTTTGAAAAACAAGAATTTTTGTTATTGTGATTTTAACCAACAATGATGTTACTTTTATCAAATGTTAACATAGAGTCTGAAAAGAGAGCTTTTCTATAACATTTCTGATTGTTCAGGATGTCAAAAAATGTAATTCTGTTTTATGAGTATATTTAGATAATACTGATTTTTTGCATTAGTGACAAGCCAGGGATACCAACTTCCAGTTGTTGAATGTTGAACCCTCTCAACTCTCAAGACGTTCTTGAAAATAAAAAAGAAATTTATAATCATGACAATTTTTTTGTAGAATTAAGTTAGATTAAATGCTATTCCAAACTTGTGGAAAATCTTTGCAGAGGTAGTATCATTTCCCATTGCTTATATTACAGGGAGGCCAAGGAAATACCCTCATTTGTATGAAATTCACAACAAAGGTAATATATCTTTGTTTTGAAAATAGTCTGTATAACAACAATTAGAATGGATTTAAATCTTTTTTCATCACTGTGATCTTGCCATTTTAATCATTTTAATTTCTGATTTTGTACTCTGTATTTGTTGAAGCCACAATTTTATTGCTTTGCAAAAAATTGAATTTTTTGTTTTGTTGAAGTAATGTACACCTGCATTATATATGTGTATCAGATGGAAGATCATTGTTTTATAGAATTAACAAGTTGAATGTTTGGTTAAAAGTTGGAATTTTTGCATCTTTAAAGCAATTTTACCTGTTATATATATACATATGTATCAGATTTACCTTTATACTTTACTCCTACAGTTATACCTCCTGCAGTTGAGGTGATGGAAGTGGAACAATCGTCTAGTCTCCCAGTTATTACAACCAATGAGACAGAATCAATACAAGCTAATGATCGAAGGGAGACAACCTCAGAATCTGATATCAAAATAGCTGCAGAGGCATCAGAACAGAGTATTACTTCAGGCAGTTTACTTCAGCACCCAGAAGGAGGGAAGGGAGACAATCAGACAGATAATACCTTTCAGCATCCAGAAGGAGGGAAGGTGGATGATCAGACAGATATTTCATTTCAGTGTTCAGAAGAAGGGAAGGGTGATGGTCAGATGGAGCAGCCAAAGACAGCCAAAATGGAGAAAGTCAGCACATCCACACAGAGTATCTTCAGTACAAGGATGCGTAGCTCCAGGATACAGGACTCCAAATGTCCCACATGTAACAAGATCTTCTCTTCTAAAGGTAACTCTTATCATTATACCATGTAGATATGTAAAACTACTGAATGTTGTGGGAAAGAATTTGTCAGCTGTATCTCGAAGCATGTTTGTCATATCTCGGCTGTATCTGGGAGCATGTATGTCATATCTCAGCTGTATCTGGGAGCATGTATGTCATATCTCGGCTGTATCTGGGACCATGTATGTCATATCTCAGCTGTATCTGGGAGCATGTATGTCATATCTCAGCTGTATCTGGGACCATGTATGTCATATCTCAGCTGTATCTGGGAACAAGTATGTCATATCTCAGCTGTATCTGGGAGCATGTATGTCATATCTCAGCTGTATCTGGGAGCAAGTATGTCATATCTCAGCTGTATCTGGGAGCATGTATGTCATATCTCAGCTGTATCTGGGACCATGTATGTCATATCTCAGCTGTATCTGGGAGCATGTAATGTATGTCATATCTCAGCTGTATCTGGGATCATGTATGTCATATCTCAGCTGTATCTTGTTATACATGTACATGTCACATGTAAGAGATGCTTAAGCAGTTAGCCCAACTGCAGATTGGATCCATATCTGATGTCTTCTGTTGCTATGGTTTCTAGTCTTCTCTACTTAATGCAGGGAACATTTAAAAAAAAAACGAATGTGGTCAGTGGGCCTTGTTTCGATATACCTAATATCTATGTACAGTATATATCAATATATTGTTGTCTTCTGTTTGTGATGGCCCCACCCTCCGTTGACAACTGTCCTCATTTGTCCTTGATTGTTAAAAGAATGTTAACTGTCTCTGTGAAAGAGAAGACTGAAATTTTGTTATTATTGTATTAAATATTCTTCTTTTATCTTTCTTCATAGGCAACATGAAGACCCACATGTTAATACATGCTGGAATGAAGCCATTCTCCTGTGATTTTCTGAACTGTTCCAAGGTTTTCAGGAGTAATGAGACGTTGAGGAGACACAAGCTAGCACACATGGGTACATAAAGGGAGTGAGGCACTGGGTGTATTCATGTTGTGACAAGTTGTCAATATTACTACATAGACTCCATAACATTTGTCAATCTCTTTGTTTATGATGTTGAATTCACCAATTTCATTTCAAAACTAGATTAAGATTTAGACAAAAATTTGTAAAATTCATTTCACTGAATGAGTGTACCATGTACAATGAAAATATGTATTTTCTGTTGGGAAGATTATGTATAAACAAGCTCTAGAATTTAGCATATATTATTGTATATTTACAGGAATCAAGTCGTTTCAGTGTTCATTCTGCAGTAAGAAGTTTGCCAGCAGTGTCAGTCTACAGGAACACATGTGTAGACATACAGACGCTCGTCCTCACCAGTGTAATGTGTGTCTCAAAAATTTCCGTCAGGTCAGTTGTCTACGGCGACACATGGTCACTCACTCCTCTGACCTACCATACAGCTGCCAAGTGTGTGGCAAGAAATTCTCCACAACAATGTACCTAAAGTCCCACATGAAGACCCACACAGGTCAGTCAAATGTGTAGATATGCATGTAAGTAAACATCATTTAACAGTAAAATTGCCATTAGATGATGACTCAGTCGGTAATGTGTTAGACTTAACAACCTCGGGGAAAAGGTGTGTGCTTAGACACTCCCTACAAATGGTGGTTTGTATTTCTGCATCAGGAAACTGAGAAATAGACAAGACTATACTAACATGGTTCTGTCCTTCGGCAACACACTTTACCCCAAATGTTTTGTGTGTTGTTATTACAAGGAGACACCAACTTAAAATGATCCTAGCTATAAGCAAATTGACTCCCTAAAGTGATCCTGGCTGTAGGCAAATTGACACCCTAAAGTGATCCTGGCTGTAAGAAGATTGAATAGTTAATGAAGGATACTAACAAAAATGTACTTTGTTTTTCTGTTTACTTTATCAAAGGATGAATTCAGTGTGATCACCATATTTGGAATTTTGATAACAACCTATAATTAATTGATATGAAAGTGATTAATATGTTCATTACATTGGGAACATAACAACGCAGAATAGGCTGTTATTTTCAATGTGTCAGTATTTACCTATATAACACCTTTCTATAATTTGAAAAAAAGATCTTCATGTCTATTTTTAATCAAATTGTCTGACAGTTTACTTCATATAAGGGAGCTAACCCCTGTATTTAAATAGAAAATAATCATTGCCATTAATTTCTGTATAAAACATTTGTCATTATTTGTAAAGAAAACTATGTCGTTTTAGTAGTTCACTGAGGTAATTATACTCCAGTACTGCAATCACTGATGTGACACAGGTTTGTCATGTATTGAATTATCTTCTGATATGTTTGTTTTATTCATGAAGGTGAGAAACCATTCAAGTGTAACGAGTGTGGGAAAGCATTCGCTCATCAGTCAGATGTTACTCGTCACAAGATCATTCACACAGGTACACCATCATTGATGATTTAATGATTTTTAACATGCTATGTAATGTGATTTTTTGTTTTTGGGTTTTTTTTAAAGCTCACCTGGTCCAAAAACCAGTGAGTGTATGCATTGGTGCATAACTGATTGATTGACTATGGTTATCAGCCTCCTGAGGTCCTAGAAGTAATCAAGCAAATTATTAAAATTCTTCTCCTATAGGAAGTAATAGGAAGTATTGGAGAACTGCTTTAAATCCTTTTTCTTCTGTAGGAATGACAGGATTTTACCCCAATTTGGTCTGACGCGTTCTTGGGTGAAAGGGAATCAATTTTGTTTAAACAGTTGGTCTGACCCCACTTGGGCAGGGAGGGAGGCAGGGCCTAATAGGGGAAATAGAGGAATTGCTTTAAATTCTACTTCTTCTGTAGGATGTTCAGATTCTGTTCCAGTTTTGGGTAAAACATACTTTGATGCAGGTAACATCAGTTTTGTATGAGTAGTGAGATTTACTCCCCTGGGCTAGATGGGTGTGCCAAATAGGAGATAGGAGATATTGCTTAAAAACCCTTCTTCTGTACAAATTCCTGGATTATATCCCAATTTGGCCAGAGCATCTTGTGGTGAAGGAGAATCAATATTGTATAAACTGGTCTTTGACCTTTGGATTTTGTTTAAATTTTGTCTGAAGTATCCTTTGGTGAAGGGGACTTCCCCAAGGTGCAGAGCGGTGTGGTGCAATGAGAAAATAGATGTAAACCTTTAGAACTCCTTTTCCTTTAGAATGAGTGACCTTACAGGTCTCTTGTTTGATCTTCTGCATAATAGAAATAAGTTTAGAGAAAAAAATGTAAGAACTAACAAAAGCTCAGGTTTCCAGGTTTTCTGAAATCCTTTTGTCTTCACCCAAACTTAAAGAACTCTTTCGAGTAACAGAATTTATGCTATAGATCTTATCTGAAATGGTGATATTTCATAGTTAACGTTAAAAAGTTTTTGTATTTCATTCTCATTACAAGCTTTAAAATTATATGTTATATTTCTTATATAAAACCTTATAGGTCAGCAGTATAACTTTTAAGTGTTTTGTTGCGTTTTTGATGTGCTGTATTTGGGTAGGTAATTAAATATGAGCAGTTGGGGATGGGGATGTAGAATAAATATTTGGGACATCCCAGCCAGAACTGGAGGGTATTGTATTTGGCTCTTGCATGAATAAATACTGAAATAAACCACATGAAATAGAGTAATGGGTATTGGAATTAGGTTTCTGTGCCATTACTATTTTCAGAAGGAGAGAGATATAATATTACTGGTATTCATTTGTCCTTCATTTGGGGAATCCTTTTGAAATAAATGTCATATCTTGAGAACATACCAACAATTTTTTTCATGTTATTCTCATGACATGAAATTTTAAACCTGACTAGATTCTGGTTTGTATAGCAGGGGAATTCCTGTCTTGTCAGTGATCTGAAGTCTGGTATTTTAATTGACAGGACAAAGACCTTACGAGTGTGAAGTATGTCATGCCAAGTTTAGCGACCCATCTAGTAAGAGGCGACACGAGCGGGAACATGTAGGAGTAAAACCATATACATGTCAGCTGTGTAGTGACTCCTTCAAACGGGCTGGACAACTCAAGGCTCATTTGAGTCGTAAACACACAAACGAGAAGGATGAGGTTTCAGTCGTTCGTTCTGACACTGGTGACATACAGTTCATATTCAAAGATGGTACAAATCTAGTGCCTGACATTAATAAAAATGAAAAAAATGAGAGTACTGTTTCACTCACAAAACAAAAAAAGATTGTTAAGTTAATCAAAGATCTCAACTCATCAATGGTGCAACATGTGCAAATAAATTTGCCATCCCAAGACTACAGTGAAGGAGAAAGTGGGCAGACTACCTCTCAGACTGGGGAACATTTGGAGCCTGTGGAAACTGTTGTCATGGAAACATTGTATGGAGACAAACAGAGGTTAGACACGAGTCAGGATGGAATCATCATACAGGACCTGCGAACTGTTACCACTGATTCTGATATACAGCAAATTGTCACTGACCAAGGAGTCCACTTACAAACCATGGATGAAAAGGATCAACGTGTTATTGCAATCGCAGATGTGAATGACATTTTACAGAATGCAAGTGACCGATCTGATGTACCAGTGGAATACCTTCAGATTATTGAAGAGCTTGCACCAGACTCCCTAGAACAACAAATAGTTGAAGTTCATTACCAGGAGGCAGACCCTCCAACAGAGGGTACACCAAGCTCACCATCCAGTCAAAAGAATGAAACACATATAACTCCTCAGATGGATGTTGAAGAATTAGAGTCACCCCTCACAGCGGAGGGAAGTCAGCAGAGTGGGTCTGTCTCTCTCGACTATGTAACCAGCCCAGACTTTAGTAGTCAGCAGTATTACAACTGGCTATCTAGCTTCACAGAGCTCTGTAAGGTGGTTCCTATGCCTCTAGATGTGTCCCTGTTCCAAAAGATTAGCCAGGTACACAAGACCCTGTCAGATGTCATGGCTACACCCTCAGGGGTGGTGGCTGATAAAGAAAACTTTAAAATCCTGATGAACATTTCAAAAGAACTAAATACTATCATTAATGAACATCTTTGTTATGTGATGCAAAATCTAGAGAAGGAGTGACAAAGCCCTGCATCCTTTTACTTTTCGGGCTGACCAGGTTGGTGTGTTTAAGTCACAAAGTTCAGTTTTTAAATTTCCACTTTTGTGTTCCTTAATAAGTTTCAGTATTGTTAGTGTTTTGGTTCTTAATCTAGTCTTTAAAATGGTTTCTTATTTCTTACAGAGGAGTTTTAGCTACTTCTTTTTGTGAATAAAGAAATTTATATAGGAATTTTTATGCTTTTCTCCAGCATTGAAGAAACTTAATTATTTTCCTTAAAAATCACAAAGTTAATGACATGTACAAGAGCCTTACATGTACTTAAGATGATTTCTCCATGGGAAAAAGTTTCTGTTTATTCCAGCATTATAATTATTATTTCTTCTGTTGTGATTTCTAACAACATTCTGAAGAACAAGAGGGTATCATGTTGCAAATGTATTTAGTTATGTTGACAGTGAACAATTAGGTCTATATCCTATCCTGCTTTGTGGGATACTTGTATATCCCTCAAACTTTAATATGGTTTTGAAATGATTATCAAACAATAAGAAAAACAAACAAAATATACATAATATTAATCAATATCTGTTAGACTAAAAAAAGTATGGTAATTTAGATCAAGGATTATCTCCCCTGATGTTAATTTATTGAAATCATTCGCATGATACCAGTGCTCCTAACCTATTCTAATTTTATCTTTTACTATCAGTTTTCTTTTGAAAGTTGAAACTGGTAATTTTTTTTTGAAATTATGAAATTCGACATGATACAAAACATAGTTATCAAATATATTCCTTGATAATTTCTTAAGACATTGGCAGATTTTTACAACAACAGATATTCTAGTATGTTTAACTTATCAATTTTAGTTACATATATGATCGCAACAAACATCAAATATTCAGTGGGTTTCACCATTATTTTATTTAAGTGCGAGTTACTATTTATACAAATATTCCTCAAAAAATAAAATGATTTGTTCTTTGATAACGGTGTGATCTATTTTTGTACTGCAGTTCCGGTATCATTTCAGTTTTAAAATATGCTGTTTATAGAATGAAAAGATAAACTGTCATATTGACCAATGGTCAAAAGGGTAGACACGTCATAATGGCAAATAGATTAATATGGCCACAAGGGTAGACACGTCATAATGATCAATAAGATTGCCTTACACTGAGGTTAGAACGTCATATATGAACAAAGAGTGCGTGAATAATAAGAAACTGTGTTCCGAATGAGTAGGCGTCCTCCCTTTCGTCGAAAACACCCGAACAGCCATTGACCGTACAAATATAAACAACGGATCACCTATAATTTATGGCAGATTAATTGACCTGACTCTTGAAAACAACTGGTCACTTGATGTTCACTCAGTTCAGTAACGATATCTGTCGACTGTTATTGAGTGTTTGGAGCTATTGCATCTCCCCAACTGATTTTCGACAAACATGGATATTTCGACCGTTGTGAATTTTTCTTATTTCTTCATTTCGTTAACCTTATCTCTCGTAAGGTGCTGTTCACTGATTTTACATGAAACAATTTTTTCGAGAATTACTTAATTTCTGGGAAGCTTTGGCATGTTTTGTGCTATTTAGATTATATAACTAAAAAAAAGTATTGGTGTTTGATAAGAATACATGTGGTTCGGTGACCAGTATCTTGAAATGTGTTTATCAACTTTTTATAAAATCCGGCATGTGACAAAACGATGCAGAATGCTATGTTGTAGATGACTGAGTTTGCTTGCTGATATTGACAATTTGATTTATTATTCAAGCATTTAAAGCGATCTTCCACAGTGATAACATTGATTTAAATAGTTTATTTGATAATATGGCTTAATTTTTCAATTTTACATCGACGTTTTAACTTCATATGGAAATAATCCATGTTTATTTCGTTATACTTCGGCACGTGACTGCAATGCTGTACACACGAGAAAAAATTATCTGAACAATTTTGAATTCTGATTGGTGATATATATAACGATTTAGTACAAGATGTTACCGTTTTGATATTGCTAACGATACCTGATAGTAAAATTCGATAAATGTGTAAATGAAAATGTACAAATAGACATTTATGAAAGCTAATTTTGATTTATAAAAATATATTTATAGTTTGTTCATGACTGTACATATGTCGCATGAAACGTATAAACTGAACTTTAAAAAAGAAACGGTAAGAAAATACGGACATGATATCAAACCCCGAATCGGTGGAACTAGGGAAAATACAGAGGAGATAATCATAGCGACTGGGAATCATCCCCATGGTATGTATGACCTGTCGTGATATTGGGAAAAAACACTGGAACATCGAATAAATTTTAACAGGTAAACGCCGTAGGTACATGAAGAAGGAGTGTTGCTATTTAGAAAATAAAAAGAAAAATCCGATAGGAAAATTCCAGTGATCTAATTTGAAAACAACTTAAAGAAATGCTCTCCCTGATAGCTACGCTGTAGGTAAAGTTTGGTATAATGCATGGAAGTGTAAAACTGACGTTTTTTAATGAAAGAAATGTGTTTTTTTCAGAAGAGAGGGCTCAGAATAAGTTTTCTGGTAAATTAAGTCGCCAACTATGTCAATACTTCAGCAAGGATCATAGCAAGGTGATGTGCAGTGGGTCATATTCGCGACCTCTCGACTACAAAGTTATTTCCCTTTGTTTTGGTTTTATTGAAACTAGGATAATGAAACTTGGTGTATACATTGTGTAATGTACCAGATGCATGGCCTACAACCCCTTGATTACATAATTATTTCCCTTTATTTAAATTTTGTGTCCGAAGTTGTTTTCGGGGAGTATTCATCGCTTTCACTGATACTCTTTTTTCCTACTTATCATGAAATTAATAAAGAACAAACACAACAGATTAATGCAGAATAGATTTAATCAGAGCTAGATACTATGAATTCAGGAAGGAAGGAATCACCCATCTGACTGCTTTACTCTCCGTCACAGCTGTCATATAATTGTGTGGATTTAAGCAAAATAAACCATTTTATCTTATTATGCTTAGCTTATCTGTATAAAGTGCTGCCTTATGAAGGAGGAACACATCTTTTTCTGATCTTTTTAACACTATGTGAGTGAAGTGCGTGTTTATTGGAAATGTACCTATGTCGGTTACTGTATTGATCTTAATTCTAGACGGCGATTCTACCCTTTCATCTCGATATAATTGTGAAATAAAAAAAATTCATACTTAATTAACCAGAAAATAACATAGCTATTCAACATTATATATTCAAAATATATTGGCGAGTACTTCTTGCAACAAGGCTCGTCAATAGTTTGCTACTAGTTAGATACACGGCGCGACAGTAAGTAATTTAGATCTACAGCGAAGATAACATGACTAAACAGGACTAGCTGTATATCGCCAGTATTTACCATATAAGCAACATAGATTTAAAATAATAATAGATTATCATTTCTAACTAGATAAGGCTATCATTCCAAATCTCCGGAGTTTTTATAGATGACATGCCTACTTCATACGTGTACTAGTATCAGTAGAACCGATTTAAAATCCTGTGTAGATCAAATGTTTAAAAATAAGTTCTGTATGAAAATATATATTCAATATTACACATTTATACATACTATAAGAACCTTCCTTTCACTGTTTTCCAAATTCCACCCTTTATAAACCCTCGCATCCCGCCCTGATTATTTATCAACTGTCATGTCGGTTGCTTTCATCTGCAGCTCACCATGGCGACTGTTCTGTTCCATAAACTAACATGTATATTCGTGGGGTATTCAAAGTCTCATCGTCAACATGTATTTTTATCAATTATTCAATTGTGTTTATAAATGAATGATTTTAAGTCAATGCAACTGTCGCATAATCACAAATACCTCCATACATACACTATGAACGTCACGTGACTAAAGCCTTATATTGATATTTTTATATCGGGCGATCCTATCTATCATATCATCAAAACTGTAGTAACACGCATACTATATCTATAACGTCATCTACGTCATCAATACATCTCGATACCTATATCTATTTCGTCATCAATACATCTCGATACCTATATCTATTACGTCATCAATACATCCCGGTACCTATAATCTATTACGTCATCAACACATCTCGATACCTATATCTATTACGTCATCAATACATCCCTGTACCTATATCTATTACGTCATCAATACATCTCGATACCTATATCTATTACGTCATCAATACATCCCTGTACCTATAATCTATTACGTCATCAACACATCTATATCGATACCTATATCATCAACACATTACGTCATCAATACATCCCTGTACCTATATCTATTACGTCATCAATACATCTCGATACCTATATCTATTACGTCATCAATACATCCCTGTACCTATATCTATAGCGTCATCTATACATCTCGATACCTATATCTATTGCGTCATCAATACATATCGATACCTATATCTATTACGTCATCAATATATCTCGATACCTATATCTGTTACGTCATCAATTTGATACCTATATCTATTACGTCAGCAATACATCTCGGTACCTATATCTGTTACGTCATCAATATATCTTGATGCATATTTAAATGCTCTCCATGTATATGACATGGATAACCTGACCAATACTTTACGTACAACATTTATGTCACATGTTAAAACCCACATTCATAACATACGAGATTAATCACATGATCAATATCATTTGTACAACATTTCTGGCACCTGATCGATGTTTCCATACATACATAAATTATTAACACATGAAGCACTACATATAATCACATGTCGTAAATCATTATCATGTACCTCAATTAACTATCCCTCGTACAACAAATTATTTATTTACACAAAATCGACCAGGAATTAACATTCAACAATGCAGCCTGTTTACATAAAGCTATATGTATATTATTCAAATTAAGAAGGCATGACTTTAACTTTTTGTTCTACCATACAAATAAGATATAGTTAGCCTCTGACACTCGTGTCATTTCACCTATTAAGATCACTATGAATAAGTAATAATTAGGAAATTCGCAATCTCCAAAGGAGCGTATCTGTCAGTTAGTCTGTCCCGAAACCCGCTCTTGACCAATCAAATTACTTGTGCTTTAAATTTTGCTATGAAAGGAACCCTGACTTATATAGAGTATCCAGGATGGGAGCTAAGTGGCATTTGAAGCAGATTTCAATTTATTTCTGTATTTCTTATTTTGGTTGTTTGTTTTTATTCACTCCATTGAAAATGCGGTAATACGACAATATGAAAAATCCATATTATTATTAATATTTGCATGACAACGCAGATATTTTGCTATATTTCTGAGTATCAAGTAAGTGTAATTGAAATGGTACACTATTTAAACAACTGACCTCTATAAACCCACTGATTTGATGAAGCGTTCAATTTTTGGTAGATCTTATTCCACAAAATTGGTTCTACACATGGAAACATTTTTATTTCTGAAATTTAAATAAATTGATTGTTTCAATATATCTAAATAGTTAAACTCTCCCCCCCCCCCCCCTATTTATTATGGTTAGTGTCAGATGACGACTATGAAAATTTTATTCTTAACTGATAAATGCACTATAAAATTAGTATCTATTAACATTATTTAGTATCGCACTTCATGACAACAGCAATTGAAATAAGGCATATCTGATGTTGACATCATTTTGGCACAAATAAAAGGCATTTCATAATTCAAAGTGCTCTCATCACAATGCAGGAGACTACTAAGACACTAGACATTAACGAAGCAGGCTAAATATCTATACTTTCACCAAAAGGTTTTCTCTATTCCTTACATAAAGTTAGTAGTACTGATATTGTACTGAAGTTGCAGGTTTCTTTTATAAATTGTATTTTTTATCATAAAGATTCATTATAAGAGAATAATAACCCATCTTTATATAGTAAGCAAGCGGCATCTAGTCTGTTCGTTATATTTCTGATACTTTCCGATCATCGCTACTTTTGTCTAATACCCTCCGATCATCGCTACTTTTGTCTGTTACCTTCCGATCATCGCTACTTTTGTCTGATACCTTCTGATCATCACTACTTTTGTCTGATACCTTCTGATCATCGCTACGTTTGTCTGATACCTTCCGATCATCGTTACTTTGTCTGATACCTTCTGATTATCGCTACTTTTGTCTGTTACCTTCCGATCATCGCCACTTTTGTCTGTTACCTTCCGATCATCGCAACTTTTGTCTGTTACCTTCCGATCAATGCTACTTTTGTCTGATACATTCCGATCATCGCTACTTTTGTTTTACACATTCGGATTATCGCCACCTTTGTCTGATTTGTTCGGGTATTTGCCACCTTTGTCTCATACCTAAGATTTATGGTCAACTTTATCTGATGCACGGATTTCTGCCACCTTTGTTTAATACCCTCGGACTATCGCCAAAATCTACAAAGACCGTGATAAATCTAAGGTATCATACAAAGGTTATACCCGAGATTTATCACCACCTTTGTAACACAGATTTTCGCCACTTTTGTCTAATTCCTACGGATTATCGCCTCCCTTGCCTGACACCTTCGGATCATCGCTTCTTTTGTCTGATACCTTAGATTTTCGCCTCCTTGGTCTAATACCTACGGAATATCGCCATCTTTGTTTAATGCCCTCGGATTTTCGCCATCTTTGTCTGATACCTTCGGATTATCCATACTTTTTTCTTATATTTTCGGATTATCGCCACTTTTGCCTGTTATCTTCGAATTATCGCAACTTTTATCTTATACCTTGGTATTATCGCAACTTTTGTCTCATACCTTTGAATTATGACCACCTCTTGTCTGATACGTTTTGATTATCGCCACCTTTGTCTGAAGCCAGATTATCGCCACGTTTGTCTGATACAGATTTTCGCCACGTTTGTCTGATACAGATTTTCGCCATGTTTGTCTGATACAGATTTTCACCGCCTTTGTCTGATACAGATTTTCGCAACGTTTGTCTGTAATCCAGACAAATGTTAAAAAGAATAAATTCAAATTTCACCAAACATCTGCCATATACTCTGGTGTAGAAACCTCCAATTGCCGCCCTGTCCGATTACGATTTTCGCCGCCTTTGTCTGAAGCCAGATCATAGCCACGTTTGTCTGATACAGATTTTTGCCATGTTTGTCTGATACTGATTTTCGCCGCCTTTGTCTGATACAGATTTTCGCCACCTTTGTCTGGAGCCAGATCATGGCCACGTTTGTCTGATACAGATTTTCGCCACGTTTGTCTTATACATATTTTCGCCGCCTTTGTCTGAAGCCAGATCACGGTCACGTTTGTCTGATACAGATTTTCGCAACATTTGTCTGATACAGATTTTCGCCACGTCTGTCTGATACAGATTTTTGCCATGTTTGTCTGATACAGATTTTCGCCGCCTTTGTCCGATTACGATTTTCGCCGCCTTTGTCTGGAGCCAGATAATGGCCACGTTTGTCTGATACAGATTTTCGCCACGTTTGTCTGATACAGATTTTCGCCACGTTTGTCTGATACAGATTTTCGCCATGTTTGTCTGATACAGATTTTCGCCGCCTTTGTCTGATACAGATTTTCGCCATGTTTGTCTGATACAGATTTTCGCCGCCTTTGTCCGATTACGATTTTCGCCGCCTTTGTCTGGAGCCAGATAATGGCCACGTTTGTCTGATACAGATTTTCGCCGCCTTTGTCTGGAGCCAGATGATGGCCACGTTTGTCTGATACAGATTTTCGCCGCCTTTGTCTGATACAGATTTTCGCCGCCTTTGTCTGATACAGATTTTCGCCACGTTTGTCTGATACAGATTTTCGCCATGTTTGATACAGATTTTCGCCGCCTTTGTCTGATACAGATTTTCGCCGCCTTTGTCTGATATAGATTTTCGCCGCCTTTGTCTGAAGCCAGATAATGGGCACGTTTTCTGATACAGATTTTCGCCACGTTTGTCTGAAGCAAGATCATGGCCACGTTTGTCTGATAAAGATTTTGGTGGCCTTTGTCTGATAACAATTTTCACCGCCTTTGTCTGGAGCCAGATAATGGCCACGTTTGTCTGATACAGATTTTCGCCACGTTTGTCTGATACAGATTTTCGCTGCGTTTGTTGATTGAGTGAAATTGGACAACATCTTTTTAACAAATGCCAGTCCTGTTCTTACTATATATACTAACTCATACATGTTTACATTATATTATTCATACATATGTTTACATTATAATATTCATACGTATGTTTATATTATAATATTCATACATATGTTTACATAATAATATCTATACATATGTTTACATTATAATATTCATTCGTATGTTTACATTATATTATTCATACATATGTTTACATTATAATATTCATACGTATGTTAACATTATAATATTCATACATATGTTTACATAATAATATTCATACATGTGTTTACGTTGTAAAAGTCATGCATGTGTTTGCATTGTAATAGTCATACAATGTATTCAATTATACAGGTAACATGTTAAAAACTGTTTAACGATTTGGTTACCATGATGTTCATCCATACCATTCTTGATTCAAATTGTTATTTAAAGACTAACTTTCCAAACATTCTTCTCAAAAGCTCTTTGTTCAGGGTTCCTGGTTGAAAAGACATGTTTCTCTTTTGCACGTCTTTCGATTTTTCGCCCGATTTCTTCATTGTTCGAAGACTTTCTAGCAATTTGGCACCGTGTTCTACAATAACTGTATCGTCTGCTTGATCTATCATTTGAGACGCCAAGAAATAAACATCTGCAAACGATTTGAACTTTTCATCGTTTTGTCGTTTATCGTCCTTCTTTTCTTCATTTTCACCTTCTTTTGAACTTTCAGTTTCCGTGTCATCATCATCATCTACAAATTGCTGCATGAGCTCGAGCCGTATCGTTTCCAAGTATTTCTGAAGATCTCTCTTTTGTTTATCAAGCAGTGCTATCGCTTTTTCTTTGTCTGCTTGTATTTCCTTGTTACCTTCTGACAGTTCTTTTAAGTGACTTTTATACTCATCTTTCATTAATTCATCTGCCAGTTCTTGTCGATAAGTCAGAGCAGCCTCACTTACTTCTTTGGATGTGTGAAGTTTGTGTGACGTCATATTACAGTCCAGACAAATCAGTTCCTTACATTCCTCACAATAATACTGCATGTCTGCCTTGTGAATGAAGCAGCGCACAATGCGTCGATCTCTAGGACGATCGGGTTTGGCTATATCGCCTACTTTATGGTCTTTGGTGGATTCGACCTTGGCGTGATAGGTCACACACGACTCACACATATCCTGGTCACATTGGTAACAATGGGTCATTGTCGGCGTCCTCTGCTGACAAATATCACAATTGATGCCTGAATTCAATTCTGAGTTCTTAGATTCGGTGTAATAATTTTTCTCCAGACCCATAGCTCCAAGCAGAGGAACTTTCATTTCTACCTTACACAAAGGACATTTGTATAAACCCCCGCGGTTGTTGATGTCGATGTAAGTCTTAATACACCTGAAACAGAAAGTATGGTAGCATTCGAGAAGGCGTGGGTCCCGGAAGTCGTCCTGACACAGAAAGCATACAGACACGTGTTCAGTACCGTTGCTAAGGTCATCAGCCATATTTCTACAACATTACCTTTAGGTTACATGAGCAAACGCAACTCACTGGATCTAAATGGTGTTAATCACAGTTTTTACACAACAACGTCCGCCGCTGGTATTCAAGTTTGCTATACACTATTATATAGACAATACCAGAACAACATGTCCATTGTAGCAGCAATATTAGAAAGTAACTTCGATATCTTTACCCTGTTTTTAACTGGAAATAATGTACCGTTTAAGAAGACATCACAATTACATGTCAGTTTTATCCTCATTTCATGCTGCTGGGTGCCTATAAACACAGCCAGCCCACACCACCAATTAAATACATAATTCCTGTCGTGTTCTCCCTGGCTGTATGGAAGTAATGGGCCGATATGGTATACTTTACTGTTGTATTGATAACAGGAATCTATCTGCACATGTCATGCTTACCACTTCAGTGTTATTCATAGTCCAAGATCCTGAAAGTAGCTGCCGTCTGGAGAGTACTGATTCCGAAATATTTCCCATAGAAAATTACAACCTACTGCACATGTAGGTTAACACTATTTCCCTTGAGTATGTCTGGCTCATTTGTACAAAATCGATAGACATGATTATTGTTTCCAGATCGATCAGATACTCACCACTGCTGTCAGGATCAGTGTTTACAATCATTTTACTGCAAGTGGCTCATTCATTGAACCCATGCCTGGCCCACCCGGTGTACCGAGCCCGACATTCCTGTCACCATGGGCACAAATCACCACCTACACGTCCCGACAAGGAATCGATGTCTAGCTTTAAGTCTCAAAGACGATCGGATACATAATGTCTAGCGTCACTGTAGTGTGACAACTTTAATAACGATAATATAGGTGCTCACTTTAAAAAGCATATTCATTAAGCAAATTCTTCGAAAACTTCCTGTCAATTTCGGATTCTAATTAATAACTGGTATGTATTTTAATAATATGCCATAAACTATCCAATCCAAACCCGTTCACTTTATATCATTGTCAATAGAGGTAGCCTAACAAGGCGTGATTACGTATACACAGTGCTCTATTCAACATCCGTGTTGCTAAGATACTACAGATCCCAATGGAGATAACAGTTGTTAATCTGGATATGGAGGACTTGTTATACTTTCATTACGTGAATAAAATATGATTATTTATACACGACAACTTGATATATTTCACACCTGCTGCATTTTTTGTTTTAATTCGCTGAGCAGTATCGATATTATAAGAACTCGCTGTGAATCTATATCGATCTATAGATGGCTCTTTGATGTTGGCTGCTCTAGTCATGCCATCACGGTCACGTTAATTGTTTGAAGTATTTCAATATTTGAAGCAATAGATCGTTTTATTGATCAATAGGATCAAGAAGTTTCCATAAGCACAACAAATGGACGACATCGACACAATATATTTGTTTTCAATTGAATAACACAAGAAATGTACAGTGTACTCATATTACAATGGTTCATGGTTGGTAAGTACAAAAGGAATATATAAGAATGCAAATACTAACAACAAGCACTTTACAGCACAACAACATACAGAGAACCTTGTCTTGGAATAACTACTGTAGAAATTTAACAAAAAAAACATGACCGTCATACGCTATATATGACATAAATGAGCAGCACAACGCGCCCAATTCATTGACATACGTAACCGCGGAAACACTCAATGAACCAGGCCCGTCATCGATTAACTTTGTATTGTGAGTGCTGGTTTTCCCTTGAGTTCTGTTTTCATATATTTTTGTGGGATTCTATTTCTCACTTTCAGTATAGGATTCTATTTTTGTGAGGTTCTATTTTTCACTATTTTCGTTGTATTCTGGTTTTCACTATTTTCGTAAGGTTCTATTTTTTGCTATTTTCGGGAAAAAAGAATATACTGAAAGGCTGAATTAAAAATACAACGAATTCCAATGTTATATCTGCGATTTTGAGATATAAATTAGTTGAGATCGTGATTCGGTTAATTGCGTCAACAATTTCAACGTTTTCCCGTTGCTAGGATATTTCTCTTGCGGGAATTACTCTAGAAGTCTTGAATAGATTTCAATAAAACATTAATTATCACAATAATCACAGAGATTTGAGATATGCGAGTCCGCACTGGATGGATCCGATGAACATATCATTTAGCTTGGTTCTTGATCTTTCGATCACAATTTGGAGTTTCCGCATTCGCCTCTTAGGCTTCAAAATTTAGGCTCGTAGCATCACTGAGGAGTCATAGACGGACGAAACAACTGTATGATATAGCATCACTGAGGAGTCATAGAAGGACGGAAGAGCTGTATGATGTAACATCACTGACAAGTCCTAAAAGGACGAAAGAGCTGTATGATGTAGGTAACTTCATTGTTTAGCACTAGTGTATCTAACTCTGAATTATTAAAAGATGCTATTGACTTGTGTGTCTTTTGTACAATATTTATTGTCAAAGATTGCACAAGATTAAGAATAGCTAATCCAGGTTTTGATTATGTCCTTATGTTTCTCTTTCAAAGCAGAAAATCATTTAAGCAGAAATGTTTTTGATCTTTCTATATCCTTACTAAAGCAAACCATCCTCTGTTTCATGATGTATGTAGAAAGTAAAATAATGTCGTATAAATCTCTTGCGTCGTCGAAAATTTGATATAATGTGGAAAAAAGAACAACTTTGGCGTCAGGAACTTATGACGTCATAATTAAAAAATGGAAACCTTCGGTCAATTACAGCTCCACTAGGAGTTAACACGTGTGGTCATAACCCGATTTCAGCAATGGATGTTATCATAGCATATATTTTGATGCCACTTTATAAAACAAATATACTTATGATATATGTATCGATCTTACTTCACTGCAAAAATGAGATATAGCTTTATTTCAATTCACCAAACCAACTTCCAGAGATGTTTATCTATATTCTTATTTACATTAAATAAATGTTCTTTTATAATTTTAGTTCACCAAAATTACACTACATATACAGTTGCCATTTTGAATCATATATTTCTCCACACATTTAACCTTCACAATCTGACATTATAATTGTCATTTTTCAGCCAAGATAATTAATCCTTCTTGGTACAGGGTAATACATACACACATCGACAGAAATTATCTTATAGTGATTTAAACATTTCATTAATTTTCGTGACACGTTAAACTGTGGCGAAACTTTCCCCGCAATTCATATGTCTCTTCATCATTGAATAGTATTTTAGAAACTGGTGATGCCATTGAGATTACCTTGATCAATAGACAATGACCTCTCATTTTTCAAATCTTTCTCTTGAGGAGCAGGCATGAATGGAAGGAACCTTAGTATTTTGAAATGTTTTAGCTTGTCGAACAGTAGAGGTTCATATACCTCATACCCCTCCGAATATTTTGAGGATGGACTTTCTTCAATGGCTTCCCACGCCGCAATACCTCGTTCTTCCCTTGTGCCTGTAGTAGTATAAATGCTAACAACAGTCATTAACGGTCAAATTATGCTTTGTACAATATACCTTATTGTGTATTGCTCTGTTCTCGCAAGTAAAAATGTATCTGGCTTCAAATGACAAGAAAAGTTATTCATGAAATCGACCTCGGTATTCGGCAAGGAAACGGTATGAATATGAGGTCAATTAATCATTAGTGCGACTTGTTACTTTTAATGATATTATGGTTAATAGGAGTCAAGGGTTGTGACACATGATACTACTGTTATCTATATAATCAGTACGAACTTGTTGTTATTCGAAATCAGAATCCTTTAATTATTGTTCATTTTTAAGATATGGGACTAAGTTTTTTTGTAAACATTATAAGTCCCCAACATAAGTTTTCTAAAAGTTTTGCAACACAATCCAAAACATAACGTAACAAAACCAAAGCACACTGAATACAATATAGAATAGAAGGTGGCCGTGTGGTCATCGAAACGTCACACTCTAATCTTCTACTGTTTCTATTTTAAGAACTTCTATTCTAATAACATTACCAACCTGAAGAAAATGTTTTTTAGATAAGACACTAAATACTGGTAAAGTTTAGGAATAAATTACAAAACTGTGTACATAAATCATAAATCACTATTTAAAATATCACAGATGAATATTTAACGACTAATGTCAATATTTATGCATAGAGTGAAGCATAACGGTATACTTTTAACTAATATATTAGTGTTAAAGACTTTTAACGGTAAGGAAGTTAGTGATGGAATAATGATATTTTACCTGGAATAGTATTGTCGAGAAAGCAGGCCAGTAAACCACCCGTTAAGTTAGGGTTACCAAGCAACATTGTTATCACATCGTCTGCCTCCTTATTTCCTGTTTAAGTAATATACGTGTATTTGTTAATAATTCATCACAGTATAAATCTGACGGAGTTGCTTCCCTTTTGAAATGTATAGGATAGAAACAGATGGCGAAGAATATAACAATAAATGCAATAAACATAAATCTATATATTCATACATGTCTCTGGAGATTAGAGTTGAACAGCATTATGTTTTAAAACTAGAGGAAAACTGCAGTAATATTAGTTCTAGTATGTGCAATGAATGATACAAATTGAAGCCTCTACCAAACCCTACTTACTGTCCAATAATATTAACTGTTTAAATGAACTTCCTTGTTTTATAACATATGTGTAATGACATATGTAAACTTTAGCAATGGTCAGAATGGTTTATATCTTATATGCTATCTTAACAATGATTTGGAAAAAAACAAGAATATAACAACATGTAAACATAATCATAACCAAAATTAAAATTCAATCAAAGTGGGGCAAAATTTGAACAAAAGAGAGAATCCTGAAAAAAGCACAGGGAGAACAAAACCAGGGGTTTCGAAAGAGTAGGCGTCTTCTGCGTCAACTAACAAGCATCAAACACGCCCAGCTTCACATCGAAAAGAAAAGAATCGAATAGAACATTTCTCATTAGGATCAGATAATAAACTATAACTGTGTTACGTGCTTGTCTGTCAGTTGACCACTTTCTACACGAGAAACGAGACAATGGGAGCAGGACCTTGAATATGGAATCAACTGCGATATGTTAACACCATAGGTTGTGGACACATTGGTGTTGATAGATACACTTAAGTATTCATTCCAATAAGTAAACAGAGTACGGAATGCTACACAACGCATAAATAAGATTGTATCAAAAACAGGTAAAGAATATACACAAGCTTGTCTTCAATACGTGTACATTTGTACTATAAGGATAATAATTTGTCTTTATATACTAGTACATGTATCGTATACCGGTTACGTCAATATTTGTAACTTTATTACATATAGATGTGGCCTTGCCATTAATATCAATAATTTTACTATATAAACCTGTGTCAATTGGGTTGTCGTATTCTCGTATCCACTGTGGCACCATCAAGCCTACGATTAGAGATGTTCCGATGATAGTGAGGTTCCGAGTGGATGACATATTGACGCACTTTAGGTTGGATAAGACGACTCCATTGAAGGCACCGAACATAACGATTAGAACGCCTCCTAACACTGGATACGGAATTGTGATGAAAATGGCGGATACTTTTCCAATTAGGCCAAACACTACGTAGATCAGGGCTACTACCATGAACACATGACGACTGGCAACCTTCAACGAACAGTCAGCTATACTTGCATGCTTTAATACGGGGTTTTAATGAAAATAATATTTGTACAAAATTCTATACAAATGAAGGGCAGACGTGATATCTACAACCAGAAAGAAATTGTAGAATACCTTTTATATGGACACACCGTTCATTATCTAATAGTCATCGTGGCGTGATATATTGAATTGAATTAATCATACATCCTTTCAACCACAAACCTCTACAAACTAATGCATATCAAAAAACAAAATGTAAAAAAAAGTAAAATACAAGATACCAACCGCCGGAAAACAAAAAAAATAATGTAGCATCATCTAAACAACACAGACGAATCATGCTGAAGTTATACAGCGAAATAAGCCTTATATTACAAACACTCATCCGAGTCAGTCCTATAGCTCCTATAAAACCATGCATTACAAACACTCACCCGAGTCAGTCCTATATCGCCTATAAAACCATGCGTTACAAACACTCACCCGAGTCAGTCCTATATCGCCTATAAAACCATGCGTTACAAACACTCACCCGAGTCAGTCCTATAGCTCCTATATTTCCACCGTAGGTGGTGGTGGCATGTCCACATCCGACTATACCAGATAGTACTGAACAGAACCCCTCGATTGCAATACCACGGTTTACACCGTGTGTAGGAGGGGGAGGGACTTTACAGATTGAGGCGCATGCGTAATAGTCCCCAATAGAATCCAGGATAGAAACAATAGTTGCTACTATGAAACCAACAAAGACGGATACATCAAATCGCATCGGTCCAAACTGTCCTGAAAAGAAAAAAGACACAAAATATCATGATCTCTTGCAAACGATGTGTAATTTACATGGTCGGAAATCGTTCAAAGGTAGAAAATCAATCACTCTTTACATTCTTCAAATTTTAATGAATATTTCACCTAGAACTCCACTGAACGAAACCACCATTTATCATCATCAATGTAGTGCAATGCACAACCATTCATTTTAGCAAAACGGAAGTAAACTTCTTATTTTCAAATAATACCGGAAAGTACCGTTTAGGATAATGTAGGGAGTAGAACCATGATCAGGTGCGTGGACTCAAACGATTTTGATGTTAATGCTGATGGAAATGACTTGGGGTTCAAGGACAGTAGCCTTTTGCTCAGGGTCCATGGTCGTCATGAAATTATATATAAAGACAGCTAGACATAAGTTGAATGTTACATACCAGGATAAGGAAAGTAGAACCAGTTAGATTTATGAACAATATCCGTCCTAGCATCTGTTCGGGAGTAGAAGTCTCTGTGATTTCGGTCCGTATTAAACACACCTGCTGTCGTCAGAACTGCACACATCACCCAGCCTATCACCAAGGCTATCAGGATCTATTCGGTAAACGTCAATACAGAATTAAAGAATAATAAGGACAACGCGTACAAACCCGAGACGTCACTGGTAATGTGTTCCAAACATTGGTACATTGTATATGCATTTTGGAAAATCGATTATATCCATCTCCTGCAGTCAGGATTGCCTTAAGATTGATATCCTTTTTAATATGATCAGTTGTTCTGGACGAAGTATTCGGTAGATTGATAAGATAAATATGAGAACGAATGAAACAGGCCTCTAATTAACTATTACTGATATAACTTCGAACAATGACAACGACTGTCTACCGATGAATGAGTGCCAGATAAATAGGTGAAAAATATTGCCTAATATCTACAACGGAGACCTTTTATTGAGACATCACACTCAGGAAATGCTTACTGCGAACACCTGATGAAGTGGGTACCGAATAATATGCCAGGATTTCTTTCTAGACCATATCGGTACGGGCGTTTTCATCTCCGCCATGTATAGTGACAGTATTATGGCTAAAGCACATGTCCTGAAAAAAGCTATAGTTAAATCAGATCCTTCTCGGTAGGCTAACCCACAATGATTTTAAATGCCATAATCTGTTTTAAAATATCATAATAAGCAGGATAACTAACGGGAAAGGATGGTTTATATCTAATGTCAAGAAATATTAATAGGTTTTCATAATAATCTGTATTCATTTATAGTACGCCTTGAACACGACCAATACTAATACATCCTTTCAAATGATAAGTGTAATTAGATAATGTCTTTAAATGATATGTAACGTACATCAATGACAGTGGCCAGTTGACTTGAGCAAACTTTATCACTGCGTGTGTCATGTATATACCAATAAGAAGAATGGTTGGAACAATAGTTATCGGTCCTATAAACCGCAGCAAAACTCCAACCAATCCAGTCGCTCCTAATAGGAAATGGACAGCACCGGCGGCTAATAAACTTCCCTGTAACTAAAAAATATATATATCTTTTTCATCTCCGACATTGCTAGATGCCTTGACACGTATTACTAACTTTAACCCTTTTCTTGTTGTGAGAACTTTTCTTCACAAGAACAGCGGAACAGATAGATATGGTTGTGAACTATGCTGATGACGAAATCATAAAAGTGGTCGAGTTTCTAGTTGAAAATATCATTTTATACCATAATACTCCATTCTAAACTGAAAAGAACGCCTTCGTCAACAAAATCATAACCCAAACTCCAATTCCTTAGTTTACCGATTAATTCCAATGTTGTATACCAAGTTTTACATGCCGGGAGAGGTCGTTGTAGTAGAGACGTTTACTCTTCCGGAACACCTTTTGGATTAAGATTATTTCATGAGTTGGTGTTTGTCTTAAGCATGAACTTGTAGTCTTGTTTGTGTAAAGCATGAACTTGTAGTCTCATTTGTGTAAAGCATGAACTTGTAGTCTCATTTGTGTAAAGCATTAACTTGTAGTCTCATTTGTGTAAAGCATGAACTTGTAGTCTCATTTGTGTAAAGCATGGACTTGTAGTCTTGTTTGTGTAAAGCATTAACTTGTAGTCTTGTTTGTGTAAAGCATGAACTTGTAGTTCTGTTTGTGTAAAGCATGAACTTGTAGTCTTGTTTGTGTAAAGCATGAACTTGTAGTTCTGTTTGTGTAAAGCATGAACTTGTAGTCTTGTTTGTGTAAAGCATGAACTTGTAGTCTTGTTTGTGTAAAGCATTAACTTGTAGTTCTGTTTGTGTAAAGCATGAACTTGTAGTCTCATTTGTGTAAAGCATGAACTTGTAGTTCTGTTTGTGTAAAGCATGAACTTGTAGTTCTGTTTGTGTAAAGCATGAACTTGTAGTTCTGTTTTTGTAAAGCATGAACTTGTAGTTCTGTTTTTGTAAAGCATGAACTTGTAGTCTCATTTGTGTAAAGCATGAACTTGTAGTTCTGTTTGTGTAAAGCATGAACTTGTAGTTCTGTTTGTGTAAAGCATGAACTTGTAGTTCTGTTTGTGTAAAGCATGAACTTGTAGTCTCATTTGTGTAAAGCATGAACTTGTAGTCTTGTTTGTGTAAAGCATTAACTTGTAGTCTTGTTTGTGTAAAGCATGAACTTGTAGTTCTGTTTGTGTAAAGCATGAACTTGTAGTTCTGTTTGTGTAAAGCATGAACTTGTAGTTCTGTTTGTGTAAAGCATGAACTTGTAGTTCTGTTTGTGTAAAGCATGAACTTGTAGTTCTGTTTGTGTAAAGCATGAACTTGTAGTTCTGTTTGTGTAAAGCATGAACTTGTAGTTCTGTTTGTGTAAAGCATGAACTTGTAGTTCTGTTTGTGTAAAGCATGAACTTGTAGTTCTTTTTGTGTAAAGCATGTGTAAAGCATGGACTTGTAGTCTTGTTTGTGTAAAGCATGAACTTGTAGTCTCATTTGTGTAAAGCATGAACTTGTAGTCTCATTTGTGTAAAGCATGGACTTGTAGTCTTGTTTGTGTAAAGCATTAACTTGTAGTCTCATTTGTGTAAAGCATGAACTTGTAGATATGTTTATGTAAAGCATGTCCTACCACACATTGGTTTAATATGATAAACTTCTGGCTTGAATAAAACATAATGAATTTGCAAATATTAAATGACTCTGCAGTCTTGCTAGTGTTTAAAATTCAATATATTTGCAATCTATGGTATGATAGATGTGACGAACTGGCAGTTCGGGTTTGAATCAAGACTAATAACATTGTAATTTGACTAGTATTACAAAGCATAAACTTACAGACTTCAATCAATTATGAATGAAACTTACAGACTGTATTGAATGAAGTATGATTTCTTCGGAACCCTCTGGGAAGCTTCTCTCCGTTGTATTGGTGACGTTGTTGAAAACTACGTGTGAAAAAATGATTTTGTAAAATTACCAAGGTATTGGGTTATGCATGATAAAGAATGAGCGAATCTTTTAATGTGATTGTCTGAGGAACTACAAACGTGAGAAACGTGGGGAAACTGTCATAACCCATGCCAGCCATAATTATCTTGCACTGCTTTATATTTTCTGAGTGGGTTTAAATGATAGCATATTTACTAGATAATATGGCGATAAAGAGTGATTTTAAATTAGCTGTCTAACCGTATCAATGATAATTAACTAGCTGTATAACCTTATCAATGATAATAAACGCTGTATAACCTTATAATTTATAATAAACCAGCTGTATAACCTTATCAATGATAATAAACTAGCTGTATAACCTTATCAATGATAATAAACCAGCTGTATAACCTTATCAATGATAATACACTAGTTGTATAACCTGATCAATGATGATAAACTAGCTGTATAACCTTATCAATGATAATAAACTAGCTGTATAACCTTATCGATGATAATAAACTAGCTGTGTAACCTTATCAATGATAATACACTAGTTGTATAACCTGATCAATGATGATAAACTAGCTGTATAACCTTATCAATGATAATAAACCAGCTGTATAACCTTATCAATGATAATACACTAGTTGTATAACCTGATCAATGATGATAAACTAGCTGTATAACCTTATCAATGATAATACACTAGCTGTATAACCTTATCGAGGATAATAAACTAGCTGTGTAACCTTACCGCTGATCGGTCGTGTACCGTTGCATTTTCCTTTGTCTATCTGTGACATAGCCAGAAGTGGTGCCACATAATCAGGTGTAGCTCCCTGGTACAACGGTAATCTGTCATGGTCGCAGAATTGTATTAAAAAGAAACATGATGTACTTTCACTCTGACTAAGGATTTGCAATATGATGTTTTTGTGATGTTGGTGTTGTATGTCATAAAAATCATTAAAGGCGTAGATAAAATTTTTCGTCATAAGAATACTTCTATCATAAAAAAACAAAGCCGTACATAAAATGGTGAATTATTCGTCATTGAAATACTTCTATTATGAAATAACCATCAGGCGACATTTTTCTATATGTATTTCATTTTCATTAGGGTAAATGAAGTACAAAGTCTTAGTAAATCAATGAAGGTATTGATCAAGGTCACAAAAATAGAAAGACTACTGCTGTTTTCTGGTATACACGGAAAGTACAATGAAGTGTAACGCTAATATACCAAAAGGACTAAATCAGCGGATACAATCAATATCAAATAGACATGATCAATAAGAATAAATGCCAAAGTCATTTTTGAAGAGACTGACCTTATTCCAAGAGTGACCATGAAAAATGTAGTGACGCCATTCATGAACAGGGTAGAACTCAGGAGTTTGGCTTTGAATTCGTCGTTGTCCTCAGCACACACCACTTCTGCTACTAACAGGGATACGGCCAGAGAACCAGACAGGGATAACAGAGCTTGCTGTAAATAACAATATGCAATATTCTTGATTTCAAATTTAAACTTAATACTGAAATCGCTATTTTAACTCCAGATGGTCACCTAAATCAAAGTTTCCACAATAAAGTGACTACTTTTGTAATCAGATTACAGTCTGATCAAATCTAGCTTTTAGTCATCACTATTTGATATTATCTCAGTAACGAGTTTTATTGGTAAGCTCCTCTTTATTGCAATCGTGTACCGATCATAACACTTGCTATAGCCTTCGGTTTTGTTTGATTAGTTTTTTTTCGCCTTACAAAATATGTTTAAGTAAATGTCGACGTAGCAAATATGTTATTAAACGTCTCGGAGAAAGATCTTACCTGGAAGGCAAACATGAGAGTTAGATGTGGAGGAACATAGGAGCTAATCTTGTAGATAAGATCAGTTGTCATCTGCTTGACTTTTTCTTCCTCTTCTGGAATGGTAACACAACTACGCTGGACCTCGTCAGTCTTTACATTTGTTTCATTGGAAGGTCTTCGCTTTTCTACATTTGACGAAGTGATTCTTGTCCCGGGTACATCGAGGTACTATAGCGAAAAGCATATTCAATATAACAGTTTATTAGTTTTTGACAAAAACAACAAGGACAACATCAACATATCAACAGAATTCAAACTCCAATCCGATAAAACTAGGGCAACATATCAACCATATTCTGTTTCATCGACTGTACCCGCCATGTAAATCTTGGTCAATCCTAAATTCCTGAAAAAGAGCAAGGTAGATAACTATATCATCTTGAACTTCAAAATGACAGACGGGAAAAAAGGTATTCTAAACATGGACATTGGATGTATTTGATAATAAGGACATCTCTTTCCCTGTCAGCTTATTCAATCAGCCAAAATGAATTTTTGACGATATCAAATAAATATTTTTGTTATAGAAACCCTTATCTATGTGCATAAGTCAGAAAAACCTACATAGAAACACAATTACATTTTTTACAATTGTCTGTCATTACTATTGTCATCACTATTTTATCCTCTTGCTGTTGATGATTCTGGCAATCAAACAAATTAAAAGATGCCATCTGTTTTCCTATTTAAGATAAGAATTAAGCCGTATAAAATCCACAATAAAATCCAAACACTGCATTTCTTTATTTATTATGACATCGACGTTTTGTTTACGTATAAAAGTGTGTCGTATTTGAGTTGTCGCAACGTTGTTCTCACTTTGATGACATAACATTACTTGGATTTAATCACGAATTTTAGTTTCTATGTCATCCGTGGAGATTAAATCTAGACATAGGCAAGAATTACTAAACTGGTATTGACTACGTATTTTGCATTCAATTATTGTCTATCTCAATATTTTTCGATGTTCTTTGACTATTATTTATATATGAATTTTTTGTTTATTGAAGACCACATGTTTATTTGATAAACATACGACTCCTTTTTAATGAAAAGCTGTAAGATTTTACACAAGTTCTTTCGTTATCAGTAAGCTTTACCACTTTCGCTTTCTTATTGAACCAGTACATCTTTGCTTTAATAGCATTATTGTTTTATCTAAGATTTTAGAAAGTACATTATGTACTACATGGCAAACATTTTCTGGGGAAACATCGTTTCTACGTTTAATACAACATATATACAAGGACGAATTCACGACAAAATTCCCCGTACACCTTGATTGAACATAAATCACGCAGATATTTAATTTTTTTATCTAAGTAAATACTTCTCTGAACGGATAAAACGGATATGTCTAAAAACAGACAGTTGTTTGTTTGTCATCAGTATGGTTTACATCAGACATTATTCGTGATAAATAATATGTGTCTAGGCATGAAAAACTTTATGGATGTAGAACACAGCAATGTTAACGGACGGCAAATTGCAATGTTTAACATCTATTTTATTCAGGACTGTGTGAGGTCAGCGTGTGTGACCCGTTCCTGTGGTAGAACTCGATTACCTAGAGCTTGTTTATTTTGTTTTTAGAAAAATGACGTACTGGTCACAGATTATTCCCAACGCAGAAGTGTACCTTTCGTCAAGATATGTTTAATTCATTCGAATAAAAGTACTGCTCAGAATATACACATGTACTTGACCTTCGTTTGACAATAACAATTGTAGTAAAAACATTTTTGCGGTGAATTTTAAGGGTTCTAAAGTCGCCTCGAAAGTTAATTCTCAGTATCATACAATTTATCTCACGATTTGATTCTACTCTATCTAATTCTAGATTTGTATTGAAAAGTGTTTTCACAATTATGTAAAAGGACATGGTACCAGACAATTACATTTGTCGTTTAACTTAATAAAAACCGAGCTGAAATATGATTATTACAAAATAATTAAAATGATTAATGGCTGCGTCGTAAGCATCGGGAAGTATAAACATGTACTTAATATCGTTCTAAATATGATCATTTTTTACTTTTCTTATAATATTTAATGCAATTAATAAATTAAATACGAATAAGGTGTGTGGTCCAGATGGTATTTTGAATGAGTTTTTAATTTAAGACTGTTAATGCCTTGCTTTATCACTTTATTCAACATTATGCTTTAATATGGATATTTTCCAGAAAGTTGGGAAAAGGTCTCTTTTTTCAAAAAGGGGGGGGGGGTGCTAATGAACTAAATAACTACAGCGGGATTACTACTGTCAGTTGTCTAGGAAAACTTTTCACATCTATACTCAATAATAGACTGGTGATCTTTGACTTAAAATTTAGAAAAATATCTGATGTTCAATTTGACTGAAAACAAAATCATTCTACAACTGGCGCTATATTTGCACTAAAAGCACACAAACAATAATTAACCGTACTGTGAGAAATAGGAGAAGACTGTACTGCTGCATTGTTGATTGTACTGAGGCATTTGGTTTTGTAGTTTAAATCAATAAGGGAAGGTATTGATGGATAATTATTAAAGATAATCAGGTCGCGGTATAGTAGTGTTAAATGTTGTGTTAAGCATATTGGTTCATTATCTTGTTATTTTGACTATGAATACGAATTGTTCCAATGGGAAATTCTATCATCTAAAATGTTTTTTCTGTACGTTATTGAAATGCAATTTTTAATTGACAACTGTCCTTCGGTTGAAATTCAGACTCTAAACTTGTTCCTGTTAATGTACACAGATGACCTGAAGGCTTACGGGGTATGCTAAGTTCTTTAGTCTCATATATAAAAAATGGAATTTAACTATCAATACAAGTAAAACAAAAATTCAGGTTTTTCGAAATGGTGGCCTTTTGAAAAATGACGAAACCCGGAACTGTGACGGTTGCCAATTAGAAATTGTAAATTAATTGAACTATTTGGACATGCTACTCAACAAAAGGACAAAAATCGCAGAGAAACGACGAAAAGCTTTATTTTCCGTTTTAAGCGTTTGCGATAAAAATCATTTTTAATATTGAATCCCAATTATCGGTCTTTGACACATATGATAATAGCATTTTAAGTTATGAATGCGAAATATGGGGCTTTCATAAAGTACCTGAGGTTGAAAAAAATCACACGATGTTCTGGAAAATATTTTTGGGTTTTGGAAATATACGTGTAATGATATGGTTTATTTAGAACTTGGTAGGTTTCCACTGACATTTCTAAGAAAATTAAGAATATTTAAGTATTGGATGAAATATAAAAAGAAAAAAAATTGCATATTAAAATGATGACATGAAGATATGTTGGAGAATAATGATAAATAGGTTTTAAACATTTAGGTTATATTTGGGAAACAGAAAAAAATGTAAATTTATGTAATCAGGAAAAGAATTTATGATATATTTAGACAAGACTGTACAGAGAAAATTAGAACTTCACCGAAAGGACATATTTATACCCATTTTCATATTAAACTGAACAAATTAGACTGTATCTCATAATTTAAAAGTAGAAAAGATTCGATATCAAATATACCATGAAATTTACGAGTATGTACCATTTGTAATTTAGATGATACAGAAAACATTTTATATTGAAATGTCCTTGCTACACGGGCCTGAGGAAAATCATTTTGAAAAAGAACTATTATGAAATCAGAAATATGTTTAAACGAGTACAAATTTTAATGTAAAAAACAAATACAAAAAGAAATTACAAAATTGTCTAAATATATCAAGGTTGCTAACGTTTTAAGAGATCACTTGAGCTTATAGTTTGCTCTCTCCGGGTCTGGATTGTATCTGTAATCAAGTGTTTGTATATTGTTATAAATGTTTTATGTTGTTACTTTCTTGTATCCGATGAGTAAGTTGACTTTAGGTAATAAAGAACTTAAACTTGAACTCATCATTGCAATTAAGTAAAAATCTGTGTTGTTAATATATTGACAATTATATGAACATATGTGTTAATAATTACAATCATATCATTGTATGCTAATAATACCAATTGTATAAATATATGTTCATACTGACAGTTATGTAAATATGTGTTGATATTGACAATTATGTAAATATGTGTTAATATTGACAATTATGTATGTGTTAATATTGATAGTTATGTAAATATGTGTTAATATTGACAGTTACGAAAATATGTGTTAATATTGACAAATATGTAAATATGTGTTAATACTGACAATTATGTAAATATGTGTTAATATTGACAATTATATGTGTTAATATTGACAATTATGTATGTGTTAATATTGACAATTATGTAAATATGTGTTAATATTGACAATTATGTAAATATGTGTTAATATTGACAATTATGTAAATATGTGTTAATATTGACAATTACGAAAATATGTGTTAATATTGACAATTATGTAAATATGTGTTAATATTGACAATTATGTAAATATGTGTTAATATTGACAATTACGAAAATATGTGTTAATATTGACAGTTATGTAAATATGTGTTAATACTGACAATTACGTAAAATATGTGTTAATACTGACAATTATGTAAATATGTGTTAATATTGACAGTTATGTAAATATGTGTTAATACTGACAATTACGTAAAGTATGTGTTAATACTGACAATTATGTAAATATGTGTTAATACTGACAATTATGTAAATATGTGTTAATACTGACAATTATGTAAATATGTGTTAATATTGACAATTATGAAAATATGTGTTAATATTGACAGTTATGTAAATATGTGTTAATATTGACAATTACGAAAATATGTGTTAATATTGACAGTTATGTAAATATATGTTAATACTCACAATTACGTAAATGTGTGTTAAATGTTAAAATGTATGTGTTCATATTTACAATTATGTAAATATTAGTGTTTAAACTGATATTTATATAAATATATTTCTTCAAACTGACAATCATGTAAATTTTTGTATTTATAGTTAGAACTATATCATTTTCATGTTTGTATTCATACTGACTCCATGATATAAACGCTCGCGTTGTAACTGTTACATGTATTATTCTCCATGCAATTTAAGTGACATGTTTTATACCTAGCTCTAGATTCAGACACATCTCACTACAACTCATGAACTGGATATCAGATAAACCAAATTTTGATGATCACAGATTTTAGAAAATATTCATATATTTATACAACTCGTCTGGGTTATCATTATGGGTTTTATAAAGTCGTGACGATGAAATTATTTCAAAGTTTATGAGGACGTGGTAATCTGCTGACCTTATTTCCATAGAAAAAAAATGTACATATCACCAAAGACGCTTTTTTTCCTTTTTTTTAACGGATAAACTATAATTCAAATATTATTCAAAGTCTTTAGACTGTTGTACATTATATGGAACATCATCGGAAGAAAACACCTGGGCGAGAACATTATTAGATGTAAGATAAATAAAATAACATGTAAAACCGTTAAAAACCATCCTGCAGTAAGTACAAAGGTGCCTTTGATATACATATCATTTTTACCTTATTGTTTTCCGTTCGTTCCGACATGGTATATCCCTCGTTTATAGCACTGATCTCCATGACTACACTTCTAAATCACGTAATAATTCATCGATTAAGACCATAAATTGTCATAGAGATAGGCCTTAGTTTAAAATCACTGTACCTGAACGAAAAGTATGTAATCAAGTCACGTAGCGCCAGGTAAGGTCATGTTATGTTCAATGTTTTTTTCTGAACACACATACTACACGTGTGCTGCGACGAGATGATATTGAAGTAATTATAATTAAGAGGAACACCTTGACCTGAATTCATAGGTTACTTTAAAGTACGGCTTCTGATATGTCACATCTCTTGGCATGAAACCTGCTGTCAGAATTACAAGTGTTAAAGGTGATACGTATATGTACTAAGTACATTCCGATACAGGTGATAGATATATGTACTAAGTACATTCTGATACAGGTGATAGATATATGTACTAAGTACATAAGTACATTCTAAGTGATACAGGTGATAGATATATGTGATAGATATATGTACTAAGTACATTCTAAGTGATAGAAGTGATAAATATGTGTACTAAGTACATTCTAAGTGATACAGGTGATAGATATATGTACTAAGTACATTCCGATACAGGTGATAGATATATGTACTAAGTACATTCTAAGTGATAGAAGTGATAGATATGTGTACTAAGTACATTCTAAGTGATACAGGTGATAGATATATGTACTAAGTACATTCCGATACAGGTGATAGATATATGTACTAAGTACATTCTGATACAGGTGATAGATATATGTACTAAGTACATTCTGATACAGGTGATAGATATATGTACTAAGTACATTCTGATACAGGTGATAGATATATGTACTAAGTACATTCTGATACAGGTGACAGATATATGTACTAAGTACATTCTGATACAGGTGACAGATATATGTACTAAGTACATTCTGATACAGGTGACAGATATATGTACTAAACACATACTGTATCATGACGATGCATTTGGGTTTTTTTTATTTTTATTTTGATAACATACATATTTACAGTTACGACTGTCACATTTCCTTCTGTGTTGAAAACTTTGTTAACGCCCTACATTCACATTCTCGTTTGCATTAAATATCCGTTGTCTATTCATATAAGTTCCCGGATGTATGTACTCCATCATATGTAAATTACAGCTTTTTTCCAATCTAGCTACATTTCACCATTGTTAACACACTATTATGGTGATGTGTCCTTGCCGCCGGTGTTTCACCTTCAAATTCCTTACTTGTCGCATCATTTAATTCACGTAGACCTATACCAATGAGCTAAAGGATGTAGAAAAGGGTATTTCAAGTAGACATTTCTCGATTATAATGTAAACTTCGTAGTTAACGAAAGACTGCAACGAAAAGTATTCCACATTGACATTACTCGATTAACTTAAGAATGAAATCAATGAAAGAATTAATACTGTTTTACGTGGATCTTTCTCGATGACCTAGAAATGAGGGGAAAATTGTAGGTCACGTGGGCCTTTCTCGATGACCCAAAGAATGTAGAAAATTAGTATTTCACATGGACCTTTCTCGATGAACTAAAGAATGCAGAAAAAGACACTATATTTGGCGTATTACTGTTTGGATGAACTGAAGAATGCAGACTTGTAGATTTCGATGTTTACATTCATGTAGTCTTGTAAATAGTTAGGATTTCAGATTTGATACCAAGTGATGTTTATGTACCAAAATTGCACAAGTTTAAGTTTATACATATTAATCCACGCGTTATACATACTAATTCACACCTTATACTGTTTAAGTCAAACGTTTTACATGCTAATTCACACCTTATACTGTCTAATTCACACGTTTTACATGCTAATTCACACGTTATACTGCCCAATTCACACCTTATCCTGTCTAATTCACACGTTATACATACTAATTCACACCTTATACTGTCTAATTCAAATGTTTTACATGCTAATTCACACGTTATACATACTGATTCACACGCTATACTGTCTAATTCACACGTTATACTGTCTAATTCACGCGTTATACTGTCTAATTCACGCGTTATACATACTAATTCACACCTTATACTGTCTAATTCACACGTTATACTGTCTAATTCACACGTTATACATACTGATTCACACGCTATACTGTCTAATTCACACGTTATACTGTCTAATTCACACGGTATACTGTCTAACTCACGCGTTATACTGTCTAATTCAAATGTTTTACATGCTAATTCACACGTTATACTGTCTAATTCACACGTTATACATACTGATTCACACGCTATACTGTCTAATTCACACGTTATACTGTCTAATTCACGCGTTATACTGTCTAATTCACACGGTATACTGTCTAACTCACGCGTTATACTGTCTAATTCAAATGTTTTACATACTAATTCACACGTTATACTGTCTAATTCACACGTTATACATACTAATTCACACGTTATACTGTCTAATTCACACGTTATACATACTAATTCACACGTTATACTGTCTAATTCACACGTTATACTGTCTAATTCACGCGTTTTACTGTCTAATTCACACCTTATACTGTCTAATTTACGCGTTATACTGTCTAATTCACACATTATACTGTCTAATTCACACGTTACACTGTCTAATTCACACCTTATACTGTCTAATTCACACCTTATACTGTCTAATTCACACCTTATACATACTAATTCACACGTTATACTGTCTAATTCACATGTTATCCTTTCTAATTCACACGTTATACATACTAATTTACACGTTATACTGTCTAATTCACACGTTATACTGTCTAATTCACACGTTACACTGTCTAATTCACACCTTATACTGTCTAATTCACACCTTATACTGTCTAATTCACACCTTATACATACTAATTCACACGTTATACTGTCTAATTCACACGTTATACTGTCTAATTCACACAATATCCTGTCTAATTCACGCCTTATACATACTAATTCACACGTTATACTGTCTAATTCACACGTTATACTGTCTAATTCACGCGTTATACTGTCTAATTCACACCTTATCCTGTCTAATTCACACTTATACATACTAATTCACACGTTATACTGTCTAATTCACACGTTATACTGTCTAATTCACGCGTTATACTGACTAATTCACTAGTTATACATACTAATTCACACGTTATACTGTCTAATTTACACGTTATCCTGTCTACTTCACACGTTATACTGGCATATTCACGCGTTACATATGTTTATCCGCGCTTTCCAACAACCAGTTTGGGGAAAATTTTGTGTTTCTTCTTATGTAAATGTTGTAAAAAAAATTGAATATTATACCTAGAAAATGATTTCAGAGAAACGTAAGCAACCTTTCAAAGTTGTGCTGAGACATTGCTGTAGCTGAATATGTTTATAGGTGGGACAGGAGGTTGGAGATGTGGAGAAGGGGTATACGTTTATAGTAGGGACAGGAGGGTTGAGATGTGGAGAAGAGGTATACGTTTATAGTAGGGACAGGAGGGTGGAGATGTGGAGAAGGGGTATATGTTTATAGGAGGGACAGGAGGGTGGAGATGTGGAGAAGGGGTATACGTTTATAGTAGGGACAGGAGGGTTGGAGATGTGGAGAAGGGGTATACGTTTATAGTAGGGACAGGAGGGGTGGAGATGTGGAGAAGGGGTATATGTTTATAGGAGGGACAGGAGGTTGCAGATATGATATTCTAAAAGATGCTGCTGCGTTTTCATTCTGTAACCTACGTAGGTCCTAACACGTACATCAGATTTGGAAACACATTTAGGAAGTCCCCCTGTCTTCAGTTTAGTCACTTAGTCACTGGTCTTTCGATGCGTATTCGATTGCCTCTCCGACAAATGTAAATGTTCTAACTAAATTTAGAATAGCTTCAATGAACAATAACCTGTTTGAAGTGCAATAGGGTTTTTGAACATATCTTTCAGTTTGATAAAGAATGACACTTTACTGTCTAGTAATGGAACATGACAATATCTAGACAACAAGACCAGTGCAAATATATTCAAAGAACCCTATCATGTGAAAATGAAATAAAATATTTTGGTTCCAGTTCCGATTCACATCACATGTATTGACAATAATTTCCTTCCACATTAAAACAGGTCTGGTAACATCCCTTCATTATATACGCCCCCTCTTTTAAACCAATATAGCTATTGACAAATTATATACGTTTATATCACACTCTACACTTAAACTTGATAGCAATGTTGCTTCAGCGTAATGCAAGAGATGATGATGATGATGATGATGATGATGATGATGATGATGATGATGATGATGATGATGATGATGATATTAATGAAATTAATGTTTGGTCATACTCATTTTTTTTTTTTTTTTTTTACATAATCCTTTTCATCATCATGTTGTTTGGACAGCATATGTGTGTATAGAATGACATAACGACGTTTATGGATGACGATCTGCTATTTGTTACATGGGAAGCAACTCTTACTTGAATTGTGGGAATAGACTGTTGAAAACGTCTTTCACCTGTACAATCATTTTCATTTTTCTTCTAACCCGGGCAAAATTTAATTTGACGTATCCATTGTTGTAACACTCTAATGAACTGATGGAATTCATAGCATTTCATTAATTTCATGAATTTTCATGGCGTCTTCAAGACACTGTAATGACATTATGTAAGCTGACCGTCGAACAGGAGATAAGGGGCCGTTAAGAATGCAATAATAATAATAATAGGTTATAAGTAACAGCACTGGCGAATACATGTAGGATGTTACATGATTTTCACTTCTTATGAAATTAATGAATAAAGTCTTTCTTCTATTTATTTTCAAAGCAACCCTCTTCTAAAGCATAAAAACGAGACGAGTTCCTTAAATCACATATAAAAACATTTGGAAAGGAATTTGTATGGATCATTTGATCAATTATTTTGGACAAAATGTTCCTTTCTTTATTATTATTTTTTTAAAGGGGAGGTTACTTTCCCATGTCATGCTTTTACGTCCTCTCCGTTCTTTACCTGGTATCAATTGTGATGTCACGATGTAATCGATAAATGTGTCACGTCATTTCAGTCTAATCGTGACATCACAATAGGGTATTATTAGATGTATATTCAACGACTAAAACGGCAATCTTGTTATAGCATTCAATATTGAACTGACATGATATGTAAATAATTTCATAAGTTCATGTCCAGTATGAATGACACAGTTTCCAGACATGCAGTAGCTAGAGACTTGATAATTACATATTTTGAACTTCTTCTCAAGCTACTTTGGTCCCATCGAGTTGAAAATTGGTGGGGATGATAAGGAAAAGAAGTGTTCTTATTTTTCTGCATTGTCGTAAGTTGTATATGGCAACACCTATTTTAATTTTTTCACGTTCTTTAGTGGAATCCAGCTGAAATTGGCCTGAAATGATTCCGAGGTTGTCCTGACATAGTGTTGCTAATTTTCGATTCGGTCCGATATGCAATATGGCCGCCGTGGCCACTGTGTCGAAAAAAAAACATTCTAAAGTTATTTTCTGTAGCTGAAAATTGTTTAGGATGTTGAAGAGAGGAAGTCGACAAAGTGTTGATATATTTCGTCTTCGTCCAACGTCCATTTGTAACATTATTTCGTAACTATGGTTTTCCGGAACAACATCTGATTTAAACTTCTCAATTTCAAAAAGTGTTATTCATCTGAATTTGGCATGAAATGATCCTGAGATGATCTTGTCAATGTCTTATTTTTTTAGACGGTCTAGAATCTAAGATGGCCGACATGGCTGCTCAATATTACTGCTGCTTTTGTATTTGATTATGATCAGATGACCCATTCGTGTTTTGTCATATAAAACATAAAAACAAGCAATGGAGTCAAAATAGTTAACCCCGAAGCTCACATTCAAACAATTTTTGTGTTGTCGAAAGAACTCTCCTTTGCAAGAGGCGCAACGCTGAACAGTGGGACTCTCTACCTTATTCGTGCATTATATACTGGACACACTGGAGTGAAGTCAAACAATAAGAAAATAATTTGGAACCATTTTGAATCAATATCATTCAAGCGTGTCGTGATTAATTGCATCAAAAGTCCATAACCCTCTAAAACAAAGTTAAGGTCTCAATGGCGCTGAAAATTCAAAATACTTTGGCATGGGTTCGGTAACACTATCAATAGTGTGTCCTCCATTGGCCCCAAGAACGGCAGGACATCGGTTTGGTTTGCTGCGAATCAGGCGCCGTACAGTCGTTCATGGAATATGTTACCTTTCTTGATGAAATGCATCAGCAAGTTCCTGTCGGTCGACAGGAAGCCGCGGACGATCGGTAATGCGTTGTTGTAACATGGCCCATGCATGTTCGGTCGGGTGATCGATACGCTCGGAGTTACTCATTCAAGTAAAGAGCTCTCTATGTGTTCGGGTAGTGTCGTTCATCAGTACCAACTCGGGGCCGACATCATCTGCAAAGGGTCTTACAGTTGGATGACCTGTAAGGCTACCCCATCAATTACGTTCAGCTTGAGTCAATCCGACATTCGAACGTGATCCCTGCCCAATCCATTATCCAGCCCCCACCGAAACTGCCATGCTCAGAGACGCAGCAGTCAGCTTACCTCTGACCCACCCCACGCCAAACACCTGTCATCATGAAAGTCCAAACAAAACCTGGACTCATCCGTACAAAGCTGTGGTCAGCTAAGGTGACGGCGTGTGAGTCGAGGGCGTATAGCGAGTCTGTTCACGAGCGTGTAATCCAGAGATGTGAAGTCTAGTCTTCACTATTTATGCAGAAATTCTTACTCTAGTTGCTTGACGGAAGTCGTTACTTAAACCGATTTCGCCTTGTAAGAGCAGAGACGTGTGTTATACGTCTCGGATAAGAGTACCGTTAAATAACGACCCTGTCGTACACTGTGGTCTGCCCGATCGAGGTCTCCCGGTGACGTTTCCGTTCATCTTGAATCGATTCCATAATCGAGGAATGACACTGTGTGACATATTGAAGTGTGCAGACACAGTTCTTAATGATTGTCCTGCCTGTAGCATCCCGTTGGGACTGCTCGGTCAGTCTGTGCAGCTGTCGGGTGATGTCGCATGTTAACAAATATTCAAAACCGGATGCAAAATGACAGGACATTCAGAATAAAAAAACAAAATTTGTCATTTGATTTTTACGATGATTCCACACAGACTTGCAATAAAACCGCCATTGGCAATTTGATCTAACTCTGTGTTACCCGATATCTTGTCGCACGTTCATGGTTGGGAAGGCAAATCGTTACCGAAAAGTTATTGTGTATACATTGGTGATCAAACGATGGTCAAGGAGTGTCAAGCTGGTGGCAGACAAAAAACGCTTATATTTGTGATCCTTAATTTTTTTGTATCCAATTTACATGTATAAAGAATGTTCTGGCTCAGATATCGGTCTTCGGCTTAAGCAGGTCTTTAGAAGTGATGTCATCAAGTTTAATCTTTTTGTAAAGTCTAACAAGGGACGTCCCTGGTCTAACCAAATCAATTTTATTTAAAAGTCGCAACTCGATCCTACCGAAATAGAGCATGAAGCTTTTACAACCAATTATAAAAATTGATAACTATTGTATACTGTTCTGGCTGGTAAGAACCATACAACAAGCATACATAAAGACATTTGTTGTCACCACAGTCCTAGGTCCGTGACGACAGGAGTCTGTCACGTCAGGACTTAAGTACAGTAAACGTTTATGTGGCTTTTTTGGCAATGTCGATCGCTTTGTTTGTATGACCTTCACATTACGTTTGTTGTAAACACTTGGATAAAATTAGATCGTGAACGGATTGTTTACCACGTGTTCATCTTAACCAATCAAAACGACTGACTCTGATCACGTGTCATAACTTCATACCAAGGGAAAGAGGATTTCGCGCTGCAAGCTGTGGTCAAGAAAAATATTTTCAGTAGCACATTTTGCCTTCAAGGTAACTTGTGCATTTTGTGCAGGGTTGGGAACTCTGTACTTTGTAATCTGAGATAGTCTGTATTTGTAAATTTTGTAGCTTAAACGCCTGTCATGACCACCGAAGTCGAAGTGTCTAATGTTGATGAAAAATTCCAAAATGGCGACGGTGAAATATCAGAATTGAACGGGAATGGGTTTACTGAGGACTTAAATGGTACTGACAGTCAGTCTCCAGGTGGAAGAATTATCAGGAAAGCAAAACGATTTCATCGGCAGAATTCAGGACCTGACGCACTGGTTTTAAATGGGGAAACGAAGACTGCAGCTCAAGCAAAACAAGCACTCGCAGTAAACAAAAATAGCCGTAAATCCAGGGATGGCCGCGGCCGAGGCCTACCAAAGAAAGGTGAGCTACTTATTTAAATTTTGCTTATTTTTCATGGCCATTAATTTTTGTAGCATTCACTGGATGCCAATTTAAATGCTGTCATAGTTGAATTCTGGCATTCGACATCGATGTTTTGGATGAAAATGTCCGCGGAAGGATTTGTTTGTTTATCTGTTCCACGTACACCACGTGTTCCGTCAGCCATGTTTACAAACAACATTAGGTGTTGTGGGCCATTTTTTAAAGCAGCGATTTATGCTGATTTAATTTAAGTCTGGGGTTAATTAAGACAAAAACAGAAGTTTTAAATTGAACTATTAGTATAAATGATATTAACACTTTGTATGGGATAATATGACCTAGTGCGCTCATTTTGTGCAAGGTCACTTATGAATCACCCTAGGCTAATTATAAGCTGGTGAATCGGATGATTGAACCGCCTGACTTAGGAAAGCGTCTTCAAACAGTTTTAAGATTGCATCATCACTATACATACAATGTTAGAGATTTGTATAAACAAGGTGATGCAATATTTACATATGAAACCATTAATGATCTGTTACATATATTTTATAAAAAATAAAATTAAAAATATGGGTATAGTCTGTCTTACAAGTGAAACATTTATGACACTAAACAAAGGAACTGTTGATTTTCTTTTATAGTACATTTCTAATCAGGAAGAAGAAAAAGCTAATTCAAAAATAGATTAATAAATGTTAAAATGGATGGAAAATATATATCCTTTCACTTTCTAGAGATGAAAATCTTTGTCAATTGACTGGTTTCAGTCTTTTTCCTCTCTGAAACAAGATGATTCCACTTATAAAGTTTTCATTAAAGAAAATGATATATTGAAATAAATAGAACATAACCTTTGTTGAGATTTTTTGTTTTTCATCTTTTGATGTTCTGTGATGGCAGATAGTTTGATGTTACACTTAACAGAGTCACAACATTTTGAATGTGATATTCCAAGATAATATGCTGTTTTCAGGTAAAAACCACAAAACATATTTTGAATCAAATCTACAGGTGTTTATACCTACAGCCAGACAGAGAGATAATGTCTTGTTTTGCAGTTGTGTTAATTTAGGTTGAAATAGTTGAAAGGTTATGTTTCAACAAGTCTCAGGTAGTTGAAAGTTCAAATCAAAGATCAAAGTGAAAACCAAGCCTTTTTTTAACAAAGGTATTTAAAATAATGAATTATAAAATGAACAAAATTATAAAAATTGAATTTGGGGATATTAATAATATATATTTTCTAGCATTTGTGAGTAAATAACTTTACAGTGAGCATGGACCCTGTACCTGTATACAAGATTTATTGAAAGTGGGATAATTATGATTCACTAAAAAATGGGAACTTGCCATCAGTGATATGTCTTCTTTTATTAAATCAGCAAAATAATGAAAATGGTATTTTCATGTATGAAATATTCATCATTTTAGAGATGAGTTATTTCCTTTCATTCAGATCATGACCATGGCTATTTGACAGTTTAAAATAATCCTGCTGTCTCCCCAAACTTTTTTGCAATCAGACTGTTATACATCAAATGTACATCACTTTCAAGTTTTAATACAAAGAATCTTTTTAACAAACTTCTACATTTTTATGCAAACAGCATGCAAATAGGGAAAATAAAAGCTGAGCTAGGGAAACACAGGACAATTTTCAATTGGTAATGGGTCTCTTCATTGGACACTACAAACCCCAGAAAACCTGTCTCTGGGGATGGATAAAAAGGACACCTTATACAAGAACTAATTTTGAAACCCTGAGCACTACATCATAAAGGAAAGGGCACTTTGATTAGATAAAGCAGAACATGTTTATCTTGTAACAAACAGAACAACACATAGCACAAGAGCAATTTCTCTATATAAGTTTATCTGGATCAAAGACAGGAAAAGTGGATATCTAAACTGTCATTTCATATCAACTGGCTGAAGTCTTAACTAGTTATTATTATTGTTTTCACTGAATTAAGGTTATTTTGTGGTATGAACAGGTGGCGCAGGAGGCAAAGGAACGTGGGGAGCACCGGGAGATGAAATCCTAATGGAAGAGAGGTGCAAAGATGCAAATGACCCTAACTATGATTCTGAGAGCGAGGTAATAATCTTCAGCTGATGTATTTCCTCATACAATATGATAGAAACTTCCACAGTAATGATTGATCCTGATCTTTAATGACTAGCATTTCAATACTTGGCATGATTTTGCTTTAAGACCTTTACGACATGTGTATTGTAACTATATAAATGAAAATGCAGCTAAGCACACAACTGAAGATGTAACATTTCATGATAAAAAGAAAAAAACAACCAAACTTCTTCATAGTTTAATACCCTGGAGAAAAGCACGTTTTTCCAATTGGTTTTTATTCATATGAAATATATTTTTGATTTCAGGATGAATATTTTGTAGAAAAAATAGATCTAGAAGTTTCTCAGGAAGAACTTAAAAAGGTTCTCGAACCTGTGATTTCTGAATACTACAACCATGGTGATACGTCAGAAGTGCAGGTGAGACCTTGATAATTCTACACAGGAGATACAGTCAAACTTTGTAAACTCAAAGTCATTAGGGTTGTGAAAAAAATTGAGTTATCTGAGTTTTAGTAACCAGGTTTCAGCGTCTGCTCTAAGACTTTGTACAATGCAATATATAGCCTTTGGAAACAAAGAAAAATGAGGTTATTTGGGTCATTGATTAACCAACACATATGCCAGTTTCTAGCTAGGGAAAGACAAGAATAACACTACACAAAGGGAAAGACAAGAATAACACTACACAAAGGGAAAGACAAGAATAACACTACACAATTTCAGAAGCTTATTCTAATTGTATGATGTTATATTACACAAAATTATTACAACAACACTTTCATGCAAGTGAAAGCTCCAGACACTTGGTAAACAGATGGAAGTTTCAAACCGGAAGTAAAAGAGCACAAATACATGCACAACACAACATAAGTGCCTAGGAGTGTCCATATTAGTGCAAAATATATTGAGGACTATAAGTAATACAAAAGCAGTAGACATAATGTGATGTTGACTGCTTCAAAATCACCTTCACGATGGTAACTGACTTTCTTCAGCTTTCTCTATTAATGTCCAAGCCATATATGCTTGTGTGAAAACACTAGCCAATACCAGACCAAGATTATTGTTACAGTGCGGTGTGGCCCATATTTCTGTGTCACATTGTTGTGAGCTTTCAGTGTATATAAATGGCTTGCTCCAAGTACCACTGAACTTTCACTGTTAATTAAAGTTAATAAAATCATGGACCTGGTTTTATTGAAACAGTAGCCAACTGATTTTATTCTCACAATTTAAAGCGATACCGGGCGTAGGGCGACAAATGATAACAATATGTACTCGAGACACGGTCTGCCTTAACACTTTGTCATAATTTCAGTGGACCAATTTTTACTTCACATCAGAGTTTGTCCTAGTTTTTCAAGTCTTTATTATTAAGATAAAGAAGAATTTTGCTAGGACTGACAAAGTTAAGTGGGGTAATAAAGTTTTACAAATTCAAATTAAGTTTGACTGTTGTTTAGATATTGTAATATTCTGATTGATTATGAAATGCTAAAGTTCAGACAAGTATGTGTGAAAGTCTTTGGTTATAAAGTTATAATGTCAGTGAAGTACTGACACAAGTTACTTAACTGTTTCGGAAAATTTCACACTATTTGTACTAATACACTGAAGGGTCTTGTTTCTCTTTGGCAGAATGAGTTTGGTATGTGATCCTTGGATTTGTCTTTTTTCAGGAAACATTGCTGGACCTGAAATTATGCACCTTAAAACCTAAAGTTATAGAAACTATATTGAATATGGCACTAGACCACAAGTGTACACATCGTGAATTGAGTTCCATCCTTATTTCTGACCTGTATGGGAAAGTACTTACTTCCGATGACATTGCCAATGGCTTTGATGATGTATTGAACAGCCTGAGTGACTTGACCATAGACACACCTGATGCTCCTACGGTAATAGTCTTACATTTGTGTTTCATTTTTATCCCTTGTGAAATAGATTTCCCGGGGATATTAAATTTAGTCCATCCGTTCATCTGTTTTGCATAGTTTCCTGGACCAGAGCTAATTAACAACTTTGTAGAGTTATCAAACTAGGACACTATTAGGGCTTATTGCTATGAAGAAATTCTCCAAGTCAATACTTTCTGTGTTTCCATGATGGGCCAAATTTCAATTGTATGGAGCAAGACTCCATTCAAGGTAATTACCTGAAACTTTTATATAATTATCTAGTTAGCATTCTGGTTGAGCAACATTTGTTATGAATTTTCAATTTTTAGAAGTTCTTTTGGTACCATGGAAATGGGCAATTTTACAAATACTGTTTATGGAGTAAAATGTTCAAGTTGTTCAAGATAACTACCTGAAATGATGTCCACCTATCATCCTATCATAATAGTGGTGCCATTTGATGTGTAGAGTTTCTTCTCTTTTTCTTTTTTTTTTCTCTTTCTTTTTGTTGCTACCATATGCATGGAAACAGATAAGAAACAAACAGATTTACACATGTTCAAGGTTTCTAGAGCATGGCAACAAAATTAGTGAAGAACTACCATTAAAACACTTTGTACAAGCTAGCACGCTATTAGTGCATTTTGCTCTTGGAGGAGTTCTTGTAATGGATATTTTTTATTTTCCGGTTGTCTGTTAATATACAGCTACAACAATTGGCAAAGTTTTCCAATTTCATAATAACCCACATATTTATATACATCCCATAATAGATTATGTAGTAAAGTTCATTGAATATGTAACTCTATATGCTTTGCGAATGATGTCAAACCATATTCAAAAACAACCAGTAACAGTGGTGGAATTGAGTTAATATATTTTAATATTTACTTTTAATAATTTGTTTCTTCCTCTAATTAGTAGGATGTGGGGAATAACATTATGCTTTGTGTTATCTTGTTTCACACATGCATAGTCATCACAGGAGAGGAAAATGAAACAAGTGGAAAAAATACATGCTTGAAAAGATGATGACAACGACAATAATAATGATTGCATATGTTCATGGTTTTTAATTGATTTAACAGGTGATTGGTCAGTTCATTGCCAGAGCTGTTGCCGATGATTGTCTTCCTCCGAAGTATATGCGAAGTTACAAGGGTAACGTGGAATGTGCTCACACAGTTTCAGCTTTAGAGAAAGCAGAGCTCTTGTTGAGTAAGAAACATGGCATTGTTCGTCTCGACAACATTTGGGGAACTGGAGGAGGCATCCGACCAGTCAAATATCTTATCAAACAGGTGCTTAATTATTGATCTTGACCCAGTAACGTAAAGAGAGAAATGATTTTAAAGACCCAAAAAAATTAGTATTTGGATGTAAATCCTGGCTGCCATGATAGTATCTAGATATGATCGACATCGATTTTCTAATATAGTCAAAATAAAAGAAGACCTGTTATTTCATTGCCATAAATGACAGATAAGAAAAGGATAAATTGAATTATATTGTATTGGTCTTTGGTAAATGATGGTAGAAAGTAAGTGTTAAGATATACTTTCTGTTTTGGTTGTGTTGGAAGTCAGTATTTATTTCAATATTAAAAGCTTAAGGTTTGTTGTTATTAGCTAATACTGACCCCCATTAAAACAGTTTGGTATTTTGTCATTGTCTCTACATGTGGTAATAGAAGTTGTTTCCCTTCTCCTGTGTAGATGGTCATGCTGCTGAAAGAGTACTTGTCTTCAGGCGATATCCATGAAGCCACTCAATGTCTCCAAGAACTTGAGGTTCCACACTTCCATCATGAGGTTGTCTATGAGGTGAGTTAGTGAATTCAAGTTTGATCTGAAAGATACAGTATTTTATTGTATATGGTATGTCTCCTCCTGCAAATAAACCAATCTTATCTCCACTTAAGTTTGTCCACCAGGAAAAAGAGGGGAGGGTTACTAGCAATTCAGCCGCCGCTGCCGCCACCACCAAAAGTGAAGGGGAAAAAACATCCACGTGAGAAAAAGGAAATTCACAAATCAAAAATCATGTTTTTGTTGTTTTAAAAAAATGTTTAGACAACTCATACTGCAAAAAAGTATTCCTAAAACAAACATTATGGTGTAGACTATTGTATCAACAAAATCGTTATTTCAGGCAACTGTTTCTTCAACCATCCATTGAATGTATTATTTACCGCGACTATCAGCAATGTTGAAATTCCTGGGCCATCATCAGACTAAAAAAACCACTGGCCCTATCAGCTCACCTCAAAATCTGTCTGATAATTCAGTTTATGGCCTACCTGTGTAAGCTTGAAATGTCACATGCGCAAGGTCTTACCTGACATCCAGACCTCGCTGACATATAAGCCATTCCTTTATGACTTGTTTATTATGTTGCATCTCAATACTTCTTTATCAATGGTTGTAGACAAATTAAATCCTTTATTGTCATCAGAATTGCTAGTGAAAATAAACAGCATATCAACTGCCATTATTGTGAAGATTTATTTTCAAAAAAGTTCTCTTTCAATTTTATGAGGTTAACTGCAGAGAATATGAAATACAATGAAATAAAGAAGTAGTCAGAAGTGATCTACTGTCATTTTGTGACTAAAATATGGAAACAAGCAGATCTTTTACTTCCTAGCTACCAAACAAGATTATAAGTCTGGGAAGTTTTCACGTGTCATAGGATGAGGCCAACTTTATCTGTCGTAATTTTTCACCATTAGCAGTCAAATAGTCCATAAACTGGAGTATTATTTCTGTTTCCTGGTTATTGTGTCATAACTTAGTCAAAATAAATTACTGGTTAAAAGATCATAGCGTAATAGGGTGTATCTTTGGTCAGAGTAAGATGCAACAATAATCAAGGATGGCAGACACTAATGTCCAAGTGGATGCTCACAAGTAAATCACTCCCTACTTTTGGTCGATAGTTTTTCCACTCAAGGAGGGGTAGTATTTACAGTAAAACATGGTATTGTCTTTCCTAGGTACAAGGTGGGTCCATGGTGCTTATTTTGTGCAGTTTCAGCTTTAGAGCTGAGACAGTCCATTAATACTAATGCTGTAATGTAGAATGGTTGAATTTACCAAATTTGATACAGATGTCAATATACAATGACACTTAATACATACATTGACATAGATGATAACATACTAAAATGACCCATATTCAGGCCAACGGAAAATGGCTAATGTTATTAATTTTTCCAAAGCACAGTTTCAGAAGTATTTCGTACTCAATTCATTTTGAATCTAAGTTAGCATGATACATGATTTTGGTTGTAGAATATAGATCTACCTTATTAAGGGAAAATTAATTTTCTTAAGTGTGATAATATTCATTACATGTTTAATGTATGGTGGTTTAATGATAGCCATGAATTCCTTAACAGGCCACCGTAATAGTGCTTGAAGATGGAAGTCAGCGAGCAGCTGATATGATGTGTAGCTTATTGAAGTCATGGAGTGATACACTTGTTCTTACTCCAGAACAAGTTACTCAGGTTTGTACCTTCAGTCTTCATGAAATGATATATGCTTTTATTTGTTAATAGTTGGAGTTGACTTGATAAAAACTACAAAGGGTGCTTTTGTTGTGATGCTAATTCTTCGTTGTATGGATTTATTGATAAAATCAGCTCACTTGCTTTAAGAGTCCTCCAAAGAATTGTAAATTGTTCTAAAAAGTCATTGATTCAGTGGTAAATATTACTGTCAAATAAGCAGGAGAACCACACATGTTCGGGACCTTGAGCACGTTTTTTTATACATGCTGACCTTTTCTTCTTTGTTATTCATTTTACAGGGATTTAAACGGGTGTATGATGCATTACCAGATATTACTCTGGATGTTCCGGCAGCGTATACTCTGCTGGAGCGATTTGCCACTTTGTGCCACAAAGGAAGAGTGATGGGATCTGATCTCTTTCAAGAACTACCTCAGAGGTATGGCATTGTGTGTTTTCTGATTATATGGAACCAGTTGACTGCTTAATGTCTGTCAGAGATAGATAGTATGATATTGGCTAATTTTTACATGAATTAATTAATGAAGATTTTAAATTGTTCAGATTCTACTGATGACAGTATACATAGACCTGATAGCCATGGTCTTGTTTAATTTCTGGTGAAAGTAAGTGATGATTTTAGATACGACAAGCCATAAAAAACTGTTTTCAAGATGATTTGATATTGAAGATTACATTTTTGTTGCAGTATTGACTAGAGATTTTGTTTTGTTACAGGGGAAGGAAGCGTTTTGTGTCAGAGGGGGATGGTGGCCGCCTCAAGGAACAGATCATGTAGAAAATGGATGGAAAGCTGACAATGGTGTGCCGTCCTAATGAAAATGGTTACCATGGAATCAATTAAGTGCTTATATATTTGTTCACATGGAAACGTTTGAGGACAACGTGCTATACAAGTTTGTGTTGGAACGGTTGGCTGGCAGCAACTCTACAGTATTGACTATGTAGATTTCTTTTTCAAATTAGCATTGAGGCATTTAATCTTTGATTGTACCTTGTGTGATGTTATGTGTTCTGTGATAATCCAGGTCCTGTGTAATGTTATTACACAATGGTTGTATGTTCTTCTATCTTGTTAAATGGAATCTTTTGTATCAATCTTGGAACCACTGCCACTGTGTTGATTGAAGGTAGAAATCACCAACCCTTTTTCTGTGTGTTTATTAACTGATTGATGTGGAGACAAACATCACAATTTCATTTTACTCATTTTGCTTTAATTTGCTATTATTTGAAGTCCGATCATCTTTGCTTTTTTTTTTTTTTTTTTTTTCTTTTTTTAAGTTTGGTGCATGTAATATGACTTACATTAATTTTTGCCATGACACCATTTTGCTTTACTTAAGAATATAATGTTCTATATATTAAATTTAAAAAATTGCTTATTTCTAAGATTTTTTTATGATTTTGTATATATTGGCTTAATATGAAGCACCATAGGACATTAATATAATTTCACACAAAAGATTATATATACAGTATTGATAAAAAGATTGTCACTATCCACAACACTATCACAGTAAAGTATGCAATTTTAGTGGATTTCATCTAAAACCTGATCATAGCATGTACACTTGAAATGTCAGAAGTAGGCATTCCATTTGAGGGCTAATCAAATTATCTTTACCATATGATTCAATATTTCATAAGTTAATGATAGCATGTACATTTTATGCTTGTCAATTCGGGATTTATACTGAGGTATTTTGTCAAATGTGCATTGTAAACTGTTGAAATAAAAAGAAACTTGTACTGTAGGAGTTGAGGAATAAGTTATCAATTCATTGCTCATTCCAAAGTTTTTGAAGTTTTTTTTTTAAACTTAACTGACCTTTATAAACCTTCTTATGATAATGCTTAAAGGGCTTGCTATTGGCAACATGTGATTACTTTTTTCCTGGGATATATAATTGGATATTTTACATAATTGTATATTAAGTATATGATTCTGTATAATATGTTAACCATTGAGATTCTGTTTACATAATATTTTGACTGGGCTTGTGGGTGCCAAAGCAACTCATTAAGTTGGTCGAAAACTTTGATAACTTCCTGTAAAATATATGGTCAAACCGTATTGATTAAATTTTGGATCACCAAGTGGTGTAGAAAGATAATGGCAAGCCCTGATGTTCATGTAATATTTCTTAAGTTTTTTGAAGTAAAAGTTAAGAACAATTTTAATTCTTTTGTAAGATTTGAGGACATTTCCAATTTATTTGTTTTTGCTCCTTTTTAGTTACTTTATATTCATTTTGCATAAATTCTGTTGATAATTTAGAAGTGTTTGATATGCTGATTGTAAAGTTATAACGCACTTTTGTTAAAGACATAGGTTCACATGTGTATATCTTGATATATTTTACAGTATAGAATCTGAAAATTCTTTAAAAAAAATTGAATTTCTGTGTAAATTTTTCGAACTCCTTAATCGGTCATGTTACAGATTTTCCTTATTCAGGAGGAAAAAAAAGATAATGTTAAATGATGCAGCAGTATGTCCCTGGATAAAAGCGCAGGACAGATGTGCATGAAGAGGAGGGATGACCTTGACATAGAGAATTAAACAAATGGAAGGGCTGTTGCTCTTACCTTTGCTGTGCAATTGTATTTTGTCATATAAAATCATGCTCAGATTAACCAATAAAATGCTGGTTATAGTTACCCTAGCTGTATGCTTTGTATTTGTCCAAACTTAAGAAAATGGTTTTGCAGTGGGGACTGCCAGTAAGGAGATTTCTAGCCAACCATCATTAGAGGTCCAAAGTCCATTACCCATCTGTATGTGATTCTTGTTACCACTATTTAAGAATCCATGGTCCAGCGTAAGAAAAATAAAATGACATGCAGGCTGCCGTCGTCTTTAAAAGTTCCCTAGGAACTGTCCTAGTTTGACCATTTGAATTTGGCAATGGATAAAGTAATGGTAGACAGGTTGCCATCTTGGATTTTGACGATGAAAGTTGGCTATTTCTGAGAAGTATGAAATGCATCATCATGTAAGTTTCTGTTGGTCAATAGTAGTGCTCATCTAGATTTTGACAGTTTGTTATTGCTGAAGAAATCTGACAAAGCTCTGGGTGTAATAATGAAAATGTGATATCTTCACTGGTCAAAGGCGATCGGCATTACGACAGGATTAATAGATAAACTACTCGGGTTTTTTTTAAACTTATCAGAAACCATTCCATTCTTGGTCCGTGTTACAAACAGGTCCTTGATGATCTATATATGGAAGTGAGATTGACGACATGGGACAGTTGACTGTTTATACATAAGTCTTCCGTATACATCCGCGGAAACCTTTAACAGCATCAGTAATATTCTTCATCAGAAGTCCCACTACATAATGTTAACCCTGTCATATCTCGCAGTTTCTCCGAACCCATTGCTTCCAAGCTTCCCAATTACAAGCAAGCGCTACATAAATTGAACTTAAAGATGACATATCATATCTCCTTAGTTATTGGCAATTTATCCAAAATATAAAGCTTTTCATGAAGGGTCCAAACTATAGGAAAACTCGTCCATAAGATGACCTGTCGAGACATTTATGGATTCAATAGAAAACTGTCCGCAAACACCACAGTCTATTTAATTTAATGCATACAAAACGAACTAGATTTGCTCGAAAACCGAAGAAAACCTACCTCCACTTTGTCCAATATATCGATTGGATTACAGATTAATAATAAGTATAGGGACCTTCCTCGTTTACATTGGATTCATAAACTTCATAAAAGATCATACCAAACCCCTTTCCAATTTTCTTGCTGCCATCCTTTGTACTATCAGGTTACAGTAGATAGGAAATGGGTTATACTTTGTCCATTTTCAGTCTATTGTGAATCGGGAATGAGTCCGGTTGATTCTAATCGAGTGTGGTTGAAATCGAAACTGAGTCGCCTGCGTGAAATTGGGTAATCGTCTCGATGTATTTTACAGATATGAAACCTTGGTTATGATCAGGGATGTATCCAACCAAGAAATTTTGATCAGACCAATTTCAATCTAAGTCACTGACACGGATATGTATGCTCAGGGGATAAAGAAACGCAGGGTGACATTATTTGCAATATCTTGCGAACGCGTTGTTAAAAACCAATGAAAATCGCTCAAGCAACTCTAGATTACAATGCACATGGTCCTGTATCGAATGTTGTTTTATTGTATTGCATGACGATGTCTTCCGGGAAAATCACGTGCACAACAGTGTTGTGAGATTGAGTTACACTGCTCGTCATACTATTAGGTAGTCTTAATAATGGCACATTATTTTCGGATGTTTTTTTTTTAATTTCTGATCGCATTAAACTATGGCACGGCTGACGGAAGTTAAGAGGGCCAGGCAATTGTAATGATTATGCAAGGTTAAAGGCAAATACAGGTAGCCAGACATTTCGGTGTCCATATTAACACTATAGAACGTCTTGTTAGAAGACCTCTAAGGGAAACTGGGCGGGTTGCTGACAGACTCAGGTCTGGGCGTCCGCGCGTGACGTCATAACGTCAAGACAGATTTATTCGTCTCGCGCACCTGCGCAATCGGCAGTTTACTGCCATCGAATCTGTCCTTCATATTAAAGGTACTCATAACCGCCCTATCCATGCAAAAACTGTCGGGAAACGGTTGCGGAAAGTTCGTCTGTGGACACGTCACCCGTTTGTAGACCGCCTCTTACCGCTGCTCGTCGCCAGCGTCGTATAACTTTGGTGGCAAGACATGCCCCCAGAATATTCCCATTGAGGCAGTGCAGGCGGGTCTTGTTTACTGATGAGTTCCGGCTCAGCCTAATTGGAGCATACGGTCAACGTCGTGTATACCGACGTCGTGGAGAACGTTTGCCGACTGTTGCGTAGCAGAGACGGATAGGTTTTGGGGGGGGGGGTACCGGTTATGGTGTGGGGAGGAATCTCACATGGAGTTAAATCATCACTGGTTGTGGTAGCGGATAATTTAACTGCCACTAGGTATAGAGGCGAGATCCTCCGACCCCATGTTGTCCTATTATTGCAGCAAAACAACCTCATATTCCAGCAGGATAATGCTCGGCCCCATGTATCGTGGATCTGTCGCGACTTTCTCATTAACAACAATATCCACCCACTGGGTTGACAGTCATGCAGTCTCGACCTATCCATATTGAACACTTGTGGGACCGGCAGAATAGACAGGTTTGACAGCCTCTCCCTGTTACTCTGGCCCAACAGAGCAGCTCTCTTGGAAAGATGGGCCAACTTTCCAATGAGGTGTCAAACTCATTCATGAACCACTCCATGCATAGGAGAATCAGGGCTGTGGAGAGAGCGAATGAGGGACACACCCGGTATTGACTATCCAGCTCCCATTATCTGTCCATTTCGATATCAGATTACAAAGTTCTCTTTCAATTCCCTTCAATTACTCCTTAATCACTTGCCAGAAACAAATTGTTTATTTTGCGGTTTGTTCTGTATGGATTAATCTTCATTCTTACTTAAAAATATTGAACATTATACTCGACGTCTTGCCTAGAATCATCTTCAAAGTTTACCCTGCGTTTCATTTGTCCCTTGGGTATATATATATACATGACCTATAATGTCTAACTACACTGATTTATGTAAACATCTGGATCAGATTTTGTCACTAAATATTAAATCATTAATGCATTAGTTGATTAAACATATGGATTTAACACCACGCAGTTTAAACGGACGTCAATAATTTCTTTATGAATTGTTGAACTTATTTTAATGTTACGGTTTTAAATGGATTCATGACAAAATGTTGTAACCCACGACAAAGATAAAATCATCAATATTAATATTTCATTGTGTTGTCTCCTGTGTGTGCAGGTTTTGATACGTGGTGTTAAAGGTTCAATGAGTATATAGCATATGTAATGTAAACATTGATATTGAGGTAATTGCTTACCTCTGTTTGACAACTTTAAATGTATGTGAAGTACGTAGAATGAACGAGAACATCACAGTTTATGTCTATAGACGCCTTGTCTGCGAATTATTTATAGAGTTCCGTTTGTTTGATATATCCTGGAAATCGTTTAAATTACATCCTCGATACTTCAGGGGTTACAATCACTTTCGCTCTCTGCACCCCTGGAGTATCGAGGTTGTTTAAACTCAAAAACTCCGATAACATGACCAAGTCAATATTAGTACCCGTTTTAATTCTAATGCTTTGTCTAATGTCACGTCCTCAACGTGAGAACTATGTTAAATAAGAGTATCAGTGTTCTGAGGAATGTTTCCCGAAAACGACTTTGTTGGACAGAAAATTTGATCAAAGGGCAATAATTATGTGATTAAGAAGTTACAGGCCCTGAATTTGGTACACTGCATATTCTCTTAGTCTAACCGATGTACACACCAAAGTTCAATAACTTTTAAATTATGCAAAAGATAGTTATGGTTCTTGTTCACTTCTTATCGACACACGGACGGACAAATCGGTGGTTATATGCTCTCCCTTCAGGGATCATAAAAACGGAAAATCACAAAGCGTACCAAAGAACAAGACAATAGATCTAACTGTGGAAAAGAAATATTTCTACACATATATGTTCATTACAAATCAGTTATCATCGAGTGTCAATTTGTCGTGTAAGTAACATTTAAGAATAGCTTCACTTCATTTAAGCTCAAACACTTGCACAGAGTATCTTCTACAGAGATGGTAGACAGTTCGGATTCTGGACAAATTATGTCACTTGTTGTTATTTATTTCAATAAAATGCTTGTGTATTATCTGTGTATATAATGATGTATGCAATTTTAGTCTCGGCTGAGCTCACACGTTCAAGAAGACTAGAAGTCGTAGCTTAATATGTCTTCCGTAAGGAAATCACTTTCGAACAGACATGGACCATTTTATATTCTGATAAGCTTACTCTTTAAATGTAAAACGAGAATAAGACCAGGTGTTCCGTGAGGGTCAGCGGCAGTATATAGCAGTATTTGTACGCCATCACAAACTATACATGACCTTCACTAACACTAGTTAACGTTTCGAGTTTTATAACAAACTGACCAACATCATGAGCGGAAAAATCGTGGATTTATTAGCTCAGCCACTTAAACAAATCGATATAGGACGTGACACACGGTGTATCGACGTATTCTGTGGTTGACACTGTTGAAGAATACTGTTTAACACGAACGATGTCTCATTCTAACAAGGATTAGTAGCAGTATCTAACACAGGTATGTTAGTTACATATATATATATCATTTCCTTGTATCTTATGCCATGGACCTAGCTTACTCGTTATTCAAAGGCATGATAACATCAATATCTAAAACGATAGGACTAGGTCTTTGTTATCCGATTTGATATGTCCTTCAATATTCAGCCTCATACGGAAACAAAACCTCAAAAAAACTATAAAAAAGTTATAACAATGAATTTACCATACATAAATTCAAACATTCTGAATATTTCTTACAACAAAATATATACCGAATCCTTATAATGTCTTATGTAGCAGGCGATGAGGTGTGTGTTTACATACATCATATTTTTTTATTGATTTATGATTATATAGTATTTATTCAGTAATTATTACATATTTACTTATTCATTATAACATATTTATTACTATTAAATATAACTGTTATTCCTTATCTCATGTTCATTTCTTCATCATTTCTTCATCATAACATGTTTACTTATTCATTATTTCATGTTTATTTATTCAATATTCAAATTTATTTATTAATTTAGTATTTCACATTGATTAATACGTGTTTATTTATTCTTGGGTCAATATTCATTTATTCATTTTTTCATATCTATTCGTTATATCATGTTAACTATTTCCTATTTGTTAAATTTCTCATGTTCATTTATTCATTTCAAATTTATTCATCAATTCATTATTATTTATTTATTCGTTATAACATTGATAATTCCATGCTAGTTAATGCCTATTTATTATTTTGTTCATGTTAATTATTTCATGTATGTCTATTTATTACTTATTGTTTATTTTGTTTAATTTCCATTTATTGATTATTTCGTATTTGTTTCATGTTATCTATTCATGTCTCATGTTTATTATTTGGTTTTTATTTCTGCATTTTTTGTTTGTTATTTGGTATATTTTGATTGATTTTCGGATGTAACACTATATGTTTTCCAGTACAGTTGGTGCACTGGTACTAAAATGCCGCTGTATTATGTAGCTCTACAGTTGCTAGTATGGAAGATGTCTTACGCTACAGATGCAGGTAGGTTTCTGTTTACATCAAATAGATATTTTACTTTTTTTCAAGTATGTAATGAATGATTAAGAAGTCAAATAAACAAAAAATCAGGAGACTGTAAAGAATGTAAGGAAATGAAATGCAAAAAAAATCATATTATCCTACAAAAAGACGTTAAAATTGTGCAAAACCAGAGGTTAAACAAGTGTAAAAATCTATCACTTCTACACACTCTTCAGCCACTTAATTGGGTGAGTTCCATATGCAAAGACATCAAGTTGTTTGTCGCTGTCTCTATTGTTCCTTCATATTCAATATGGCTGGTTTGAGATATCATTAATATCCGTGTCAATGTCGTGTCGTTCCAGTCTCGTGCCCCTCAGACTGGTTCGGACCCAGCAGTCATGGTCTATGTTTTCATCGGAGTAGAAGCAGGAACTATGACGATTCTGTCGAGTTCTGTGATGGGTTAGGAGGTACTCTGTGGATGCCCAAAGTTATCGAGGATTTCATAGAGGTCAGGAATTTTCTAGACGGGTAAGTCAAAGACACAGGCCAGGAATCTTCTAAACGGGTAAGTCTAAGACACAGGCCAGGAATCTTCTAGACGGGTAAGTCAAAGACACAGAGACAGGGAATCCTTTAGACGGGTAAGTCAAAGACTCGGAGATCAGCAAGCCTCTGGACGGGTATGTCACTGTTGCGGCTGCCTGGAATCTTTTCCAACAGTGATGGTATTGCAGCATGTATATCTACATTACCATTAATATAAACTGTTGTATTCAGGTGCTGCCTTGGTGTTTGTTGTAATGTATTATATATCAATAATTCCGATGTACATAATAATTAGCATGGTGACTTCGTTGTTGTTATACTTTTGTCTCATTTGGGAACGCGACATCACTTAAATGGCATCGACCAAGATCTATACTGAAGCGCATGATGCTTTCCCTTCCACAACACCTGGTCTTATTCTCCTGTTACTTTGTGTTTATAATCTTTTATTAATATTTTGGCCTCCTTTCATCAATTTTTAGGTTAAATTGAGATTTACATGTCAGTACGTTGTCTACATGTAACCTGTACAAATATATAGCTACAGCGTAGTTCCACATATCCTGTGGCTTAGTGTGAATTAAACTTTATAAACATAGGTATCATTAATGAAAGTTGTCGTGATAAGAAGCTGATACTGTATCACTGTCGTTTACAGTCTGATACAAACGAAGAACGTGTGGATTGGTTTACATAGAGGTGAGGATGGAGTCTGGACTTGGCAGGATGGCACCACACTTACAGACACTGGCTATGCGCCATGGCGTTCAGGTTACATTTCTTTACATTACCCAGGTGTCATTGTTTCGATTACTAAATTGACCAGTTTTTCATATCATATATAGCGTTATTCCCAGCTGCCTTGCTTAAATTCCGTCACCCACCTGTTCACTTCAGCATATGAAGGAGCATCATTCCCTAGTGTTGTTACCATATCAGTATGGATATCCTTGGGTGCTCATTTTGCAAAAGTCACTTGCCTTGTTTACTTCAGAGTGCTACCTCTTCAACATAAACTAACCAAATGACACCAGTCTTCGGGTAGACAGCCTTCAATAATCAAGGAATAGTACAGCTCACAACCCTACTTAATCTCCTCAATACAAGGCTCACAACATGTCAATCAGTCCTCGTCTATCTATATATACATAATCTTAACAAATTTCAGGGTAAAACAAAAAAGTATACAAGATATTAAGTTGTATACACAATAACTTTTTTTAAAAAAGGTGAATTAATTTTATAATGGCCCTCAAAATGCCACCGTAAAAATGTTTTTATAGAAAATGAGGAATATCTATTGACAAAAGTTTCAAATATTTGCAAGAAGTTAACAGGTCGTATTTCTGTAAAATTATGTTTTTCCCACTATCAAGTTTCTTTTGCTCTACTGTAAGTCGTTACAAACTTCCCATTCGACATAATCCGAATAGCGAGTATCAAGTTTACACCCCTTCAGAAACCATAACATTCAATATGTATGCAATACAAATATTGTATGAAAGAAAACTTTGCCAATAGGTGACCCTGACGATAAAGATAATTGTGCAGCTACAAATGAGAATCTAGAATGGAAATCAAGGAAATGCAAAAACCAGGATGTTCTGTGTCAGCTGAAACTAGTCTTGTGGAGTAAGTATTTTTCTTATCAATAGAACATACAGCAGTAATGTAGTGTCAGTGACCACTGGTGTTGTGTAGTATCCAGTGACATCTGGTGTTGTGTAGCGTCAAGTCACATCTGGTGTTGTTTGGTGTCAGTGACCACTGGTGTTGTGTGGTGTCAGTGACCACTGGTATTGTGTGTTGTCAGTGACCACTGGTGTTGTGTGGTGTCCAGTGATTACTGGTGTTGTGCGTTGTCAGTGACGACAGGTTTTGTGTGGTGTCCAGTGATTACTGGTGTTGTGTGATGTCAGTGACTAGTGGTGTTGTGTGTTGTCAGTGACCACTGGTGTTGTGTGGTGTCCAGTGATTACTGGTGTTATGTGGTGTCAGTAAATACTGGGGTTGTGTAGTGTCCAATGACTACTGGTGTTGTGTGTTGTCCAGTGAATACTGATGTTTTGTAGTGTCCAGTGACCACTGGTGTTGTGTGGTGTCAGTGACTACTGGTGTTGTGTGTTGTCAATGACTACTGGTGTTGTGTGTTGTCAGTGATTACTGGTGTTGTGTAATCACTACTTTTTGATTGTTGAATTTCAGAATGTCCTAGAGGTTGGGTTCGAAACAAAAGTAGACGAGAATGCTATTTTTACGATGACAATGGAGCTCCAAAGACACAGGCTGATGCTGTAGCTCACTGTTACGACGTTAATGGAGAAATATTGATGCCCAAAACAAAAGTGGAAAATGCCTTCCTAGTATCCAGCATGTCAGTACTCAAAATGGAGCAGACAGGAACTTTGTTTTATAGGTGTCCCATATAGAGGGGAAACAATAATTGGGACAGGTTTCATTTTTAGAGTAGATAATGGACAACATGACAGGTGTCACAAATAGAGTAGATAACAGAGATTGTGAGTGGTATTACAGGTGTAACACAGTAAAAACAGTGACATTGTTGACACGTGTCACATATAGAGTAGATAACAGAGATTGTGAGTGGTATTACAGGTGTAACACAGTAAAAACAGTGACATTGTTGACACGTGTCACATATAGAGTAGATAACAGAGATTGTGAGTGGTATTACAGGTGTAACACAGTGAAAACAGTGACATTGTTGACACGTGTCACATATAGAGTAGATAACAGAGATTGTGAGTGGTATTACAGGTGTAACACAGTAAAAACAGTGACATTGTTGACACGTGTCACATAAAGAGTAGATAACAGAGATTGTGAGTGGTATTACAGGTTTAACACAGTGAAAACAGTGACATTGTTGACACGTGTCACATATAGAGTAGATAACAGAGATTGTGAGTGGTATTACAGGTGTAACACAGTGAAAACAGTGACATTGTTGACACGTGTCACATATAGAGTAGATAACAGAGATTGTGAGTGGTATTACAGGTGTAACACAGTAAAACAGTGACATTGTTGACACGTGTCACATATATAACAATGTGTCTTATAAAAAGTAAAACAATCATTGTAACAGTTGCCACACATCATTTATTGATTCATTTTAACCACATCTTGAGTGTTCGCTCCAGTGAACAGCGTTGTTAGTGAAGGCATGCGTTGCTATATAACGATAAACATATGATAGGTAGGCAGTCTATATATACTGGTCACAAAAAGTTAAAGATCATTAGTATATGTAATTTTGTCTGCAAGTAGAGTAAATTAAGCTTGACACTCTTTGACCACAATTTTATCACCAATGTATGCACAGTAACTTTTCGGTAACGATTTGTCCGTCCAACCTACAGTTAACGTGTGGTATGGCATCATATAACACAGGGTTAAAAACAAACTGTCACTTGTGATTTTATTGAAAGTCTGTGTGGACAAATTATTCATCAAATTTTGTGTTTCTTCTTAATGTTCTGTCATTTTGAATCCGGTTTTAGCATTTGTTACCACCAAACGCCACATGGCAGCTGCAGTGGCTGGCCCCGCAGTTGGGATGCTGCAAGCAGGACTATCACAATGAACAGTTGCAGAACACTTCGATGTGTCACAGAGTGTCATTCCTTGACTATGGAATGTATTCCAGATGACCGGAAACGTCACCGGAAGACCTCAATCGGGTAGACCACGGTGAACCTGTCAGGATAGTTATTTAAACACACCACGGAGACGATAGGCGAAATCAGGTTGATAACGACTTCCGTCAAGCAAGTGGAAGAAGAATGTCTGCACAAACAGTGAGGAATAGACTTCACATGCTGACAGACCTTTGTGCGCCCTTCGGCTCACACGCCATCACCGTATAGCTCAATAGCATTGGACAGCTGGTAAATTGACCACTGCGTTTGGCGTCGGGTGGTATGAGAGGTATGCTGACTACTGCAGCACTGAACATGGCCGTTTCGGATTGGGTTTGGGTATGGTTTGGGCAGGAAACAATTTTGACGGTCGGACTGACTTGTACGTGATTGAAGGTGATAGCCTTACAGGTTTATGGCATCGAGATGAAATCCTTCATCCAAATGTTAGACCCTTTGCGGGTGCTGTCAGCCCTGAATTCATACTAATGGATGACATTGGTCAACCACATAGAGCTAGACTTGCAAATGAGTACCTCCCAGCAGAAACTATCGAGTTGTGGACTGGTATGGACTTTCACCCGACCTTAACCTAATCGAACATGCATGGGCCATGTTACAACAACGCATTACCGATCGTCCGCGGCTTCCTGTCGACCGACAGGAACTTGCTGATGCATTTCGTCAAGAAAGGTAACATATTCCAGGAATGACTGTACGACGCCTGATTCGCAGCAAGCCAAACCGATGTCCTGCCGTTCTTGTGGCCAATGGAGGACACACTATTGATAGTGTTACCGAACCCATTGTCAAAGCATTTTGAATTTTCAGCGCCATCGAGACTTTGACTTTGTTTTAGAGGGTTATGAACTTTTGATGTACTTTATCACGACACGCTTGAATGAAATTGTGGGTCAAAATTGAATTCTTATTGTTAAAGCTGTCTTTCATATTCCAAAAGTTTCTGCCTTTTGATACAGATAAATGTATCTATAAAAAATGATCCCTAACTTTTTGTGCATGTGGTAGCAGTAAAGTACAGGGTACCATATTGGATATGTAGACTATTACTAACATGATTTACTTTAGAGAAAGATCTAATTATACAAATTTTCATTATATTGGGAAATTTTATACATGTTGAAACGTGTTCTACACCTGATAAAAAGTTTCCAGTATAGTTGTATAATACAGGATGTCTTCATGTTATCTATACTATTTTTTATACTCGTATGATCAATCTATTCCAGACATGTCAGTTTTGATGACTTTCATGAAATCATTTGTTTTGCAGTGTATTAAATTTTGAGGCATGGATTGGCCTTACAGACTCTGTCTATGAGACCTTCTGGCAGTGGAATGATGGGCACATTATGGCAGAAAACTTCTGGTCAACAGGTTGTACAAAAAATCATTTAACACAGATTGTGAGTGAAAGATTACGGATCTTTATCTTGGGATCCTTAAGCTTTCCTCCATTCTGGGAAAGATTAATATTTTACTTCTTTATTCCTCCTTTTTTACGAATAGTATGTTATTTTGTTTTTATTGAGAAACAGCCTATACTTGTCATCAGCATTAGTAAATAGATTTGGGATATACAGTCATGTGAGAAACAATGATATATCATGTATCGTGAACACACAAGTGAAATTCCATGCACTTTGTTAACTTGGTTATCTTTTCAGGACAACCTGACAACATTAGAGATTCCTCATTCACTGGTCAGGACTGTGCGGTCATCACAGCCAATAACTTAAGTGGTTACTGGAAAGACGAGGAATGTCAGGACAGGAAACGCGTCATATGTCAATGTACTCTCCCGACACCTAGTAAGTGATTTCTTTTTCTCCACTTCGATCATATCTGGTAAGTAAATCCCACCTCAAATGCATCCAATTAATAAAACCTATCTCAAACACACTGATTAGTGAGCCCTATCTCAAACACATAGATTAGTGAGCCCTATCTCCAACACATTTGGCTAGTGAGCCCTATCTCAAACACATTGGTTACTTTATGGGGCTAACTATGACATAAAATTGTGTTTTCTTAGATAACCTGTTCAAATCTTTCCATTCAATAATTTTTGAAGAGTTGTTGCCCTTTGTTTTTATCAGTATTGTAATATGGCACGGTGGTCTCATTACTCAGTTTTTCACCAATAGCTCTGAAACATGACACTTTATAACCATGACATGAAATTGTGTTTTCCTTAATGGCATCATCGTGATTTTATAATTTTGGGAAGATTCAATCCCCCTTTTTTGAGAATATTTACCTTGTCCAGAAGTCCTTGCGTTTGTTCTTTTCAAACTTGTCTAAAACTTTCCTTCAGTTTTCCATCCATTAATATGCGTTATGATTTGAAGATGTAGCACTGTTTTCACTCTTAACATTTTGGCTCATTATTACCATTTTCAGATTTGTATTATTCCTGATAAATTAAATTTTCAATGGAATGAGACAGGTGTATATTGTTCTGCCCCACGGTACTCTGTTTGCTAGACAACCCTGCACCAGTAGATTGGTTGTTTGTGTTCCCCATATTCTATGTAGTTACCTCAAATTCTGTACCTGCAGGGTGACCTTTATTGCCCAATAATCCATAACCTTTTGGACAAGATGATCCACCATCAGAAGATAGGGAATTCCCTCGTATTCCATTATCTTTAGGATAAGGTGATCCACCATCAGAAGATAGGGAATTCTCTCGTATTCCATTATCTTTAGGATAAGGTGATCCACCATCAGAAGATAGGGTATTCCCTCGTATTCCATTATCTTTAGGACAAGGTGATCCACCATCAGAAGATAGGGTATTCCCTCGTATTCCATTATCTTTAGGACAAGGTGATCCACCATCAGAAGATAGGGTATTCCCTCGTATTCCATTATCTTTAGAACAAGGTGATCCACCATCAGAAGAAAGGGTATTCCCTCGTATTCCATTATCTTTAGGACAAGGTGATCCACCATCAGAAGATAGGGTATTCCCTCGTATTCCATTATCTTTAGGACAAGGTGATCCACCATCAGAACTTACACCATTATAGACAAGGTGATCCACCATCAGTATTTTCCCTCGTATTCCATTATCTTTCCTAAAGGTGATCCACCATCAGAAGGGGTATTCCCTCGCCATTAGACCTGATGATCCATCAGAAGATATTCCCTACATTACATGAACAAGGTGATCCACCAGGTGATTCTCCACTAAAAGGCCCAGAAATGTTAATTTCTTTGTGTTCCATAATCTTTTCGTTAAGACGATCCTGTACCAACAGATTGGATAATTTGTGTTCAATAAACATTTTGTTACCATTATCTTTAGGACAAGGTGATCCACCATGGATAATTTGTGTTCCATTATCTTTAGGACAAGGTAAACATTTCGTTACAGGTGATCCTGATCCACCATCAGTAGAAAGGGTATTTGTATTCCATTATCTTTCAACAAGGTGATCCACCATCAGTAGATGGGTATCACCGATATTCCATTATCTTTAACCACTGATCCACCATCCCGGTAACATCAACCACCTCACTCCATTATCTTTAGGACAAGGTGATCCACCATTACCACAACCCCGTCCATCACTACCTACACACAGAGTAACATATGCCCATGTGCATCTTTAGGACAAGGTGATCCACCATCAGAAGATAGGGTATTCCCTCATATTCCATTATCTTTTCATTAAGCCAACTTACACCAATAGATCAGGTGATACGTATTTCCCGGTATTCCATTAACATTTCCTAAATGCGGGGAATCTGCCCGATCAGTCGGTTTTGTTGGAGTGATTTTGATGTCAACAGTTTTAGGAATCATGTTAATTTCTTTGTGTTCCATAATCTTTTGCCAAGGCAATGACTTCAATAAACATTTTGTTCAGGTTATCCTAGCAAACTCCTGATAATTTGTGTTCCATAATTTTCCAGGTGACAGTCTACTGGTTTTGTATTCCTTCATCTTTCACAGTGCAGACTACCGGTACCATGCTTGTCACCGATATTTCCACTTCAACCACTACAATCCCGGTAACATCAACCACCTCACTCATTACTTCTGCTTCTCCCTTTACCACAACCCCGTCCATCACTACCTACACACAGAGTAACATATGCCCATGTGCATGTAGGACCTTCACCAAGCAAGAATTAGACAACAAATTGATCAGGCTGAGTGTAGCCACAAAAGTAGATAAGAAAATACTCACATCATCAACACGTAAACTCACATGTGCAGATGATTCCCGACCGTCTGCCCGATCAGTCGGTTTTGTTGGAGTGATTTTGATGTCAACAGTTTTAGGAATCATGTTGATTCTGGATCTTTTGCCAAGGCAATGACTTCAACATGTTTTCATATCTAGCAAACTCCTGATTTAGTGTCAAATTTTCCATGACAGTCTACTGGTTTTGTGTTATGTACTAACAGGAATCGAACCCACGTCTCAAGCGTGATAATCCAAGGCTCTACCAACTGAGCCAAAGAAGCATAACGATAGATTTGAAATCTCTATTTGAAGAAACAACATATGTATATTGACTCAAAATATAGATATCTACATATGGCTGCAACAACTACAGCAATCTCGTACTTTTATGTCAATAGATTTAGGACAGCGTTCTATCCACACCAACATTGATGTCAGTCGAAACACCAACATTGATGTCAGTAGAATCACCAACATTGATGTCAGTAGAATCACCAACATTGATGTCAGTGGGATCATCAACATTGATGTCAGTAGAATCACCAACATTGATGTCAGTAGAATCACCAACATTGATGTCAGTAGGATCACCTACATTGATGTCAATAGGATCACCAACATTGATGTCATTAGAATCACCAACATTGATGTCAGTAGAATCACCAACATTGATGTCAGTAGAATCACCAACACTGATGTCAGTAGAATCACCAACATTGATGTCAGTAGAATCAACAACATTGATGTCAGTAGGATCACCAACATTGATGTCAGTAGGATCACCAACATTGATGTCATTAGAATCATCAACATTGATGTCAGTAGGATCACCAACATTGATGTCAGTAGAATCATGAACATTGATGTCAGTAGAATCAACAACATTGATGTCAGTAGAATCATCAACATTGATGTCAGTAGGATCACCATCATTGATGTCAGTAGAATCACCAACATGTCAGTAGGTTCAGGACAGTGTTCTCTTTAGATCACCTTGTGATATAAGTCTATAGATTCACTGCTGATACATACTAACGTACTAACTCAATACAATACATTAATACGTAATCAATAAAAATTCTTTTTTGAAATTTTCATTTTAATTTTACATGTTAATTTTGTCTGTGTATTTGCCCCCACCTCCCCTCATAAGAATTTCAGACATATCAACCTCAGGATCATTTAATACAAGTTTGAGCTCAATTGCACTGGTAGAACTTGAGAAGAAGTTTGAAATGTCAAAAGTATATGCACGACTCAGTCGACAAACAAAGCACAATGGCTATCGGTCATCAGTCAGATGACTTAAAAAGTCTGCAAACTATAACCACATATGTCAAGATATTGATGTTTTATTGACCACAATCAGTTGTATTACATAAACATTACATACGAGTTGTACTATTAAGTTTAAGTACATGTTGTTAACCACATTTTGTCGTACATCTTTCCAAGTTGTACTGTATATCTGTACATGTATTTGTTCAGTGAGCGAATGTGTACATGTATCTACAATTACTTGTATGTTCAAATTGGTTAGAGAAGGTACAAAATAAACATACATATTTCAAATATTGTACAAGTATCCATCAGATTAATTAAACATGATACACAAGTTGTCCATGTAAACTACAAAGTATTACTTATTGTATACATGTTAAACAATATATACAAACAAGTACTATGTAGGGATGCATGTTGTATTATATACTTTCTATACATATATATACAAAGTATTACTCTGTAGGTATGCTTGTTGCACTTTATACAAGGTAGTACTATGCAGGTATATGTATTACATAATTTATAGACGAATTTGGACTCTGTACAGATACAAGTTTCTGAATATGCAGTCACATTTAGATTATACAAATTCGAAATGTCATCATTGTGACTGGAATGTCAACATTGTCACACCCGATTAAACATAGTGAAAATATCAGTCACAGTTAGCAAATAAACATCATTAAGGATAGGATTAACACTTAGAATACCAATAAATATCAAAGACAAATCAGATATCAATATAGAACTCACCTCTCCATTAAAATTGCCTTTGACAAACTAAGCCAAAATTGGATAATCATTACAATTCTGTTTTGCTTTTTAAACAAAACCTGTTAATGGTTGTAATGTTTTAGGGAGAATTAAGTTCCCTTGAATGGTCTGACCAATCACAAAGAAATATAACAAATGGTGAGAGAATTGAAATGAATATGTAATGATATGTCTCCCTCCTTATTATAAAACAATATATAGGCATCTGACATCAACCAAAATTATCGGCACTTTAGTGCAGTCAAGCTTCAACAAGTCCTTAAAAAGCATAAGGGGCGTGTTCACTTTGTAAATGTATATACATATATGTAATTGCGTGAGCTTGTATATATTTGGGACTTTAAACATTTAAATATTTCTGTACTACATCATTACAAAGCAAAAAATAAACAGGGGTAATTATAAATCCTGTCAAGCTTCTCTGTGACTAGAACACTGACTGAAAATAGGGAACTAGAAAACTTACATATCCATTCAATGCAAGCTTTGTACATAAAGCATTCATCCATCTGTTATCAGTTCAATTCAAAAGAAACCATAAAGCAACCTTCAACAAATAAATTCAGATTAATTTCAAATTGGCCAATATTTTGACGAGAAAGGCATTGGTTTCAACAGATATGAATAACCGCATAATTCTACACACATAATTTTAGTAGAGTAAAACAAAAGTTACCATACAAGACGAATATAAAATTATCTAAAAACATGATTGCAAAAATATGAATTACCTATAAATTAATCCTGATCTTAAGTACACCGCCATCCCATGTTTTTCAAGCCTGCAACATTTATGTTAGCTCTGAAAACTTCTATACTCCTTCAATACGTCTATGATAAAGAAACATCAGTTTTATCATTATTATTCCACTCCTAGAGATTTCTAACTTTTTACCCATTTCAAAGCATATTTTTTCCCCACAAAATAATGACATAAGATGCACAAAGCACTTGCTCGATTTTTAATGCATATTCATAATCAACTGCACATGTCCCCTTAAATAAGAACTGACTGATCAACCTATATCACTGTGAGATTAATGCCAGGTTCACTAAAAAACATAATTATTACTCTGGATTACCTTACTATTCTGACTAAAAACTTTCCTAAATACACATCCAGTTATCTTATACATATGGTGTAAATATTTGTATATTTTAAAATCATATTGTTATTTGTGTAGTTAAAGAGAACCTATGAAGCTTTCAGACTAATGAAATATATCACCAGAAGAAAAAAACATGTTGCAGACAAAAAAAAAACAAAAAAAATCTGATACATTTCCTTCAGTTAAGTCGGGTGACACACTGTACATTATAAAAAAAACCCTACCAAATAAAAACAAAATTGACCCTGTGTAGACTTGATCATGTTTCATATATCCAACACAACCTATCTGCTGTAATCACATGATTTACTAAAAATGTCTAAGAGATACATATATGTACTTGGTAGAGCCTTGTAGAGAGATTAGTATAAATCCAGTGAAAGATAAATACTAGCTTTCCCTTTTTACTTTTGAAATTGTGTTTCCTTATTTCACAGTAAAATTTTACAATTATCAGCATCTACATTCTGGAGTTAGTGCTTTTCACATTATTTATCAAACAATGCACAAGGTCCAGTTTTTAAATTCCTTCATGACATTTAGATATTTTTTTGTTATGGAGCTCTTTGAAAATAATGCAATATAATGCATCCTTAACTTTGAAAGAAATACACAATACATTCTGATCTTGATCGGAATACATCATCAAGATATCCTTTAAACTCATGTAATGAAATGCTGATAAACTTCCCGAAAATCTATTTCTTATCACATAATGACACAAACAAGTTCCCCATGACTTTAACAATATGTTTCACATTTTGTTCTGATATACTGGGTGCACTAAAAAAGGAAATTACACTTGGAAAACAATTTGTTTTAAAATTATCTGCTCACACCTAAAGCTCCGTTTCAAATTCCTTTTAATATCTAAATTACTAATACAGTATCTACCTGTTTAAACTGATAATAAAGGAAAAGTTTAAAAAATAAAGCTCCAATTCTCATCACAGGAAACTGATATTGTATACTAATGATTGTATGAAAATATGTAACACCAACTGTGTCAAAGTGAAAAACAAGATTTGATCAACAAATAATAATTGTTTACTGTGTATTGCCAACAAAATATTGACATAGGATTGTTAATAATGTCAGTGAACACCGAAGGATTTTAACATTATATTTTAAAGATGTATATTGGACTGAAATATTACTTTGAATAAATAAAAAAACAATACTAAGGATGAAAGTGTAAGGAAATATACAAATTCAGCATTAAGGTAGTCAACTTTTTTGGCATTTTTATTATTTTTGTCCCACTTAAGTGTAAATTTCTGACTCTGAAGACTAAATTTCCTGCCCTACAACATGTTGTTGGTTAGGTCCTCAACTCTAAGTATCTTTATACACTGATTATTTTTATTATTGCAATTATTTCCAAATGTGTTCTTAGAATCAGAAAAATAACTTTTTTATACATTGTTAAAACAAATGATTCATAAAGCCAGTAGGACTATCATATCTCAACATGAAAGTTTGCTGTAAGGTAAATATGATACACAGCAATATAAATGCAAAATGTTGAATTTCAAGGACATATAAATGAAAAACAAACAACAAACAATATCATTTGTGATGAAAATTAAACACAGAAGTACTTAAAATTTGTCACTACAAACACATCACAAATAACAGCTCACTCTATTGGGGAACTGCTTCATCTAACTCTATCTTAGATCAACACTAAACCAAATGTTGTGGAAAATTGTAAATACACACACATTATAAAGATGAAAAAAGAAAACATTACACACACACACAAAACAGTTCACACACACACACCATACTTAACTCCTACAAACCTTACACATATCCACATTCTGTTAATAAATATGGGATCAGGTGTATCCTGCTCGGATCTCATCACAGTCTGTATACACGTATCTATTTACTACACAGTGACTTTTGTTAATGATTTTAAGATCACATTTACAGAGACAATTTCTCTCATTAGGTAAGTAGAGAATTTCCATGGGCAGTGATATTACATCTTGCTATTGTTTCACGAAATCATGAAGATAACATTATGCAACAGAAAACTGTGAACATGTTTATCCAATGTACGTAATATGTTGTCCCAGTTGCTATGTGTACTATATGATAGTACCAATGTAGAACAGCTAAAAACAACATATCAGACACACATGTATTAAATACTAAAGTTGGACGAGAATCTGTAACAAATCTGATTATATTGATGTATCTACAGTCATTATGGCTTACACTATGAGTATCCTTTCTTCACCTAGTTCCCTCATATATTATTGGTTATTGATGTGATTAACTCTATAGTAAAATCCTTTCTTCACCTAGATTCCTAATACAGTATTGATGTGATTTACTCTCTAGTAAATTTCTATTTGAATCAGCCTGTAAGTTTCGGTACACACATTAAGAGTTCGACAGTGGGTGACTGAAAGAAGTCAATGTTATACATCAAATATCAATAAGTTAAAGGTCATGATAATAGATTAAAGGTGCAATGATATCACTAATCAAGTTTCTACAGATGTTTGATACAGATAGTATGCCTACTAGCTTAGATTGTCCGTATCTTTAAGATGCTTTGATTTCAGGTGAAAGTCCTGACGAACTATAGATATGGTTTAAGGAGACATGCTACTTACGAGCATCAGAAAGCTTCCCTGGTCAGTATTTTGACCTTCTACCTAAACAAGTTCTAACATTTAGATGTTTATATCATCCTTATAATGACAGCTGGTATTGGCTTATATACATATTATTTACTTAGGAAAGTATAAGTGTTATTTGGAATTGTGAGGTTTATTTTACATGAAGTGCACATTGAGAAATAAGGTTCATAATTATATACAAAGGAGAGAAGGTTATATGACCCTGCTTATATGTGCTGTCTCTTCAGTCTACAGAGATAAAGGCAGCCCCCCCCCCCTCCACCGCCCCCACCACCCCCAGCAAACCCCTTCAAACCCCAGCCCCCTGACCATAAATGCGAGTGAGAGTGTAGTGTGACTTTTAACACGAAGAAATACTGACTAATAGATATTGACAGACTCAGAGTTATATACAGGTATCTTTGTGTTTCCTAAAGCTTGCTCAAAAAATTTTGAATGAAATACAACACAAAAGTATCAATCCTGGTTTCACTGTGTATCATGACATCAACCAATTTCTCTCTTCAAATCAGAGTTCAAATTTACAAGTTTGCAAAATAATTACCAAAGGTCCAAAAGTTATCCATTTGAAAGAATGTCAATGTACTGGAGAAGGATTATTTTCATCTGAAACTGCTGAGGGGTTGATGTTAAATATTCTGACTCTGTATCAGGATTAAGTCGCACTTTCATTATAATCATGATTAATCCAGTGGTATACTTGTTAGTATAATAAACCTTATGTGTATAATCTATTTCAACACAGGAAGATAATTCATTGAATACACCTGTGTCTAAGAAAGCCTCAGATGACTTGTGACATCAAATTCACTTAGATGTAGAAATATGTTTACATACAGCCCAAACTGAAACAAACAGACATTGTACCATGGTTTCAGTTACTATGTTGAACAAAGCTGTATGTGAATGAGCTATTCAAGAAAAAGTAAAAAAATTGTCGAAGATTCTCATTGATAACACTCTCCTGGGGCAGTACATCCTTGTTGATTTAGGGTGAATCTTTGTATATTTAGGATGTCCATTTAAAATTAACTTCCTTCTGATATAACTGTTTCTGGAGACACTATGACTTGAATCACGTAACTTTTGGGAATTTTTATATCTTCAATGCGTAATTTATCACTTAACATCCGTCCTGCGAAAAACCATCTTTGTCTTGCTGGTTCAACCTCAGTCTCATCAAAGATTCGATTTTTAAGTTTAAGCACAGTATCTGTGGTGCGGACGTACAGCTTTAGGTCTTTATTGATGGTGGACAATCGGAACTTTATGGGGAGTTCCAGGCCAGGTGAGGCATTCTCAGCATCATGTTCCACATCTCCCTCACTTGCCTCCTCAATCAGATTGGTTGGGGCACTCAGCACATACACAGGTAACTGATACCGGTTCCCCAGCTCATCATAGCAATCCATTAGTGTACCTGGACAGCCATTTTTTTCAAATTTAGCGAGAAACAATCACTTTCAATTAAACTTAGCCTTCTATTTCAAAACAAAATGGTCCTTTATTTATTTGATGCTGGATGTCAGGCTTTAAAGATTAAAATTCATGTATTTCAGAGAAATAAAATCACATGATAAAGAAAAGGCATTTATCGTTGACTTACTAATACAGAAAACTGTGAATGCTATCATTAATATACATACAAATATCATACTTTGACGAATCTCCAGAAGTCATCAAATATGACATTTGAACTTTTAACCTTGACAGATAACCATCTTAGGTGTAAAACTTGATGTTATGACATTATGGAGTATTTCGGTCCCAAATCTATAGAGAAGTTTTGCAAGATATGGCATCATTTTGGAATGAGATGTGACTGAAGCAATGACCATAACATTGAAAGAACTACATGTCCCCCTCCCATAATAAAATGGCTGGTAACGAAAAAATAAAAAAAATTCAAGTATCGTTAAAACATCAACAATTCAATGAGTACTTTGGGAACAAATGATTTGTCATTATACAAACCATGTGGGAGAGAAATGTTGGCCCCGTCAACAATAGCTTGAGCTAAGGTGTGGTCCCCTGTCTCTAGTGCATAGGCAGCCCCTTTCAGGGCATCCCAAATCTCCTTTCTTCCTTCAAACGCAGGAGCAGTATCCCAGAATTCATCTCTCTTACTTCGTAGCTGACCTTCAGTCAAAGGGACATCACTCTTCCATTTCGGTTTTTCTGGTTTAAGCGGTTGATTTCGTCCAAGAGCAACTGAAACAATAACACTACTTAGTATGTAACACAAAATAAATCTATTCATTAAGTTCATGTTGACTTTTCACTGTTGGTAATTTTATTACCATACAAACTGATGCTTCATTGAGCTCATAATTCCACATCAATCAATATTATAATATATTCATGTCTAATTTTTTTCGAAACTCTTTTGAATAATACCTGAAAATATTGATCTTCATTTTCATTTTGTTATATTTATAATCATTATTGACACAAAGCAAAAATATTACAAGTGGGCACTTAACCTTGATAGATACTGTACTACAGGTAGGCACAAACTACACACTGGTACTACAGGTAGGCACTAAACCTTGATACTACAGGTAGGCACAAACTACACATTGGTACTACAGGTAGGCACTAAACCTTGATACTACAGGTAGGCACAAACTACACATTGGTACAACAGGTAGGCACTAAACCTTGATACTACAGGTAGGCACAAACTACACATTGGTACTACAGGTAGGCACTAAACCTTGATACTACAGGTAGGCACAAACTACACATTGGTATTACAGGTAGGCACTAAACCTTGATACTACAGGTAGGCACAAACTACACATTGGTATTACAGGTAGGCACTAAACCTTGATACTACAGGTAGGCACAAACTACACATTGGTATTACAGGTAGGCACTAAACCTTGATACTACAGGTAGGCACAAACTACACATTGGTACTACAGGTAGGCACTAAACCTTGACACTACAGGTAGACACCTAATCCTGATACTACAGGTAGACACCTAATCTTGATACTACAGGTAGACACCTAATCCTGATACTACAGGTAGACACCTAATCCTGATACTACAGGTAGACACCTAATCCTGATACTACAGGTAGACACCTAATCTTGATACTACAGGTAGACACCTAATCCTGATACTACAGGTAGACACCTAATCTTGATACTACAGGTAGGCGCCTAATTCTGATACTACAGGTAGACACCTAATCCTGATACTACAGGTAGACACATTATCCTGATTCTACAGGTAGACACCTAATCCTCATAATGCAGGTGGACATCTAATCCTGATATTACAGGTAGACACCTAATCCTTATACTACAGGTAGACACTTAATCCTGATACTACAGGTAGACAACTAATCCTGATACTACAGGTAGACACCTAATCCTGATACTACAGGTAGACACCTAATCCTGATACTACAGGTAGGCACTTAACCTTGATACTACATGTAGATACCTAATCCTGATACTACAGGTAGACACCTAATCCTGATACTACAGGTAGACACCTAATCCTGATACTACAGGTAGGCACTTAACCTTGATACTACATGTAGACACCTAATCCTGATACTACAGGTAGGCACTTAACCTTGATACTACATGTAGATACCTTATCCTGATACTACAGGTAGACACCTAATCCTGATACTACATCTCTAGACTAGACATCAATGGGTCTTTTAAGAATATAAAAGCCAGCTGAAAAGACGACAAGGACTTTTCATCAAAGAGGAAGGGATGGGACAAGGCAGGCTATACATCTCTGGCTAATATATATGCATATATAAACCTGGGTTAAAGTTAACAGTAATTGAAACATAATATCAAATTTGAAAAAGATCAATCCAGTTACTAATTCCAGTACATTTCAAATAAAAGCTAGCAATAACAAATTTCAGCAAACGAAAATCTAATATAGCCTCTTGTGGTCCATTTTATTATCCCTATTAACCTTGAAATAGAACATACTCAAAGTGGCACCGATGGAAACTACAAGTAAATGTACTTAGGAAGCAATAGTGACAACAAACTTCTACAGTTAAAATCTCAGATAGCCTAGGCTTCTGTTCATTTCCCCCTCGATCAGCGTCAAATTAAAAGTATTTAAGTCATTACATATATGAATCATCATATCTAAGTGGACATTTTAGTGACTGTGTTTGGTTGCGAAGAATGGAAATTTTTTTTTTGCCTGGAACTCACCAATTTTTCTGGGACTAAGTGATTTCGTCTAAGACTCACTGATTTTGCCAGGGTTTCACTCACTCTGGTTAGGACACTCCCATTCCCAAAACAAGGATTTATTACTTAGTCTTAGTGCTGATTACATTATTTTGAAATAAGATCTGTAGAACTCAGATCAAAATGCAGGTGACAAATGAAATGTAGATTTTCATAGAGCTAATATTCTCAAAATCTGTGAAAAATTATTTTTTTAATTTTGCCATAAATTGGACAAATAGTCTAAATCTCTATTGTTGTGATGATGTGAGTTGTACACCTTAAGATTTAACTTTGCTTTAGTTGTTGTAGAACTTTTCTAAAGTCTGAGAGACAGATCTCAAGGTAACTTCTTTAACTTTGGGTTGATGTTGAAAGAATGTAACATATGCAACAAAAAATTAAATCTTTGCTCCCATTCAAAATCTGTCTAAGCATGACCAAATATTGGTCACCTGAACCTGAGTGATATATGTTTACCAGAGATCAAAACAGTAACCAGCTTACACAGATCCTGGGAAAATTCTACAAGCACAAAGCTAAAAAGCACCCATATCGTCATACAACATGAACACTTGCCAAAAAACAGTACAAAAAGCAACATGATTTTGAATATAACCCTGTGGAACTTAATGATTCTGTGAATGAACAGGGAAAAGACACAGTACAATCCTGTCCAGTGTCCCACCAGGATTCAAACCCAGATCTACCAGCTATGCCAAAGAAGAATGTTCTAACAACTCAGAAATTGAGACCAGAAAATGCATATTCCCACCAAGTGCCCCGATCAAGAATCAAACCAGTCTCTGGTGTGATAATCCTTGGCTTTGTCTTTACCATTAAATGAGCCACAGAAGCATCCTCTGTCAGCTGAGTGACAAGAGACTGCATATTTAACATTATGTACAAAAAAAAACAACTTGCTGCGTTTACATTCATCTTCACATGCACATTGTTACTATTTTAAATTTCCTCCTTTGCTAAATCTCTTTCACATACCTATTGTCTGACATGTAGTATAATATTTACATTATATATTAGTATATCTATTACATGTGGGCCTAATCCTAATACATATGATAATGTTGCAAAATGACTAAACAATGCAAAACAATGTATTTTTATATTATGATATAACCTGGAAAATGTAAATATATGGTAGATATAGATATCTGTTAGTATTATTGTATGCAGTTTTAAGAATCATATGATCAGCTGTAACACAAGGAAATAAACCTAACAAGGAATTCCAGTCGTGATCCGTGATTAGTTGATGGATCATAAAACCTCTAAATAAAACAGTAAGTAATGAAATGTTCCGTTAATAGGCCTTTAACGGTTGAGCACGCTACTCGGCGTCCTAGTCTTATTCTACTATTGTCATTATTTTGTGAATGGTGATGAAACTGGAATCGGTAAGCTGCATCCGGCTTTCCCGAAACGTGTCGGGGAGGTAGAAATTACGTTACCTGCAGCGTCCGATGATTCGCCTGAAGATGGTCCATTATCTCTCTGAGATCCGATACACCCTCCCATCTCTTTGGGGACGGGGGAGGGATCCCGATAAATAAATACTGGCGAATGGCACTGTCACTGTCAGTGTCACAATAACGTCTATTTTCGGAATATATCTCCGCACTGAAGATTTATTGATATTTTATCTGAAAACGATTTAGTAAAATTATTTGTATTATTAACTTATAACATATTTATAATTCATTTTTTGTATTAAGAAAAGCATGTTAAATTTCCATTAAATTTATTATTTTTGCAATCCTCCTTTCTAAGGCGATTCTAATAGAATTGGAAGGAAGGATATGCAATTCCGGAATATGAAAATAATAAAATAAAAAAATATGTCGACATATTTATTTTTCATATTTGCTCATGAAGAATAAGTAAAGTTTGATATCTTTATATATTGACGTCTCTATTGTGGTGTATATTGCTATTTATTAATAATTAAAAGTGATTGGCATCCTCTTTATTACGTTAAAACGTGTCCTTCCGGATTCATTTTACGCGTCACCTTGTGGAAATAAAAATTAGCAACAGGCAGTGACCGCAGCAAATGAATTATGAAAGATGGCTGCGCCCATGTGGAAAAGTGCCCTGGACGATTATGTGAAAACTGGAATCGATTCATCGACTCCCAACATTGTTAAATGTATAAATACATTTTCCATTAAGATAGTTATCGACTTAAAGAAATATTGGCAATGTGTATCCCCGTGTCAGGAAGCTTGATACCGGATGAATGTTAAAACACTGACTCTGTAAACGTTAAAATTATATGCATATCTAACTACATTCACGTCACTTGTTATACCTGGTTTAGTAAACAAAATGTACACAGTTTACCAGAAAATGTGATAACAAGCATTCATTCACTTACTTGCTTATTCCATATCACTCCTTAAATTAATAACCATGAAACAGGTCGGGAACAATTTCTCATACATACGGGTAATAGTCCTGCTTTGAGTAATTCAATTAGTTACCCTTGTTTCTCTATTAAAAAACTTACTTTTTTACCTGCAATATCACCAAAACACTATATACATACTGTGAATATTGGCTAGAAATCAAATTTTTTTATCATGATTTATGAAATACCCTGCTGTTGGCTTTTAGGCATTTTTATTTATTTTCCAGTGCTCACAGATGATACCATTTCTCTCTTGGAGCTGATAGAAGGACTAGGGTAAGTCTATATAGGTACATGTAAAATGACAGGGGTGTGTAAATATGTAAAGATAGAAAGACTGGGGCAAGTCTATATAGGTAGAATGACAAGGGTATGTCTGTTTGGTAGAAGGACTGTGTAAGTGTATATAGATAGAATGACTGGAAAATGTCTATGTAGGTAGAAGTCTAGTAATTTTATATGTGTCTGTAACAGAGGTCATTTTTCATCTCAATGCCTCCGCTAGGAATCGAACCCGGGACCCCTGGCCTACTAGTCTGACGCTCAACCAATCGAGCTAAAGAGAAGTTCTCCCTAGCCGAGTGGTATATTGCGGCTAGTATTTTACCAGGGTTACATACTCCCCCCTCCAGGAAATAACTCGGCCTTGAGTTTCCAGGGGTAACAGCGATGCTGGTGGGGCATGGCTAAGTACTATTCCCGAGTCCCTACATGGGCGCCAATGTAACAGAGGTCATTATTTATTTTAATGCCTCCACTAGGAATCAAACCCGGGACCCCTGGTGTACTAGTCTGATGCTCAACCAATCGAGCTAAAGAGAAGTTCTCCCTAGCCGAGTGGTATATTGCGGCTAGTATTTTACCAGGGTTACATGTCTACATTAGGATGAAGTCTTTAAAGATTTTATGCATCTTTCTCACAGAAAGTACTTAACCAGTGAGGAAACATTTGAGCGATGTAGAGTGGTGAAGCTTTTGGCTGATGTCCTTCATCTCATTCCTACAGATAAACTGACCTCAACAGAAAGTGAGTACTTCTTTTTGTCAATCAACTCAATGATTTTCACAATTTGTAATTATTTGATTGTGCCAGTATGTCAAGTATATCATAATGGTTGAATACATGCAGAATGAAATAAAGGCTGCTTGAAAACACCAGAAAAGCTTTGGTTCATTTGATAAATGAAAAGAAGTTTTGTGACATGTTAAAAACTGACCCCAGTCTTGGTAAACAAACACAATATGCTTAATTTTTGATATATGTATATTTGAAATTCAAAAGATATTATGACATGATGTCTTGAAATCATGAAAACAATGAAAACCTTTAAGTGTATAGTTTAAGAAGAACACTTAGATTTCTACTTGTTTCAGTTGAGCTGCTGGTAGCCTACCTTTGTGATAGGCTGAAGGACCACCATTCCATCCAGCCTCCTACACTACATGGAATTCTGGCCCTGGTAACTCCTAATCCCAGCATCCTGTATCACTCACCCTTTTACAGGTGTATTCCTGTGTTCGAGAGTAGGATAGATATGTCTTTCCCCAGGGAAAACAGCTTACATTGCAGTATTCATGTGATCACTTAATGAGTTGGCAAGCCTCATATTCAGCAACTTAATAATCTTCCCCCTCGGGTTGAGATCCCCCTATCTGACCCTAACGGGAGTGAAAGATTTTATTAATACACAGCAAAGACAGGTGAATGATTCTACAAAATATAAATGTATTACATTGTGGACATGTACTTAAGGGTTGAGATAACTGTCCATAGTACACAAAAGTCAATGATTCTTTAAGTCACTTCTGATGAATGTATTGTTACTGCATTAGTGGGAATTTTCACTGATTGATCTTCCTGGTGTTTAATTTACTGTGAACATTTAATTACTTGAAACGTTGTTCATTTATCAATTAGTATGCTAGTAGAAGTTCTCCATTTCAATACTTTCAGTATGTAACCATTGTATTTGTGAATGATGCCAAACCATACTTAAAAATCTAAAAAGGCTAAAAGATGATCTACATCAAAATATAGGTAACAGTAGTGGAATGGAGTAATCTATTATTGTCTTTCTATGAAAACAGCAGGGCACAGGGGGTAATGCCATGCTTTTTTTTTACATAAACTTTCTATATTTTATAACAATTATGAAACAACTTATCAGATTATATTAATATTGATGTATTGTTGGCACGGATAGAAGTACCCAATGGGTCTTACTGTGGGAGGAAACTAGGATACCTGGGAAAACCTACGTGGTCAGACAGGCGACCCCATACCGTTCCATACCCATTCTGGCAGTGGAATCACAGCCATCTAGGTGAAAAGCTTGTGCTTTTACCACTGCGCCACCCGACCACCCAGTTGTTATAATAATTACTGTACAGATTGTTGTACCAGAAGGGTTAAAATGAAATAACAAATTGATGAATAAATGAATTAAAGATTTTAAGAGGATGAAAGGGAGGTATGCTGTTTTGTTTACTCTATAAAGATGAGAAAGATTACAAAGATGTATTACTTCTTTGTTACATAGTTTTGAGGGTTTAAATATGAATGCAGAATATAGGCTACATTTGTAAAGGTGATCCAACACCCCTCAGATGTTTTTGTCTGAAATAATACTTATGAAAAAAATCTGAAGTTTTCACTGTTCAGAACCTTGCAATGTATTCTTGGCAGATGATAAATGCATAGTTTATGATCCTAGGCTACAGAACTTAAATCAGCTCCATCAGTTTTCCAGTACAGAACAGTAAAGTGCAATAACAGATATGATGCCCTGAAGGCTCTTGAACTACCAGCATCAGATGATCATTTCTGAGCATCAGACCTTGTTCTTACCAGTATTTCTCCAAAAATGTTTTATACATGTTTAAGTATAAAATATAGGTCTAGAATACGAAATTATTAAACAGTATATGAAAGGATGTGTTTTTTGTTTCACCCCACATGTATTGATGCTTATGACATTCTCTAGGTCATGTTTACATTTGTTTATCTTATCTTATTAAAAATATGATCCTCAAGAAATCTTATTTATTGTTTTCTTTCTCTTTGATAGTGATGATATATTTTACAGTGCCATTCGAAAAATGTACCAGGCGGATGTCCTGAAAAGATATGTCGATCCATCTTTAGTGAGGTTCAGACGCAGACATTGTCTCAGGGTGACAGACGAAATGTGTATAATATTTTCTCAATCCTCCTCACCATCAGTCTCCCAGGTAAAGTAAGATTCTCTTATTATGTTTATATATCATTTAATGAAACCGTTATATGAGAAAACTGGTATTTTTCAAAATTTTATATTCATTTCATTTGCTGGAAATAATGACTAATTTTTTACTTAAACCAGTAATCCAACAAAGCTCTAAATGTTACACAATTAGAACTCATTCCAAATAAGTCCATGAAGATCCAGGTAGATCATATCTGCTGTTCATTATAAATAAAGGTAACAACCTTTAAATGTCAAAATTTTAAATGGCGGCTGGCAGCCATCTTAAGTATCCATTAAAGCTATAATTATGGCAGACACAACTAAGACCAGTTTTGGACATATTCATAAAGGAGATCCCTTCAGTTCTTAATAAATAGCAGTAACCGGAAATTCTTTCACAGGACAGATGGAGAAATCACTTTTAGAAAATTATTTAAGAAAACCCACCATTTAATGATGGTAGGTTAAAAATAAGTACAATGTACTTTTATTATTAAGTAGCCAATATGCATGCAATTGAATGATTCTATTTGATAATGGAAAAAAGGTTTCAAAAATCGTGAAGAAGCAAAAAGTAACATTAAGAGTAAAAAGTAATGAAATGTCTTTTTGTTGTCTTTACAGAGCTCCAAAAGCTTGGTGGCGACTTTGTGCTGGGGTTTATACAGGCCATGGATGCCGAAAAGGATCCACGAAACCTGGTGTTAGCTTTCCGTTGTGCTACAACTATCATTCACAACTTCTCTTTGGGTTTGTATCATCATTGCTCACATAATGCAATATGATTGACTTGCTTTTTACAATGGAATCTGTAAAGATGTACAAATACATCAGTGTAAATTTATTGATAACAAGTCACATCAAAAGTGTTTCATGATATTGGCAGTGCACGATTTTGTGGACGTATTAAGCGGACATTCTCTAAATTTGAGGGTCTTGTGGTCTTATAACATTTTTCTGTCCAAGATTATCTACAAAAATAGAATACCAGTGCAACTTGTATGGAAAAGTTGTATACCATAAAAATCTTCAGAAAGATAACGGTACAATTTGTATTGAAAAGTTGTATATCATAAAATCATCAGACAGATACTGGTACAACTAGTATGGAAAGTTGTTCTTCAACAGCATCGTTATATTGTAAAGTGTATTATATGCATATAATTTCCCAATGTGAAATTTCATAGAAAGTGCACTCCAGTTCTGAGATTGAAAATAAAACAGGAAATTCTGTATTTTTCTTCTCTGTTTACAGGAGTATTTGTGGAGGAGATGTTTGAAGTGGTGTCCTGTTATTTCCCAGTGGACTTTACTCCTGTAGGTTATCTGATCACCAGATAATTCAAATATAATGAACCAGTGGATTACCTCCCTTTAGAATTGTACCTACTTGCTTAGCATGAATGTTGTCAGTAGTTGTATTAGTTGAAGAAGCATTTAGTCTAGATGATGTCTTATTTTCTATCAACTGTAAAGTGATGTTACATAAAGGCTACACATACACCTTTCGTGGGGGTAAATGAAATATTTTCCGTATTTAGAAACTCTCAGTATAACATTAAATGTTGAAGCAATGATGTTGCTAAAGTGATATTTCATTTACCTGAAATGCTGTTAATCTGAACAATAATTGGATGGATAATGCAAATTAAACAACAAAAAAAGATAGTTGGAGAAGATTTTAGATGTCCTAAGCAGATCATCATTTTCCAATGTATATGAATCAAGTCTCTTTGATTCCCCAATCACATAAGGTGAGAAAATATTTACATACTTAGAGAGGAATTAACAATCATTACATGTTTTTAATACTTTACAGTTAAAGTTTTAAAGATTTATTTTTATTACTGTTAGTTAGTTGTTGTTGTGTATTCTCTTCAGCCCCCTGGTGACCCCCATGGTATTACTAAGGATGACCTCATATTAGGTCTACGAAGTTGTCTGGCTGCTAGCAGACAATTTGGTCAGTACTGCTGTCCACTACTGCTGGAGAAGCTATCATCTGATGTGATCAGTGCTAAAGTGGACTCACTTCAGACTCTGGTAAGTGCTCACTAAAAACTGAACACCAGCTTTTCAGTTATTGCCAATTTATCATGTTGTTAGTGTTCATTAAAAATTAGATTTGTTCAGTTGAGAATCAGTACCAATAATGCCCTACTTACACAGTACAAACAGTATACATAGTACAGAGCTGTACCAATAATACCCTACTTACACGGTACAAACAGTATACATAGCACAGAGCTGTACCAATAATACCCTACTGACACAGTACAAACAGCATACATTGTACAGAGCTGTACCAATAATACCCTACTGACACAGTACAAACAGTAAACATAGTACAGAGCTGTACCAATAATACCCTACTGACACGGTACAAACAGTAAACATAGTACAGAGCTGTACCAATAATACCCTACTGACACGGTACAAACAGTATACATAGTACAGAGCTGTACCAATAATACCCTACTGACACAGTACAAACAGCATAGATAGTGCAGAGCTGTACCAATAATACCCTACTGACACGGTACAAACAGTATACATAGTACAGAGCTGTACCAATAATACCCTACTTACACGGTACAAACAGTATACATAGTACAGAGCTGTACCAATAATACCCTACTGACACGGTACAAACAGTATACATAGTACAGAGCTGTACCAATAATACCCTACTGACACGGTACAAACAGTATACATAGTACAGAGCTGTACCAATAATACCCTACTGACACGGTACAAACAGTATACATAGTACAGAGCTGTACCAATAATACCCTACTGACACGGTACAAACAGTATACATAGTACAGAGCTGTACCAATAATACCCTACTGACACGGTACAAACAGCATAGATAGTGCAGAGCTGTACCAATAATACCCTACTTACACAGTACAAACAGTATACATAGTACAGAGCTGTACCAATAATACCCTACTTACACGGTACAAACAGTATACATAGTACAGAGCTGTACCAATAATACCCTACTGACACAGTACAAACAGCATAGATAGTGCAGAGCTGTACCAATAATACCCTACTGACACTGCACAAACAGTATACATAGTACAGAGCTGTACCAATAATACCCTACTGACATGGTACAAACAGCATAGATAGTGCAGAGCCATGATTTTGCTCCAATGCCTTTTTCCTACTACATAAAAACCTTGTCATGACACCATCCCCAGTATATTGCCATACATCAACTTTTTTCAAATACAAGAATAAGTTGTATCCCCCATGTATATCGCCATTGTGTGTGTTTCATGTAGCCGAAGGTGTCCAGCATACATTTGAAGAATTTTAGTATTGTAACGGATGTAACTATAGAAGAGTGTTTCATAGCTACAGCTGTTACACTACCACTATTGTCACTGGACAGAAGATATAGGTATAAGAGGTACTACTGTATTTTTGTTGTTCTACTTTTAGGAAGCAGCAGCTCATGTGTATGGGTCTAAATGTTTACTGGAGTACAGGACAACGTTGTTTAATTGTATCAAGAGAGAGGTATAGTACACTTTTCATGCCCACAGATCAAAAGATAGAGGGCTTGTTGTTTTTGTGCTGTCTGTTTGTCTGTCTGTTTGTTTGTCTGTTGTCAACTCTGACCTTGCCAGTAAGAGGTAGGCCTTTCATATTTCATGTGTGTTCCTAGTGACAAGACGTTTCCAACTGTACCAAAATTTTTGACTTACATTTGAAAAATTGTGCATGAAAATAGCACATTCCTTACACATTATACTTTTAATGTCCCACTTCAGAATTTTGTTGCATTTTGGGACACAGTGGTTCATAAACAGATTTTGTTGTGGAATTCATAGTTTCTGATTTTTCATACAGAGTATAATACTTTTATTCCAGGTAAATTGTAGCTATACTATTGTTTTTATTGTCTTTAACACCAAAAGTAATATTAATTGGATGGTGTAGACTTACATTGATAGTCAATGTGACTGTTTCAGGTATCAAAAGTAATATTAATTAGATGGTGTTGACTTACATTGATAGTCAATGTGACTGTATCACAATAAGGTGTATGTGTCGTTCATTTCATGGTTACATTCAAGTTTCTGTTTGCTGAACACTGATTGATAAATACCTGCCTTTTTCTAAGGATGTTTGTACATCTAGCTTGTGAGGGATTTTTCTACATCTGCATCTGGTCTGTAAAGGATTTTTTTATATCTAGCTTATGAGGGATATTTGTTCATCTAGCTTGTGAGGGATGTTTGTTCATCTAGCTTGTGAGAGATGTTGAATATGTGTATCTCAATACTGTTTATTTCGTGATGCTTAGGTATTTGGATCAGGAAATGAGGAGCTGGAGGCTGCAGCTCTTTCTGCTTTGACAGCCATGACAACCACATTCTCACAGGATGTAAGTAGATTTTCTCTAATATCTGTACCTCATCTCCATTTATTCTAAATCTTTTAAGTCCTGATAAATTATAAAACTTTCTTGTTGACGTCAGTTTACATTTATTGTTATGATTCTTGTTATCATTGTCAATTGTTTTCTACATTTTCTCATGTTTCTTTCACAGACTATCCTCACAGAAAGTCAAACCTGTGCTGAGGAATTTGTAACTGAGGTTTGGAATGGTAAAGTATACAAATCAGTAAATATTCATTGTTTGCATGCAAAATGCTGCTTTCTGATATGTGAAGTTTTCTTTTCATTTTTCAATTAATAAAAAGAAATCTAGCTATACCCACTTGATTATGATTGGAGGAGTCAATGGCAACTTGCCATCTTGTGAAGGGTTGGGCCGGACTATATTGAATGGAATTTCTATATACTATACATACACCTAGTGCATGTTGATCGTTGTCATTCATTAACTAAAATGGACTACAACAGCACAAAATATTTAGATATCTTACAAACTCAAAATTAGCATAATCTAGGAAATCAGTTGCTATGATTTTAAGTTGGGATTTCTTTTTAAGTTTCAAGTGAAAAGGTGTGGGGAAATTATAAAGTAGGAAAGACAACTTTATATTAAGCACCTCATTTGATATGTTGCCATGGTGCTTTAAACCAAATCAGGGATGTGTAAACACCACCAAAACTTATGAAACTTATTATAATATACACAGAAAAAGTGGTTTCTGCATGAAGATATTCACTCCTATGTTTTTGGATTTCAGAATGCAGTCGTTACTTTGGAGATGATAATTTACGTCTAATGGTTCCCACTTGTCGCCTGCTTTGTTCTGTGGCAGCAGGGTCAGAGGTTACTTGCTGTAAAGTCCTGTCTTTGGTGGTGACACGTCTGGTTCAGATATTCTACAGCCATCCACTGGTAAAAATCTATCAGGTGTCACAAACGTGATCTGAGGTATTAGCAGTCTACTATTGGCTCTTCATACCAACTACTCTAATGATCTAGATCTTCTACTAAAAGTATGTACATATTGTACTGTATTAAATTGACGATTATCAGATGGTTATACTAAAAGCACAGTATAACGGGAACCGTGAATTTGGAACATTCTCCAGGTAATATTACAAGGGAGAGAGAGGAACATTCTCCAGGTAATATTACAGGGGAGAGAGGGGAATATTCTCCAGGTAATATTACAGGGGAGAGAGGGGAACATTCTCCAGGTAATATTACAGGGGAGAGAGGGGAACATTCTCCAGGTAATATTACAGGGGAGAGAGGGGAACATTCTCCAGGTAATATTACAAGGGAGAGAGAAATTTGGGTTCGTTTTACATTAACATCTTAGCTGTATATAAATATTACGGGGAAGATTTCTGAACTTGAATTTATAAGTATTGTTACCCTATTATGCTCTACTTGTACTGATTTTTAGGCATCCGAGAGAAAATCTGTGATGGAGTCAATGCACAGTTTCCTACGAGTCACTACTCAGTATCACTCTGATAAAGGTAACAAGCCATTGTTTATAAGGGATTTTCAATCTAATATCATTTCCTTTTTAATCAAATGTACACCAAAGTCAAATTTTATAAAACAAAATCTGAAGCCTGTGCTTACCTATTGCAGTTAAGAAATCTCTGGGTGAATTCCAGACCTCAGTTTATGCAGTAGTAATATCAGCCATATCTGAGAGTAGTGTCCAGTTGAGAGTAGCTGCTGCCCAATGCCTGGACACCTTTCTACAGTTGCCCTTGACCTTGGCAGCAAGTGACCGCCCTGTAATGGCCAAAGTTCTGGTGGACAAGATATCAGGCCCAGATGTTAGGACATAGAGGGAGCTGTGTTTGTACTAAAGTTGTTGGTGTATCAGGCCCAGATGTTAGGACATAGAGGGAACTGTGTTTGTACGAGAGTTGATGGAGTATCAGCCCCAGAGGGTAGGACATAGAGGGAGCTGTGTTTGTACTAAAGTTGTTGGTGTATCAGGCCCAGATGTTAGGACATAGAGGGAACTGTGTTTGTACTAATGTTGTTGGTGTATCAGGCCCAGATGTTAGGACATAGAGGGAGCTGTGTTTGTACTAAAGTTGTTGGTGGTATCAGGCCCAGATGTTAGGACATAGAGGGAGCTGTGTTTGTACTAAAGTTGTTGGTGTATCAGGCCCAGATGTTAGGACATAGAGGGAGCTGTATTTGTACTAAAGTTGTTGGTGGTATCAGGCCCAGATGTTAGGACATAGAGGGAGCTGTGTTTGTACTAAAGTTGTTGTTTATCAGGCCCAGATGTTAGGACATGTGTGTTTGTACTAAAGTTGTTGGTGTATCAGTACTAAAGTTGTTGTTGGTGGTATCAGGCCCAGATGTTAGGACATAGAGGGAACTGTGTTTGTACTAAAGTTGTTGGTGTATCAGGCCCAGATGTTAGGACATAGAGGGAGCTGTGTTTGTACTAAAGTTGTTGGTGTTATCAGGCCCAGATGTTAGGACATAGAGGGAGCTGTGTTTGTACTAAAGTTGTTGGTGGTATCAGGCCCAGATGTTAGGACATAGAGGGAGCTGTGTTTGTACTAAAGTTGTTGGTGGTATCAGGCCCAGATGTTAGGACATAGAGGGAACTGTGTTTGTACTAAAGTTGTTGGTGTATCAGGCCCAGAAGTTAGGACATAGAGGGAGTTATGTTTGTACTAAAGTTGTTGTTATCAGGCCCAGATGTTAGGACATAGAGGGAGCTGTGTTTGTACTAAAGTTGTTGGTGTATCAGGCCCAGATGTTAGGACATAGAGGGAGCTGTGTTTGTACTAAAGTTGTTGGTGGTATCAGGCCCAGATGTTAGGACATAGAGGGAGTTATGTTTGTACTAAAGTTGTTGGTGTATCAGGCCCAGATGTTAGGACATAGAGGGAGCTGTGTTTGTACTAAAGTTGTTGGTGGTATCAGGCCCAGATGTTAGGACATAGAGGGAGCTGTGTTTGTACTAAAGTTGTTGGTGTTATCAGGCCCAGATGTTAGGACATAGAGGGAGCTGTGTTTGTACTAAAGTTGTTGGTGGTATCAGGCCATAGAGGGAGCAGATCAGTTAGGACATAGAGGGAGTGTTTGTACTGTGTTTGTACTAAAGTTGTTGGTGTTGTATCAGGCCCAGATGTTAGGACATAGAGGGAGCTGTGTTTGTACTAAAGTTGTTGGTGTATCAGGCCCAGATGTTAGGACATAGAGGGAGCTGTATTTGTACTAAAGTTGTTGGTGTATCAGGCCCAGATGTTAGGACATAGTGTGTTGGTGTACTAAAGTTGTTGGTGTATCAGGCCCAGATGTTAGGACATAGAGGGAGCTGTGTTTGTACTAAAGTTGTTGGTGTATCAGGCCCAGATGTTAGGACATAGAGGGAGCTGTGTTTGTACTAAAGTTGTTGGTGGTATCAGGCCCAGATGTTAGGACATAGAGGGAACTGTGTTTGTACTAAAGTTGTTGGTGTATCAGGCCCAGATGTTAGGACATAGAGGGAGCTGTGTTTGTACTAAAGTTGTTGGTGTATCAGGCCCAGATGTTAGGACATAGAGGGAGCTGTGTTTGTACTAAAGTTGTTGGTGGTATCAGGCCCAGATGTTAGGACATAGAGGGAACTGTGTTTGTACTAAAGTTGTTGGTGGTATCAGGCCCAGATGTTAGGACATAGAGGGAGCTGTGTTTGTACTAAAGTTGTTGGTGGTATCAGGCCCAGATGTTAGGACATAGAGGGAGCTGTGTTTGTACTAAAGTTGTTGGTGTATCAGGCCCAGATGTTAGGACATAGAGGGAGCTGTGTTTGTACTAAAGTTGTTGGTGTATCAGGCCCAGATGTTAGGACATAGAGGGAGCTTTGTTTGTACTAAAGTTGTTGGTGTATCAGGCCCAGATGTTAGGACATAGAGGGAGCTGTGTTTGTACTAAAGTTGTTGGTGGTATCAGGCCCAGATGTTAGGACATAGAGGGAGCTGTGTTTGTACTAAAGTTGTTGGTGTTATCAGGCCCAGATGTTAGGACATAGAGGGAACTGTGTTTGTACTAAAGTTGTTGGTGTATCAGGCCCAGATGTTAGGACATAGAGGGAGCTGTGTTTGTACTAAAGTTGTTGGTGTTGTATCAGGCCCAGATGTTAGGACATAGAGGGAGCTGTGTTTGTACTAAAGTTGTTGGTGTATCAGGCCCAGATGTTAGGACATAGAGGGAACTGTGTTTGTACTAAAGTTGTTGGTGTATCAGGCCCAGATGTTAGGACATAGAGGGAACTGTGTTTGTACTAAAGTTGTTGGTGTATCAGGCCCAGATGTTAGGACATAGAGGGAACTGTGTTTGTACTAAAGTTGTTGGTGGTATCAGGCCCAGATGTTAGGACATAGAGGGAGCTGTGTTTGTACTAAAGTTGTTGGTGGTATCAGGCCCAGATGTTAGGACATAGAGGGAGCTGTGTTTGTACTAAAGTTGTTGGTGTATCAGGCCCAGATGTTAGGACATAGAGGGAGCTGTGTTTGTACTAAAGTTGTTGGTGGTATCAGGCCCAGATGTTAGGACATAGAGGGAACTGTGTTTGTACTAAAGTTGTTGGTGTATCAGGCCCAGATGTTAGGACATAGAGGGAGCTGTGTTTGTACTAAAGTTGTTGGTGGTATCAGGCCCAGATGTTAGGACATAGAGGGAGCTGTGTTTGTACTAAAGTTGTTGTTATCAGGCCCAGATGTTAGGACATAGAGGGAGCTGTGTTTGTACTAAAGTTGTTGGTGGTATCAGGCCCAGATGTTAGGACATAGAGGGAACTGTGTTTGTACTAAAGTTGTTGGTGTATCAGGCCCAGATGTTAGGACATAGAGGGAGCTGTGTTTGTACTAAAGTTGTTGGTGGTATCAGGCCCAGAAGTTAGGACATAGAGGGAGCTGTGTTTGTACTAAAGTTGTTGGTGGTATCAGGCCCAGATGTTAGGACATAGAGGGAACTGTGTTTGTACTAAAGTTGTTGGTGTTATCAGGCCCAGATGTTAGGACATAGAGGGAGTTATGTTTGTACTAAAGTTGTTGGTGGTATCAGGCCCAGATGTTAGGACATAGAGGGAGCTGTGTTTGTACTAAAGTTGTTGGTGGTATCAGGCCCAGATGTTAGGACATAGATAAAGGAGCAGATGTTAGGACATAGTGTGTTTGTACTAAAGTTGTTGGTGGTATCAGGCCCAGATGTTAAGATATAGTAGAGAGAGAGGTGTTATGTAACAGAGGTGTTTGTACAAAGTACAGATAATAGAGTCATTGTACAAAGAGAGAGGGGAACATGTCTCAATAAAGTAATAGTACAGGTGGAGAGAGGCATTCTCAGATGTTACAGGAAGAGGCTTTGTTAACATTCTCCAGGTAATATTACAGGGGAGAGAGGGGAACATTCTCCAGGTAATATTACAGGGGAGAGAGGGGAACATGTCCAGGTAATATTACAAGAGAGAGAGGGGAACATGTCCAGGTAATATTACAGAGAGAGGGGAACATACTCCTTGTAATATTACAGGAGAAGAAAACAAGTAACATTCCAGGTAATATTACAGTCAGAGAGAGGGGAACATGTCCAGGTAATATTACAGGGGAGAGAGGGGAACATGTCCAGGTAATATTACAAGAGAGAGAGGGGAACATGTCCAGGTAATATTACAGGGGAGAGAGGGGAACATTCTCCAGGTAATATTACAGGGGAGAGAGGGGAACATGTCCAGGTAATATTACAAGAGAGAGAGGGGAACATGTCCAGGTAATATTACAGGGGAGAGAGGGGAACATTCTCCAGGTAATATTACAGGGGAGAGAGGGGAACATTCTCCAGGTAATATTACAGGGGAGAGAGGGGAACATGTCCAGGTAATATTACAAGAGAGAGAGGGGAACATTCTCCAGGTAATATTACAGGGGAGAGAGGGGAACATTCTCCGGGTAATATTACAAGGGAGAGAGGGGAACATTCTCCAGGTAATATTACAGGGGAGAGAGGGGAATATTCTCCAGGTAATATTACAAGGGAGAGAGGGGAACATTCTCCAGGTAATATTACAAGAGAGTGAGGATATTGATGATAAAGTAGACTTTCATTAGTAGAATATATTGGTTGGCATTCTTTTAACTTGTTCTCTCTACTGAATACTACATTACATTAGACTAGGCCCTTAACACTTACTTTTATCATTGTTCACACAGAACCTATGGAGGTTGATGGTGTTAATCCAGAACAGCATCACATGGTCTTCACAGCACTGGCTGCCATCTCTGTGACAACAAAGATCCTGTCACTGATTGTTAAGGAGCTTGTTATCTACCTGTCCTCCTTAGCTAAGAGTAAGGTCACCATAACCATGAACATTGTTCTTGAGACCTATATCATACTGAAATTTACAAGTTGATGATGATTTCAATAAAGTAGGCAATATGTTTAACAATATCTTTTCATTGATAATGCCAATATCTGCTTTATTGCAATGATAAGATAATGCTAAATGCTTTAACATTATTTTGTCTTCTAAAGATGTTTATGTTTGAGTGGTCAGTTAAAATTTGTTGGTGACTGGTAAGAAGGATTATATAATACTTTGTATTGACTTGTAGTGTCAGCTGTTGAGTCAGATGTCCAATCAGTGGCCAGTTGTTTATCGGTCATTTCCACATCATCTGTGTCACAACCAGACATGTTGACCGTCCTGTATAGCCACACCCTGCCAGAGCTCTTCAATCTCTTTGTATCTATGGCAACAGATACTAGTCATCACAATAGCTGTATACACAGTGAATGTGTCCTGCAGCATCTTACCACCTTTATATGTCAGATCATTGTTCATCTGGATGAAAGGTAAGAACACTTTACAATGGTGACCTTTGTCTTCTTTTTTTGTCCATCCATCAAGAGATTTTCCAGGTCTTCATTCCTTTGTTGTTTCAGATACCTGAAAGAAAAATTGCATACATGTCACCACAAGACAGTATATCAAGCATTACTTTTTAGATTATTTTTAGATTTTAGATTTATTAACTGATTAATTTATGATGTTATCATGTTAATATTATGGCTAATGATGTTTGGTTTCCTACCTTCTCACAGGAAACCTCTAATGTTAAGTTAATAATATATCTAATGATGTTTGGTGTCCTACCTTCTCATAGGAGAGCCACTGATATTATCATGTTAATATTATTGTTAATGATGTTTGGTTTCCTACCTCCTCGTAGGAAGAGTCTAATGTTATCATGTTAATATTATGGCTAATGATGTTTGGTTACCTACCTTCTCACAGGAAGCTTCTGATATTATCATGTTAATATTATGGCTAATGATGTTTGGTTACCTACCTTCTCACAGGAAGCTTCTGATATTATCATGTTAATATTATGGCTAATAATGTTTGGTTTCCTACCTTCTCACAGGAAGCTTCTGATATTATCATGTTAATATTATGGCTAATGATGTTTGGTTACCTACCTTCTCACAGGAAGCTTCTGATATTATCATGTTAATATTATGGCTAATAATGTTTGGTTTCCTACCTTCTCACAGGAAGCCTCTGATATTATCATGTTAATATTATGACTAATGATGTTTGGTTTCCTACCTTCTCATAGGAAGAATCTGATATTATCAAATTAATATTATGGATAAGGTCAGAGGACCATGAAAGAATATGGCATCCAATTTTTTTTAAAAAGCTACATTTATCACTCATATAGGTGGAGAAAGCTCTATGATAAACAAGGCACTTAGAAGATATGTAAAAGTTAGGAGACTATATATAAAACCAAGACATAGTTATTTTTTTACTTGAAACTTATCCATTGCTTACAAAATTGTTCTCTCCATTAGTCTGATGTAGTAAGGAATTTTTCATATATTGTTTCCAATGTAAGGAAAGTTCAGTGATTGCTTACTGGATCAGGTGATTATTTAAGTAACCAGTTTGTAAAAATTTGACCAATTTTACCACCCTAGTATATATATTGTATTTAACACTGTATTGAAGTGGCATGTACATGTCGTAAGCAGACACCCTGGCTTATTGAATAAATATGAGTATTTTTGATTGTTATACAGGAGATTGACAGAGTTGTATGGACACCTCACACAATGCTACCTACATAACAATACAACTTACCTTTCCTGTACGCCATCCACACCTTTCCAGCCACTACAGGTAAGTGTGACTAATGACAATGTGTACCTATATCCCTCCACTACAGGTAAGTGTGACTAATGACAGTGTAGCTATATCCCTCCACTACAGGTAGGTGTGACTAATGACAATGTATACCTATATCCCTCCACTACAGGTAAGTGTGACTAATGACAGTATACCTATATCCCTCCACTACAGTTAAGTGTGACTAATGACAATGTGTACCTATATCCCTCCACTACAGTTAAGTGTGACTAATGACAATGTGTACCTATATCCCTCCACTACAGGTAAATGTGACTAATGAAAGTGTTCCTATATCCCACCACTATAGGTAGGTGTGACTTATGAAAGTGTACCTATATCCCTCCACAACAGGTAAGTGTGATTAATGACAGTGTACCTATATCCCTCGGCTATAGGCAGGTGTGACTAATGAAAGTGTTCCTATATCCCTATTTCTCCACTACAGGTAGGTCTGACTTACAGATATGATTAAAGTATATTAGATGAAAACTATCATGTTAACCCAAGAGCAGATGTAGCTGAAATTTATGCAATAATATTGTATAATCATTTTCTAGAATTAGAGGTGACTGGTCTTTAAAGGTTAAAGTTCACACATGACTATGATTGATATTAACATCGGTAGGCTGTGATAGATGTCCTGTTACTTTTGTCTTTACACTGTAGTTTGATAATATCAAGATCTTCACCTGTTAAGATAGTCATAGTTCAAGGCCATATCTTATTTTCTCAGTTTTCTTCATCTTACAGGTTTCATCACCATGGCAACAGACTGAACTGATAACCCTAGCAACCCCTGTGATATGTTCCTGTCCCATTCAGGTAAGGGTTTCATTCCTTCAGAAATATATTCTGGTGGTGAAATGGCATTTGATATATGTTTATATCAAGTCAATCTAGTAGAATCTTGCACTCTTGAAGTTGGTAGTTGCCAATAGCCTTTAAACTGATGGATACCTATAACCTATTTACTACTGGTTACCTACATACCAGTAATGGTTACCTACATAAGTGATTTGGTTATCTACATACATGTGTTGGCTACCTACATGATTTGGTTACTTAAATGCATATTTTAGTTACTTAAAAAAAGTTTTTGTTACATTATTTCATCACCTATATACATGATTTGATCACCTACCTACGTGTTTTGGTTACCTACATACATGTTTTGGTTACCTACATTCATGTTTTGGTTACCTTCCTACATGTTTTGGTCACCTACCTACATGTTTTGGTCACCTACCTACATGTTTTGGTTACCTACATACATGTTTTGGTTACCTTCCTACATGTTTTGGTTACCTACCTACATGTTTTGGTTACCTACCTACATGTTTTAGTTACCTACATTCATGTTTTGGTTACCTACATTCTTGTTTTGGTTACCTTCCTACAAACATGTTTTGGTTACCTACCTACATGTTTTAGTTACCTACCTACATGTTTTGGTCACCTACCTACATGTTTTGGTTACCTACATACATGTTTTGGTTACCTACATTCATGTTTTGGTTACCTTCCTACAAACATGTTTTGGTCACCTACCTACATGTTTTGGTTACCTACATACATGTTTTGGTTACCTTCCTACATGTTTTGGTTACCTACATTCTTGTTTTGGTTACCTTCCTACAAACATGTTTTGGTTACCTACCTACATGTTTTGGTTACCTACATACATGTTTTGGTTACCTACATACATGTTTTGGTTACCTACCTACATGTTTTGGTTACCTACATTCTCGTTTTGGTTACCTTCCTACAAACATGTTTTGGTTATAATGTATAATATAACATTTGTGTGAGTTTTACTTTGCATTGAGCATTAATTTCAGTAAGGCATTTAGACGAGCAACTTTTATTTAGTACCTTTAGCCCATTCAAACACCAACAAATTTGTTTAATATTCTTATCCTGAAACTTTACCTCCTTGAATTAGGCAATTCTCTCGTACACTAAAGTTAAATTCAGTTTCTGATCCATGCAGGCTGAAATTTCAGATATTAATTTAACCAAGTCATTAACAAGATCTACTGTACAAACTTTGTCTGTTTCCCACCAGGTGTTACAGTCTAGTCTGAGAGACTATAGCCAGAGCTTGTTGTCTCTCTCCCTCCAATCTAACCATGAACTAACCAAAAGAGCTTCTGCCAAATGTTTGGCTGGACTCATCAACAGATGGCCTTCGGGTAAGTACAACTTATAGACAGAAATACCAGGACAACACAGTACTCAAAGTCAGGGGATGAATTTACTGCAGGACCCCAGGAGACCCACATATTAGTTCTTTCTCAAAATCGGGGTTGTGCTTATTACAGGAAATTGAAATAACCTTCGTGTCATTTTACTGAATGGCGATATATTGGGGGGTGGGGGGAGGCTTATCACGGGACAGTGAGAAAGTATTTGTTTATAATTATATTTAACAGCAATATACTTATTACAGGACAATGAAATGGCATTGAGTTGTATCTTTATTGAACAGAAGTGCATGTGAATAGATTGAAAACATTCTCGGTCCTAGATCAATAAATCTGCACTTCATTCCACACAGCAAAATGATATCATTGACCCGGAAAATTTCAAAATAATTTGACAGGGAAAACAGCCTTTTCAAACGGTTGGTTAAGGAAGCCATCTGGATATGCTGCAGTGAGGCCAGTACTTAATAGGGATGAGGGGGGGGCCACAGACTCTCACATATCTATGACCAAGTGTTAACAAAGCATAGCAAAAGTTGGTAGAGTCCGTACCATCTCGTACACTATGTACGTCATTTCTAGTACACTCCACTCTGGTCATTTATCTGATGAAGGTGACTGTATAGTTATCGAAACGTCACATTCTAATCTTTTACTGGTTGTGTAATAAGAACTTCTATTCTATTGACATTACTGACCTGAAGAAAATGTTCCAAAATAGATAACTACAGTAATTATATCAGAAACCTACTTGAGACCCAGGGTTCTTTACTACATTGTATTTATGGTATCTATGATTTAGCATACTTGTAATCATGTAGTGTTGTGGTGTCTACTCTGACGTGCATGCTTCATCAGACATAAATACATATGTATATGACAATGATAGTTCCTGGGGAAGGAGTATGTATGCCAAGTAAAATGTTAGCTGCTTCCAACCAACTCAAAGAATTTTTTTTGGCTCAAATGTTGGAATATTTAAAATGGATGAACCAGAGATTTTGTGATCTCTTAGAGAGGCAACTGAAATACACTTTACCTCTGTTAATGTTTATGCAGGGACAAATAAAGTTTTCATTCAGTTGTTTCACTGTATTCCTCCTAGAAGTGTCTGCAATGGTGTAGCAATATCAGCTATAAATTTAAATCTAGTCAGTGTAAATAATAAATATTTTTGAAGACATTGACAAATTAGCAAACCTACATGGAACATGTTCTCAATGACTTGAACCTCTGGTCCAATCACATCTAAGCTGTTAAGTGTATAACACATAGTGACATTTCACATTATGAGGCTTACATCAGGATTATCAATATTTACTGAGATGTAAGGGTCAATGAGGCTGACACCTAGATTTTATTGTGTTTATTAGCAATACATTGTTTTTGAAATTTTTCCAGAGATTTTCTCATGTTTATTGTTTTTCAGATGAAAGTCTACAAACATTTTTACAGTCAACATGTGACACATTAAAAGCTATTCTGAGTAATGATGCTGTGGAAGTTAACAAAAGAGCTGCATTGAGTCAGATGATCTGGATCACAAAGGCTCTTGTCATGAGAGGCCATAGTAAGGCCAAGGAACTTATCACCATGGTAAATATACAGATCTTAATGGATGTTGGCTTATTTATTTCAAAGATTTTTGGTTTGAATAATATTTATCAGTCCTTCACTGATACAACCAGATGAAAACAGGTTTTACTTTGTGTCCATTAAGCTCTGTGTGTCTTTTACACCTTACAATATGACTTTTTGTCTGAAATTATTTGATTTTGTACATTATTTTCTGGCAGGATTAGCAACATAACTATATTTACTTTATACTTATATATATATACTGGCTGAAATGTGATTGCACTGATTGAATTTTTTTACTTAATAAAGTACTTAATAAAGCAATTATTATGGATGCATTGATTTGGTGCTAAAGTTTGATTCCGTTAAATGCATTTATAATACTTACTATTTCATCACCTTATCCATGCATTGTAACTCTGTATTCAGATTGTCACCGTAAATAGAAGCTTGAAATCTATTTTTAGAAGGATTTAATTTGTGAATGGGACATATATATAACATGTACTGATACTTATCACATTGTAACTCTGTATTCAGATAGTCACCGTAAATAGAAGCTTGAAATCTATTGTTGGAAGGATTTGTGAATGGGACGTATATAATATGTACTGATACTTATCACATTGTAACTCTGTATTCAGATAGTCACCGTAAATAGAAGCTTGAAATCTATTGTTGGAAGGCTTTGTGAATGGGACGTATATAATATGTACTGATACTTGTGACTTTTTCTGTCCAATACATTTAACAAAGAGTTGACATAGACTTACACATTTGTTACTACAGCTCACAAGTCTATTTGACGACCATCTTCTTGGAGAGCAGGCTGCAAATGGATTTGAGATCATTTTAGGGGACTTTTCAGATGTCCTCTCTAAGCCACTTGGTGCTAACATACGAATGATGTACAAACAGAGGGTATTTGTGGAAAACCTCAGCAAGCTAAAGGACGGGTTCAACAGCTCTTCTTCAGGTGAGTTAGATAAGATAATATCTAAAGGATTGGTTAAACAGTTCTTCTTCTGGTGAGTTAGATAAGATAATATCTAAAGGACTGGTTCAACATCTCTGCTTCTGGTGAATTTGATCAGAATATTTAAGTTGTTTCTCAGGTGACATTTAAATTCAATAGGAGGTTTCCATACAATGTACACACCAAAGGTGACGTGTGAAAATAAAAAGAAAGAGAACACATCACTTATTGATTTTACTATACGTAAGTTTAATTCATGACTCCTACATATTTATAAAGGCTGTAAAAACTACAGATAATTAAGCTAGTTTGTTTATTTTACATAATTTTAATTCATTACTCTAAATTGGTTCGTTGATAATGTATTGTTTTCTCTAACTGCATGAAATGCAGAATAAAACGGAAATTTTTTATGATGATGTTTATATTTCTTTTTCAGCCACAAAAAAGAACTACTTGATCTGTTTATCAAACATGCTGAAGATACTCCCCAAACAAGTGCTGCTTAGTGAACTGCCGCCGGTAAGTCAAATATCCTAATGAAGGGAACTTAGTGAATGGCTGTTTAAAACTAACTTACTATAGATAATGTTTTCTCTTTGATATTAATAACAATAGTTTTAGATATTATACAAAATTTGAGGTTGAAAGTATAGCTGTTTGATTAGCACCAGACATAAAACGGACCTGTATTTAGGCTGATTCATACAATTTCATTTGTCTTGTATTACATGATACAGAATAGCACAACAGTTTCATGAGAAGTCATAGTGAACCATCAAGAATCAAAACATAGGACTAATTTAACACCATGACATGTTCTTAGAATATACAGAAAATATGTGTGTTGATAGTAGAACCATTTTTGTTAAAAGTATCCCTAAAGATAAATCAATTTATCTTCCAATTATTCCATTTTGTAGTTATTCCCCCTGATGGTACACTCCTTGTTGTGTGATGACCTTGACCTTCAATTGTCCACCATGACAATATTATGTGACCTTACCCAGGATGCACCTGATGTGATATCTAAACATGTGGATAGCCTCGTACCACAGTTACTCCAGTTATGTACACACCCGTCCTCAATGGTAAGACAGAGTTGTCTATAGTGGGTATTATAAATACTTGGGTAAATTATTTACAAATATTAATGTTATCTTTCATTGCCAAGCAATAGAGAGACCATCTTGCTGAGTTGATGACACAAAAACTAGTGTAAATATTATACAACTTTTTATTAATTATAACTAGAAGCTTGTAAAGCTGTATTCCAACCTTATGTTTTAGTTTCTGATAATAAAGTGATAACATTTACTATTTTCAAATTTAAAATGATACAGATACAAATGTACTTTAGGTTAATGAGTACAAGTTTCCATGTTCTGAAAATTCCTTGAAAAAATGGCAGTATTTTAGTATTTATGATCTTTGTTACAACATTACATATTCGGTGATTTGTTCTCGACAGAAAATCCGTATGAAGGCATTGAGATGTATAAGTGTGATGTCGGTCTTGCCTGCCCATCTGTTATTGCCCTATAAACAAAGAGTTGTTCGGAGCCTGGAGCAGGTCCTTGATGACAAGAAACGACTTGTCAGGAAGGAGGCAGTTACAGCTCGCACAGAATGGTGAGTTATTTCATCCAAGTGAAATAGCATGTGATATGTACTGAGAAAATAAGTGTTTACAGACAAAACTGAAGTCTCAGGAGATGCTGATTGTTAACAAAAATATTTTCTAAGTTCTGTGTTTTGTGTTTCATTTCAGGTTCCTAATAGGAACTCCTAGCTAGTGGTCAAGATGTAGCTGTCACAGCAAGGATCACTAACTATCCTACGCAAACAGAATCTCACACAGCCATATCTAAGTGATGCACACTTCACTATAGAAGGCATTGCAGATTTAATCACTAGGAGAATTGTAAAATACATCACATTAATGAGACATGTGATTGGTTACTAGTCAGCGGTATCTGTATGTGTTGTGTGTCTGTAATCACCCAGTCCTGAATGACGACCAAACACCACTGACCATCACCATAATTAAATCTGTTGATGCTTTTTGACTACCAGACCAGTATATGATAATGAAGATTTGTGTATCTGAAACCTTCCATATGACTTTCCAACAAAATACTAGTTACCATTACTGTGTCTTAATGATCCTGTACGATCGCTTTGCCAGTGTAAGATAATGATGGTTTGTGCGTCTGACAATATTCATTCCTGACTTTGATCAAATACTAGTTATCACCACTGTGTCCAGTTAATCCTGTAGGACCACCATACCAGTGTGAGGTAATTGGGATATAAACAAGATATGGTGGTAATGTCAGCATGGTGTCTCCACACTGGTAATGTCAACATGATGTCTCAATACTTCTCCATACTGGTAATGTCAGCATGGTGTCTCCATATTGGTCATGTCACTATGGTGTCTCCACACTGGTAATGTCAGCATGGTGTCTTCATACTGGTAATGTCAGCATGGTGTCTACATTCTGGTAATGTCAACATGGTGTCTCCACACTGATAATGTCAGCATGGTGTCTCCATATTGGTCGTGTCAGTATTGTGTCTCCACACTAGTAATGTCAGCATGGTGTCTTCATACTGGTAATGTCAACATGGTGTCTTCATACTGGTAATGTCAACATGGTGTCTACATACTGGTAATGTCATCATGGTGTCGACATACTGTTAATGTCAACATGGTGTCTCCACACTGATAATGTCAACATGGTGTCTCCATACAGCTAATGTCAACATGGTGTCTACATACTGGTAATGTCAGTATGGTGTCTACATACTGGTAATGTCAGCATGGTGTCTCCATACTGGTAATGTCAGCATGGTGTCTCCATGCTGGTAATGTCAGTATGGTGTCTACATACTGTTAATGTCAACATGGTGTCTACATACTGGTAATGTCAGCATGGTGTCTCCATACTGGTAATGTCAGTATGGTGTCTACATACTGTTAATGTCAACATGGTGTCTACATACTGGTAATGTCAGCATGGTGTCTCCATACTGGTAATGTCAGTATGGTGTCTACATACTGTTAATGTCAACATGGTGTCTCCACACTGACTGGTAATGTCAGCATGGTGTTTCTGCTTTTATATCAATGTCTGTCTGTCACTTTGTGATTTCAACGCACCAAAATTGATTTATTCCATTGGTTGATTATGGCAATTTATTGACTTTGTTATATTCAGATAAATAGCTGTCTTTGTTTATAGAATCAGATAATACATGAATATCTTAAGAGAATGTAATTAAACTTGATCATGTTCATGTTAACAATGTGTATTGTTACTCTGTTGTTTTACTGTATCAGGTATTGAGAATTGAAGTTTTGCATGGTCTTTATGTAAGATTTGTACCATGTCATACTTGTAATTAATACATCAAAAGATCTCAGCTCGGGTTTAGTTTCATAAACTTCTATGAGGCAAACCTCATCCAACAACTTCTATAGGGTAAACCTAATCCCACAACTTCCATAGGGTAAAACTTATCACACAACATCTATAGGGTAAAACTAATCACAGACTTCTATAGGGTAAAACTAATCCCACGAGTGCCATCGATGAAGTACATGCTTACTCTTCTGGAGCACCTGGTCTTATTCTCCTTGCACTTTTTTAGAAGTCTCAGTGAACTGATTCTGTTAAAATGTTGGCATTTTCATTTTTGTTTTCGCTGTTTTCAACTCACAATTATTTGTTGAAAACATTGTCATTAAATACAAAAAAGAAAATATTCCAATACGAAAAAGTTTTAATTAGCGGAAACGATAGAACACTGAAGCCATATATGTCTGCATGGGAGCATGCATCCTTATAACTAGATTGTGATTGACTGACGTCAGACAATATTCCTTCTCCCAATCATCTACAAGAGATCAGAATCATAAAAATCAATAGACACAGCAATTACAACAATACACTAGTAATGTAATTGACAAATTCACAACCACAAAAAATGACAGGTTGTGTTGCATATCTGAAAAACTTAATTCTTTCTTTTATGATAAATATTTTTCCAAAAAAGAAATGACATTTATTTTGTAGCAGTAATTCCATTAATATACAATTGATCTATCGTACCAGGTTGTGTTCAAAAGGTCATTGCATTTAAAATCAATCAACATCTGAAAAGGAAGCTGCGCTCATCAACTTTTCTTAGATGAACTGACCTACAAACCTAATTTGTTATACCATGTATGGTAGATCATAGTTTATAAAACTCAAGTCGGGTATTAAGTGTTTTGATTGAATGATAATAATAACAATCTTTATATCATGAGGATTTAAGAACCTGTTTAGTCGAGGCTTATCTTCCATATAGTCCTCTTTTTAGTAAAACATGGTATATGTGAAAATACCTGATTGTTCACAACATAATTATAAGATTATCATACATTGATCACAGATACATAATTAAGAAGAACAAAAAATTCACAATAGTTTATGCAAATAAGTTTATCATTAAAGAACGATTTGTCTATTATATACATATACTAATATAGTTAAGCTATATAACATAGATTAAATCATTACTGATATTAGAAAGAATATTTAAAAATTAGTTTGTTAAAGAGTTCGGGTAATAGCAAACTAGTTTTTGTTTGAACATAGAAAAAGATGTTTCAGTTTTAATTTCATTTGGAAGTTTGTTCCATTCCTGACAACCAGATACATAAAATGTTTCGAATAATAAGTTGTCATGTGTTTTGGAACCAATACATTTTTACTAGATACCTGCCTTTTAGACCGCTGATGAACATTTCCAGCCAAAATAACATCATTGGAAAGATATTGTGGTACCATATCATTAATACATTTATTTGTCATAACTGACTTTTTGAATCAAAATATTTTTGAATTGGCATCCATTTCAAAACTTTAAACATGTCTGCTGAAGAAGTAACATATGATTTCTCTAAAATCTATCTGGCAACACACTTTTGAGATTTTGACAGTTTGTCTAGAGAAGCTTCAGTTCTTCCAGACCAGACTGTATTACAGTACATGAAAGGAGGAAAAACACAAGCATTGTAGAATTTCAAGCGGCCTTCCATAGCAGACAAAAAATTGGTGAATACACCAGAGTAATCCTAAACGTTGATTTATTTTGGAAACAATGGAGGAAATATGTGCCAACAAGGATAAGCTGTCATCAATTTTATTACCAAGTAATTTTCCACATTTTACCTAGGACACAGTTTCCTCCCTTAGTGTAAGATTGAGACTGTCATGGAGTCTCCCAAGTTTATGTTTGGAAGCAATAAGCATACATTTAGTTTTATTTACATTAACTGTCACTTTGTTATCATTACACCACACATCTACATTTTCGATGTCTCTCTGTAGTTTAGTCTGTATATCCAGTACAGATGATCCCGAGTTGGTGGTGTCATCATCATACATGTCTGTTTCAGATTTAAGGTGTGATGGTAAATCATTGATGTAAAGTGAAAACATCAAGGGGCCCAAAATTGATCCTTGAGGTACCCCATCGATAAATTTCATGTCAGTGGAGGATATATTTCCTGCTATAATTCCTTTTTGTGACCTGTCATTGAGATATGTAATGATATTTATATCACATTTGTATAATTTCAGCTTCTCAAGCTGCACAGCATGGTTGACTAAACCAAAACCTGTCTTAAAATCTAAGAAAATAACACCGTTTACAAGACCTTTATCAATATCTTTTACCCATGGATTAACAATTTTCAACGGGGCAAAAAATTGTGAAGATACAAGGTCATGAGTATCTCAATATTGGTAGGGCCATGGACATGTCGCTCTAAATTTTGGATAAAATGGGTAATAGATCTGGAATTGCAAACCTCAGAGGTACTTCCGGGTTTGTACAAAACCTTTGCAGTTTTCCATTGTATAACAGCCATTATGAATAGGAGGATTCATTATATATGATAATGAAGGTGCTATATAAGCGCATGGAAGTTATAGTATCTTTGCACTGATACCAGCCAAACCTACAGTTTTCTTTGTATCTGGAGATCGCAAAGATTTGTCAATGAAATCAACAGAGATAGTTGGAATGGAAAAAGTACAATCCCCAACTAGCATTCATAGGACACTCTACGATTGGCTGTTGATACATCCATAGAGTTGCTGATATTAATTCTGTATAAATAGAATTGTTGGTAGGACACCGGATTGCAGTACGTAAGGATCGGTGTTAGAAGTTGTTCCCTGAAGACATTTCTACAATATGAAGTTAATATCTCTTTCTCTAAGACCTTAATTACGGCGTCGATCCCGTTTGAATCAGAATACTTTGGTTTTAGTTTGAAGCGTGGCCAGAAAATCATGCTTTTAATCTTGTGATTTCTAGTTATGGTTCAATATACCTCTGTCAAAGGCGGGAAACTTCTGTGGTGTTCCTGGTCTAGTTATATCCGAAAACTCGAGGTAGTCTCCCCCTAGATCGTCCCGTAAACAGACCGTGAAATCGTGGTTGTCCTTGAAGTGGAGATCGATAGTTCCTGTCGGATAGTTCCAGTAAAATGTCCCGTTTTTACAAGTCATGTCTACGTTATAATTAGTAGGACCATTGTCGGGATGGTTGATATGGGCACTAAACGAAAAGATAATGTTCATAATTTGTCTTTTTCAGAATTTCAAAATGATCGAGATTGAGGTTGCAATATTGCTTATGTCGATAGGAACCTTTTCTCCCTTGACCGAGACATTATCCTAGCATATTTAGCTCATAACTCATAGGTTTGACAATAATAAACGTAAAATACAGGATTTCTTATTGTACAACGTTTCACACGTCACATTCAGGTTAAATGATGTTTTGTAGTGACACAAAATATATAAAATATGTTAATCTGAATTAGTCCACTAATCAATACTGTTACCTTATAAAACTGAATATATATACTATGACTGGTGCACAGGTCAGGAGAAGTTTTCCTTGGGACGTTTTATCAATCTGACCCGACCCTGGCATTCTTTAATTTTGGTCCATGTCAACAACATACTTACTGGCCACCCTCTGGATCCTGTGTACAGCGATCCTGAAACAAGAATCTTCTGGGAAGACATGTTACTCCACCCAAAATAACAAAGGCGAAAGTTACTCTTGCTAGAGCCATCTCGATTTGGGATGAAATATTCACAGCTGCTACAATAACACCTTTGTCTTATCTACGTGTTTCCACAGGTAATCATAGGTGTGAAGGGGTCAGCACCACGTAGATTTGACTGACCAACTCCAAAGTGAGACATACTCATTTGCTGGAAACGTGGCATCTCCTAGCTGAAATATTTGCTTTATGCTGTTAAACTACACAATGACCATAATTAACATTACGAGAGACAATGACATGCATCCAGTTATTATCTTGACAATGACGCTCATTTTTCTCTAGTTTATTGCTGTAGGTGACAGGAGAATGCAGCCACGTATGTTTATTGCTGTTGGTGACAGGAGAATGCAGCCACGTAAGTTTATTGCTGTAGGTGACAGGAGAATGCAGCCACGTGAGTGTATTGCTGTAAGTGACAGGAGAATGCAGCCACGTATGTTTATTGCTGTAGGTGATAGGAGAATGCAGCCACGTAAGTTTATTGCTGTAGGTGACAGGAGAATGCAGCCACGTGAGTGTATTGCTGTAGGTGACAGGAGAATGCAGCCACGTGAGTGTATTGCTGTAGGTGACAGGAGAATGCAGCCACGTGAGTGTATTGCTGTAGGTGACAGGAGAATGCAGCCACATGAGTGCATTGCTGTAAGTGACAGGAGAATGCAGCCACGTATGTTTATTGCTGTAGGTGACAGGAGAATGCAGCCACGTATGTTTATTGCTGTAGGTGATAGGAGAATGCAGCCACGTGAGTGTATTGCTGTAGGTGACAGGAGAATGCAGCCACGTATGTTTATTGCTGTAGGTGACAGGAGAATGCAGCCACGTATGTTTATTGCTGTAGGTGATAGGAGAATGCAGCCACGTGAGTGTATTGCTGTAGGTGATAGGAGAATGCAGCCACGTGAGTGTATTGCTGTAGGTGACAGGAGAATGCAGCCACGTATGTTTATTGCTGTAGGTGATAGGAGAATGCAGCCACGTGAGTGTATTGCTGTAGGTGACAGGAGAATGCAGCCACGTAAGTTTATTGCTGTAGGTGATAGGAGAATGCAGCCACGTAAGTTTATTGCTGTAGGTGACAGGGGAATGCAGCCACGTAAGTTTATTGCTGTAGGTGACAGGAGAATGCAGCCACGTATGTTTATTGCTGTAGGTGATAGGAGAATGCAGCCACGTAAGTTTATTGCTGTAGGTGACAAGCCATATACAGATCAGTTACTGAACAGTGACTGTTCATTTTTTAGATTAAAATCAAAACTTAATTCAATGCCAGTTTTCGATCTACGATAATGCCGATGATGCAAAATTTTGGATTCGATTAAAATGACGCTAATGAAATCCATAAAGATGTAATGTACAACATAATCATTTCATCATTATGATTTGTATGTATAATTTGTTGTTTATTTTAAAAAAATATTTAAATTTCATAGTGCAGATATAGCCTGCACAATTTGTGGATTTTTTAAAAATCAAATAATGATATTTGCTGTGTGTCTCCTGCATTTGAGTAATACTTGTCAATGAACGCATTTGAAGATATTTGATTGCAAAGATTCTTCTCACAGAGCATGAAAAAAACAAAATAAAAACACCAACAGCATAGCAATGCATTAACCCTCAAAAGGTCAATGTCTTTTTAATTTGCAAGTCATATCTAAATATGTTATCAATCAATTATTTGCACATAAGACGACAATCTGGTGCCCTTCCTCATTGCGCCTCCACATGTATCAAATAAAGGTTAAATGGACACCCTTGCCAATATCTACCCCTCAGAGGGTGGACGGATTTGGGAACCCCATCTTTTATGATTTCAGTTTCCTTATTGGAAATATTTCATTTATGGATGGCAACAACACTGCATCCGCAACATTGTTTTACGTGTCGCATCTAAAAATACCAACATGTCAAGTTAATTTATAATCAATTTTAACAAAACAACGCGACATCACTTAGATTGACTTAGATTTACAGGGCGGCTGTCGTGGTTGAAGACACCTACTCGTAGATCTGATCTTATTCTCCTTGTACTTCGACAATTCAGCTCCAAATTTAATGTGGTTTAAACAGTGAAATTGGTGTTATTTCTTTATAACATATCGAGCATTCCTTACATAGACAATGCCACAGAAAACATCAAAATTAAACGCTGTTTTGACACAAAAGCAACAAATGTAAACATTCAAAGCGTTCGAGCCTACAGCATTTTTATCTTGCCCGTACTATATGGTACGGACATCATATGCATTAAACAAACTTTCGTGTCAAATTCAGGTAAATATATTCATTAGTTTTTAGTCGATGGTGTTAAGCTCATATCACACGGTGGTATATGTATATAAGTCTACGTGACAGTACGTGTACTTATCCACAGCCTACAGCTAGCTACCGGAACATACCTAATAAGCTCTTAACCTCGGTATCTCGGATTGCTGTAGCAGTTTCATTACAAAAACCGTGACTTAAACCATTTAACGAAATCATGGATATTGGGAGAGAGACCGATTCTGTTTGCGAGTCAGCACTACACTACAACAGGAGGGCCTGTGACTATGACAAGGTAATGTACAAATACTAGCCGCAATGTACCAGCTCGGACAGAGCTACTTCTGTGTAGCCCGATCGGTGTATTTCTCACATTCATTAGGAGACCTATTTCTATAGGACTTATGATCAGGAATGTGAACAATGAAACCAAGAATCATAGCTATGAGGTTTTGTATACACCGGGTAACGTAATATTTATTTGAAAATGTAAAAAAAGAAAATTTATCAGTATTAAACATACCATAAATTATCTAATTAGATTTTGCTATGCTCTACACATTACTTATAATCCAACTGATGTTTAACTATCAATATATACTATCTAATACCAGTCCCTTCTGATGTAGATACTTATAAACATAAAACTGCTGGACTACATTCTGACCTTTTATTCATTATCATACTGTGAAATATGGATAAAAAAAATATGGATATGGTCAGATCACGTCAATTTTAGTTATGAAAATATTTTCAAATGAATTGATATCACTTGGGTATTAAAAATCAGAAAATACCGATGTTACCTCCCAACTCTCTCTGATACAGGTACAAACAATTGAATCCAGTTGTCTGGTACTATCTTGTATTAAACTAGAAGGTAAGAGACAGACATGTGCCTAGCTCAAAGGCTTACAATGGAACTTACTTGGTTTAAAATTCAAGCTTTCTGGTCTTCATTTTAGACTGTGCAGCTGATAACTTTTGAGCTGCGTCACCACTTTCTCCATCTGTCGTTCCTGTAGGCATTTTGATATGTTATCAAGTTGTTATATGATATAACGGAATCCCTAACTTGACAAAATCCTTTACCGCTGCCACCAGTTTTGTTACCTTCCAAGTCTCTCTGAGACAAAATAGACCGAGTAAGGTCCCCTGACAGCTCTAAAATTAATATCACCCTGTACTGGCTAAGAAGACATTTATTGAAAAATAGCTGAAACATTAATTAAATTGCCACTTCACTTTTGGGGCATTATTTCACATTTAACAACCAACACAGCAACATAATCATAATCCACACTCAGATTCCATAAACCTAGGGCAAAATAAGAAAAAAACAAAGGTTTAAAGTGACTCCTGAAAAAGTACAAGAGAATAAGACCAGGTGTTCCGGTAGAGTTGACATCTTCTGCTTCGTCGATGACGGTCGGTCAAATAAGTAATGTCACGTTCAACAGGCAAATTTACGAAAGGAATACAATATTTCACAATGAGATCATTATTGCGACCATAATTTTCATCTTATGAACCCCTGTCTTCCGCGTTTGTCCGTCAGTTGACGACTTCTTGAATGAAAATCGTGATAATGGGAACAGGCCCTTGAATATCGAAACAACATCGACATGTAAACACCATATATTGGTAACGCAAGGGTATGCCTTTCCAGAAATGAAAAATTCAGAATATAGAAATTGAAATCATCAGTCTTATACCGATTGGTGGAAAGCTGCCCAAGTTGTTTTCATTGTAGGAAAGATCGAGATCAGGATCTGCTGAAGAAGAATCTATCGCGAGAGTTTGTAACTATTAACGAGGAAAATATGCAAAGAAACTCATTTGAAATACCATTTGTTAAAAACAACAACAACTAAAAACAAACAAAACATTGATTAAGAGGATGAAAGAAGCTACAAATTGAGGTTTATTATATATCTGTTTGTAATATTTTATCCATTTCTGTGACATTCAAGCAAATCATTTTAATAGTCTCTAACTATTCTTTGTTATTAAAATGTTCACGTGAAAGAAATTTTCCGGACAATAACATGAGAATATGAAAACCATTGAAGATCCAGGAGAAGATCGAATCACATATACTATTTATCAAATATTCTGTCGTCAAACTTTGATAAGGCAAATCGACTTATGCCAGTTTTATGTTAATTGAATATATCTATATAGATAAGCGGGGGTAGGATAGAATTGTCAGCTTGTCGTCATTGTGTAAACCACGAAAGTCATGGAGATGGAGAACCTGCTTTAAACCAACCAAAAGCATTGGAACGTAAGCATCGGTCCGAGGAAGGCTGCCCCTACGGCACCTAAGTACCTCTTGTTTTATTCTGTGATCCCGTCAGGTCCAGAAGTCTGACTCATTCAACGTACCGAATCGACAGGGACAGAGTTAGAAACAGCAGAGCCAAACCATGAATGAAACTGCACCATACAGCTTTCGTCCCTTAAGGACTAGCAGTGATGCTAAGTGCCTATATCTATATAAGCCTTGGAGACAACAGAGGAAAATCCAAGGTGATTGAAAGTAGAGTAAAAAGGATAGCTGGGGAAGTGCACTAGATTAATAATTCGTTAAATTTTGGCGGATGAACATCGGTGAATGCGGATATAAAGACCGCGATACACAACTCGGAGTACCAATGAGCTAACCGATTAACAAAGAAGTCTGCCAAAGTCCTTTTATTAGAGTTTAGCAGTGTTACAGGTCACTAAAAACGACA